GACTTGGTGGCGTCTTCGTGCGTGCTCTTTTTAGAAGGAAGACAAATTCGCCGGTACCGCGAACGACAGTTCTGAAGTAGAGGTCCCACTCCCGTCGTCCGCCTACATCGCCCTCCAGCCCGCGAGCCCCACGTTACGCGATATGACGCCATGTTGAAAATTACGCAGTGAGCGCACAGGATGCTTCCGCTTCTCTGTGAAACATTTTTTTAGAGCGAAGCTGTCTATGGCTAGTTTCTGGCGGGTCGTCTCCGACGACGGACCGACGTAGACCAACAATTTTCAAAAGCAACGATGTATGCCCCACTTTGTACTCCTCCCCCCCGCCGCCATCTCTTTCCCTAGTCGTGTAGATCTCTTCTCACCATGTGCGGCGTCTCCCTGCCCCGTGACATTGCGCAATGCCGCGCGCTCTTCGGCGGCCACCTGTGCAGCGCACTAGAGCCTGCGACGTGATTGGCGTAGCCGCGCTATAATAAAACGTCTCTCCCCCGTGACATTGCGCAATGCCGCGCGCTCTTCGGCGGCCACCTGTGCAGCGCACTAGAGCCTGCGACGTGATTGGCGTAGCCGCGCTATAATAAAACGTCTCTTTCCCGTGACATTGCGCAATGCCGTGCGCTCTTCGGCGGCCACCTGTGCAGCGCACTAGAGCCTGCGACGTGATTGGCGTAGCCGCGTTATAATAAAACGTCTCTCCCCCGTGACATTGCGCAATGCCGTGCGCTCTTCGGCGGCCACCTGTGCAGCGCACTAGAGCCTGCGACGTGATTGGCGTAGCCGCGCTATAATAAAACGTCTCTCCCCCGTGACATTGCGCAATGCCGCGCGCTCTTCGGCGGCCACCTGTGCAGCGCACTAGAGCCTGCGACGTGATTGGCGTAGCCGCGCTATAATAAAACGTCTCTCCCCCGTGACATTGCGCAATGCCGTGCGCTCTTCGGCGGCCACCTGTACAGCGCACTAGAGCCTGCGACGTGATTGGCGTAGCCGCGTTATAATAAAACGTCTCTTTCCCGTGACATTGCGCAATGCCGTGCGCTCTTCGGCGGCCACCTGTGCAGCGCACTAGAGCCTGCGACGTGATTGGCGTAGCCGCGCTATAATAAAACGTCTCTCCCCCGTGACATTGCGCAATGCCGCGCGCTCTTCGGCGGCCACCTGTGCAGCGCACTAGAGCCTGCGACGTGATTGGCGTAGCCGCGCTATAATAAAACGTCTCTCCCCCGTGACATTGCGCAATGCCGTGCGCTCTTCGGCGGCCACCTGTGCAGCGTACTAGAGCCTGCGACGTGATTGGCGTAGCCGCGCTATAATAAAACGTCTCTTTCCCGTGACATTGCGCAATGCCGTGCGCTCTTCGGCGGCCACCTGTGCAGCGCACTAGAGCCTGCGACGTGATTGGCGTAGCCGCGTTATAATAAAACGTCTCTTTCCCGTGACATTGCGCAATGCCGTGCGCTCTTCGGCGGCCACCTGTGCAGCGCACTAGAGCCTGCGACGTGATTGGCGTAGCCGCGCTATAATAAAACGTCTCTCCCCCGTGACATTGCGCAATGCCGCGCGCTCTTCGGCGGCCACCTGTGCAGCGCACTAGAGCCTGCGACGTGATTGGCGTAGCCGCGCTATAATAAAACGTCTCTCCCCCGTGACATTGCGCAATGCCGTGCGCTCTTCGGCGGCCACCTGTGCAGCGCACTAGAGCCTGCGACGTGATTGGCGTAGCCGCGTTATAATAAAACGTCTCTCCCCCGTGACATTGCGCAATGCCGCGCGCTTTTCGGCGGCCACCTGTGCAGCGCACTAGAGCCTGCGACGTGATTGGCGTAGCCGCGCTATAATAAAACGTCTCTTTCCCGTGACATTGCGCAATGCCGTGCGCTCTTCGGCGGTCACCTGTGCAGCGCACTAGAGCCTGCGACGTGATTGGCGTAGCCGCGCTATAATAAAACGTCTCTCCCCCGTGACATTGCGCAATGCCGCGCGCTCTTCGGCGGCCACCTGTGCAGCGCACTAGAGCCTGCGACGTGATTGGCGTAGCCGCGCTATAATAAAACGTCTCTCCCCCGTGACATTGCGCAATACCGTGCGCTCTTCGGCGGCCACCTGTGCAGCGCACTAGAGCCTGCGACGTGATTGGCGTAGCCGCGCCATAATAAAACGTCTCTCCCCCATGACATTGCGCAATGCCGCGCGCTCTTCGGCGGCCACCTGTGCAGCGCACTAGAGCCTGCGACGTGATTGGCGTAGCCGCGCTATAATAAAACGTCTCTCCCCCGTGACATTGCGCAATGCCGTGCGCACTTCGGCGGCCACCTGTGCAGCGCACTAGAGCCTGCGACGTGATTGGCGTAGCCGCGCTATAATAAAACGTCTCTCCCCCGTGACATTGCGCAATGCCGCGCGCTCTTCGGCGGCCACCTGTGCAGCGCACTAGAGCCTGCGACGTGATTGGCGTAGCCGCGCTATAATAAAACGTCTCTCCCCCGTGACATTGCGCAATGCCGCGCGCTCTTCGGCGGCCACCTGTGCAGCGCACTAGAGCCTGCGACGTGATTGGCGTAGCCGCGCTATAATAAAACGTCTCTCCCCCGTGACATTGCGCAATGCCGCGCGCTCTTCGGCGGCCACCTGTGCAGCGCACTAGAGCCTGCGACGTGATTGGCGTAGCCGCGCTATAATAAAACGTCTCTCCCCCGTGACATTGCGCAATGCCGCGCGCTCTTCGGCGGCCACCTGTGCAGCGCACTAGAGCCTGCGACGTGATTGGCGTAGCCGCGCTATAATAAAACGTCTCTCCCCCGTGACATTGCGCAATGCCGCGCGCTCTTCGGCGGCCACCTGTGCAGCGCACTAGAGCCTGCGACGTGATTGGCGTAGCCGCGCTATAATAAAACGTCTCTCCCCCGTGACATTGCGCAATGCCGCGCGCTCTTCGGCGGCCACCTGTGCAGCGCACTAGAGCCTGCGACGTGATTGGCGTAGCCGCGCTATAATAAAACGTCTCTCCCCCGTGACATTGCGCAATGCCGCGCGCTCTTCGGCGGCCACCTGTGCAGCGCACTAGAGCCTGCGACGTGATTGGCGTAGCCGCGCTATAATAAAACGTCTCTCCCCCGTGACATTGCGCAATGCCGTGCGCACTTCGGCGGCCACCTGTGCAGCGCACTAGAGCCTGCGACGTGATTGGCGTAGCCGCGCTATAATAAAACGTCTCTCCCCCGTGACATTGCGCAATGCCGCGCGCTCTTCGGCGGCCACCTGTGCAGCGCACTAGAGCCTGCGACGTGATTGGCGTAGCCGCGCTATAATAAAACGTCTCTCCCCCGTGACATTGCGCAATGCCGCGCGCTCTTCGGCGGCCACCTGTGCAGCGCACTAGAGCCTGCGACGTGATTGGCGTAGCCGCGCTATAATAAAACGTCTCTCCCCCGTGACATTGCGCAATGCCGCGCGCTCTTCGGCGGCCACCTGTGCAGCGCACTAGAGCCTGCGACGTGATTGGCGTAGCCGCGCTATAATAAAACGTCTCTCCCCCGTGACATTGCGCAATGCCGCGCGCTCTTCGGCGGCCACCTGTGCAGCGCACTAGAGCCTGCGACGTGATTGGCGTAGCCGCGCTATAATAAAACGCCTCTCCCCCGTGACATTGCGCAATGCCGTGCACTCTTCGGCGGCCACCTGTGCAGCGCACTAGAGCCTGCGACGTGATTGGCGTAGCCGCGCTATAATAAAACGTCTCTCCCCCGTGACATTGCGCAATGCCGTGCGCTCGTCGGCGGCCACCTGTGCAGCGCACTAGAGCCTGCGACGTGGTTGGCGTAGCCGCGCTATAATAAAACGTCATTGTCTCTACCAGAGCGCCAGCTTCGCTGGACTTCCCTCTTCACGGGGTGGAAGCTTAGGCTCACAATTTGTCTCTATCAACATATTTGCAGCTTTCTAGAAGCCACAAAAATGGGTTTCACATTTTTTTCTATTTTTAATATTGAGTGTACGCCTTCAATCACCCACGACTTTGATTAAATATGGTGATTAAAAACGGCCCATAATGACCGAGAAGAGAGTGAGCGCGACTCAAATTGGCCAACTCTCGATCGGCAGTTTTCGGGCGGAAGGAAACCTAATTTCGAGCCGCAAATTCTGTTCTGGGCTCTGATGTCATGTACAACTAAAAACCTCGGCGAGCATAAATACCCTGTCAATGTCCCTTTAAGCGGTCACATATCTAACGTAGCACTACACCTCGAGTGACATGTAAAAACAGTGATGATATTGCCACGCGCGTCGGGGAGCGAGCGCGTGGCAACTGCGCTCGACTTTCTTGCGGAGGCCGAGGGCTCGATTCCTGGGAGTTAAGAGTCTTTTACTTATTCTTTCAGTTTAATGTTCTGCTAAATTCGAGAACCCTGTGGCTTGTTCGAGGTCCGAATGTTCTATGCGCCGAACCTCCTATGCCGATTGTTTCAGAAGCCAACGCGTGTACATAAGGGGCTCTGAGTGAGGAGCCGGAGTCAGCCTCGCCCCAGCGTTCGATCCTGCTGTTTCGCCGACATTGACGCTTGCGACACTAGCCTTGCTCTATTTTGTTTTAGGCACAAGTTCGTCCCATTAAACGTTTTGCTTCTTCAGTTATTCACCGCCTCATGACTGCCATTCGTGACAATATGTTCATGCCAACTGTGTCGCATTACTTAAAGGTTTTATTTATGTACCGTAGAAAGTGGGTGCATTTACCCAACACCACTAAATTTCACAAGATGCTTTCTTTCTATAGACATGGACAGGATGAGAACCGCAGAGAGATATTTCAGCTGTCCTGCCTCCAGCGCAAACACCTCCAATAACACTTGGACGTCTCGTGAGCTTGGAGTGTGCACATGCTGCCAATATGTGACGAGGCAATGCACGAGTGCAGGAGGCTGGGCATCCAAGAGACCCACAATGTTCTCATCCTGTTGGTAACTATGGCAAAGTAACGAGCAACGAACAATTGAAAATCTATGGTAGCATAGTTTTATTGATCCCAAATGAGTTGTATAAAAGTGGCACAGGGTACCCTTTCGTGCGGAATATTACTTGGCTTTCTTCTTGCCAGCCTTTGAGGAGGTGCCGACATCGTCCCGTACCTTCTGCCATGGAAGTGGGTGCCTACGGTAAACTGGCCACGGTGGAAGTGTCAGCTGCGACATTGTTCAATGAGTTTTGGTTACTGCGAGTGGAGAAGGCCGAGCTGCTGCAATACTCGCGGCCGGCTATCCTCTTTGCTCAACTTGCCTGCAGTGCTATCAGAGGCGCAGCTAAAACAGCCAAATAAGCGGGCACAATTGGCAATCGTTGACATTCAATAATCTGACGTCCTGAGCTTTAGATATGGTGTTGGGAAGCTCAGGCAATGTTGTTTTGCACTGCCCCGGACAATCTATTTGAAGGACTGACAACCGTTTCCTGCAACTTCAGATAACTGGCAACAATGATTTTAAGCACCAAGATGGCTGAAATGTTCTTCTGAAGCATAGCTTCTTCAGTGGCTCTAGGCTCTGCAAAACATCTTGTTTGAAACAAACCGTTTCGCACAGCGCACACGTAAACAACTACCATAGGTGAAACCACAACCAAACTTGATGATCCACCTGCAATTGGCGACGTGCAGACAAAAAGCGTCGTTGTGGTTGGTCTTTCACGATTGGGCAAATGCTCAGTGCAACGTCCCGAGTGGAGTGAATTCTTCCGTTCTCGATGAAAATATGAGTAACGTCAGACTGTCAACGTTGGCTTAAGAACTCTATGACTGCAAACCTCCGACATGCTTCTGACACACGCCGTGAAACTTGTTAGTAAATGTAGTTCCGGTGGTGAAGCAGTGGACGGACACCTTTAGAGGGCACCACAGAAAGACCTCGTTGCCAAATAGGTAGTGTTTTATAAAAAGGGTTACAGCCACATTGGCCGAGCCGTGCTAACCCAATACCGGTTCGAATATTTGCGAGCCGCTGTACTGACAACATAAGCTGGTACATACGTGTTCCATGATGGAACAAGGATGTACCAATGTACCATGAAATGCCAATCGTGGGCATTTTTGTTTTATCTGGTGTTGAAGTACGTAATTTAAAAACATGCCCGTCACTAGTGTGCTTAGATTTCAGTGTTACCAACTACTTCATCGAGGTCACATGTTTTATAAGCCGCTTTCCTCCTCGCCCCGCGACAACGCAGCGCATGTGCACTTTCGACCAATCAGCACAGGGCAGCACAATCCACCATTAAACTGCAAATGCTTTTTTATGGTTTCCAGTTGCTCCGTTTCTTAAAGGGACCATGAAACGATTCTGAAATAGAATTTCATCCACCACATGTCGTAAAAGGCGTGAAAAGAAAACCAAAACACAATAAAAGAGCCCCCCCCCCAAAAAAAAACTTTGCTATAAAACTTGCTATAAAGCTTTCATGCCTTCTTTCCTTTGAAAGCTCTCTGCCTTTTCACTGCGATGCATCTGCAGTGCCACAGCATGTCAGCCAAATTCACATCGCCTTCTGGATCGGAGCCAACCTCACTAGCACAGCAATTACAAACAATATATTGCCGCCGAATGTTTCTTAAAAGTTTTGTTAAAGAATACTCTGATCCACATTTTGTTGAATAATTAGCAATGTGACGGGATTGCCGAATTTTATAATGCTCAGAGGTATGCACCATCTATCTTGTGGTACTTGAAGCAAGAGAAAGGTACGACTGCGCCTGTGCCGTTTCGCAATTCCTGCTCTCTGCTGGAAAGTCGGTGGTGATCATATTCGTGGTCGGCGTGGTGGAAGCTTATCGTTTTGCGTAAAGCGCTCTTCCACTGAATTCTCATTGCATGTCGCGATGATAACCCAGCACATCCTAGAAGGGAAGATCCATCTACTTGTGTGGCAATGTTGTGGAGGCACCCTCAAGACAGCAGAAACGCTCATCCACTCTGCCCTGCGAGCCTATCCTGACAAAATAAAAGTTAATAAACCTTTAATGAGCAGTATGTAAGGGCGCAAGTGAGCTGGTGTATATCAAACATTTTAGTGAAAAACCCGAGACAGCTATTGACAGACGACGACAAGGAAGAGAAGGAGAACGTTTCTCCTTCTTCTCCTTGTCGTCGTCTGTCAATACCTCAGTCTCGGGTTTTTCACTAAAATGTTTAATAAAGCCTGAGCCCATAAAAAGCTCTGTGCATTTTCTGCTACGCCAATAAGTGACAGTGTGTCCCCTTCTTTTTAGAGATACCGTGGAAATGGCGACGGCAACGGAGAAGCGGCTGTTGTGCTGACAACCTGCTGTGCTGCCGTATGGGACCAGACCCATGCTGTCGCTGCAGTGCAACACATCTAATTGAATTTCGCTCAGTTGCGATGTGTCCATGGCTATCACGGTGATGAGAGGCGCCGATGCAGAAATTACGTCGGTGACATCGGCGCCATCACTGCAGTAAAACCCTGAGGTAAAACCTACCAGCACACCGCCAGCTAGCCGCTAACGTTCCCATTCTCCTACTGCCGAGAGAACTTCCGGTTCCGGTGACAGAGGACGTCACGACTGTCAAAATTACGCCGCAGCTTGTTTTGCGATGAGTTGAGGAAGAAAAACTTGATGTTTCAGTAATTTTTAATGTAGAAGTTAATAAACCAAAACGAAAACAGATGCCTGTTTGGCGTTCAGTGAACATTGAAGGTATCATGTAAAAGTTATTTGGCAAAAGTAAAAAGATCACTTCATGGTCCCTTTAAGTCTACGCTCTTTGGTTGGTCACCAGCCATGCTTCTGAAGCTCTACACAACGAAATGGAAGCACCTATGAGGTAATACAACCAAACATCACTTGATAAAAACTGATTGATTTGGCCTTCCTAGATGATAGAGAAGACTTTTGGTTTTTGAGTGATTCTAATTACAGCAATGGTTGCTCTGAACCCAGCACACACAAAAAGTATGCTATGAGCATGAACATTTAAGAAACCACATCAATGTAAAGATTTGGCTTACCAGGCAGGAAAGGACGAAACCAGCTCCGAGTGTTAATACTGTGTAGGAAAACTGCTGTACGGCATATCCCCATGCCAGACCAAGTACCTGATGAAATAGGAGCAAGGTCAGTGGCGGGAACTTTTTGTAAATGCTAACTACAACGAAGGGACCTTATCTAAAATGAGTCAATTGATTACTGTCTCAGTTCAAAGACATATCTTTGAAAGCAATTCTTCTCGCCCAAATTATTGTTCAAAGGAGGCATCAAGATGTGGTCTTTAATTTGCACAAATCTGCAATAAACTGTGGCATCTTGCTCTTACAAACATGTTTGTATAGCTCGCCTGAATCTGCACCTACACTATTGGGCAGGAGATCGAACTATAGGGGGCGCTCTGACCCGTTTGTTTTTCCCACGCTCGGCGTTTACTCAACACAAGGCCTGTCCACATGCTGACAGGCCTTATGGGCATATTCATGTCATCTTCTACAATAGAGCGCGGGGCACCGTTTAATGTAAAAAATACTAACAATCGACGAAGCGATGTTAAGTGCCGGATCTATCCTCAGAAATGCGAGCTTGACCCACTTCGGTTCTTATGCTGAGCTGGGGCCGTGCATGCTGCATTGTTCATGCAGGCCGTAATGGAAACAAAAGAACCCCTCCTCCCCCTCACCGGAGAACACTAACTCCAGCCGAACGCTGACGCCGCATTCGGTTATGTCGGCCGAGCGCTGAGTCATTGTATTTGTTGTCCCCATCCATGTAGTTGTAAAGTTAACCGCTTGGGGCGTCACGGTCTGTCCTCCTCCCCAATATTCACAAGACCATCACCATTGCAGAAACATAATGCAGCTGGGCGGAGTGTACTGTGTACAAAATCTCGCAGCCTTCCTTTCTTTTATCTTTTGGAAATGCATCTGCATTTTTGCAGCCCATTCTACATCTACTTCAAGCGTTCTTACAGACCATGACTAGTCATGGGTTGAAAACAATTATACCATTTTTATCGCACATTTACATAGGGGTTTGTGTTCAAAGAAATTATGGGCGTGTGTGTACTCATATGTCATGCAGTTTTATCGCAGAGCCGTATTCCACCATTCATGGTGTGGAGAACGGAAAATTTGCAGTTACATATTCATTTACAAAAAAAGAGACAATGAGGACATACCGCGAAGATCACTATGACTGTCTGAAATATTTTCTCGGCCCTTTTCTGGCCTTCGAAGTCCTGAAAAAGCACACAGACAAGTTGTTACGATTTGAAGAACATCCAGGGCGACTGACCCTTCAGAGATCTCGAAAACTGGCGCATACGGTACTTAAATCATGCGATACCACCAAAAAGGGTTGGTCACATTGTTCGACAAGGTTTGCCCCCCAATAGCAACTACAGAGGTTATGCAAGAAACAAAAGTGCGAGTCCCTTCCAAGTTGCAAAATATGCGCGTTAAGAGCTGCCACCAAGCATAATTCTAGCCCAATTCTAACAAATGCTTATGCAGTTTAAGCAGCTCTGTATACGCTTCGGCAACATATTTTGCGTTTCGTGGCTTTGACTATTCGCTGTTCAACCGTGTCTCGAGAGAAGGAACGGCAGAGAACGGCCATGCCCACTGGACATTCGGAAAAGTAGTGAACTTGTTAATTTCACTGCAAATTCGGACAGTGGCAATCCTAATTCAATAGGGTAGAATCCAAAGCCGCAACATACTCCACGCACTAGCGAAGTTACGTGACGTGTATCTGACAAGCCATAATATGCCGACGGCCACTGCGTTACGATCTCCGGGTTCAGAGAGTTTTATTGATAGTACAAATAAACTATACAAGTTCATCAATACAAACATAAACTGTTCATGAAAAGTAGGGAAATACCAAATGCTATGTCAGTATGCACAGTTGAGCTGGTAAAGCGATCGGAACACCGGAATATCAGAAAATACAGCCGTTTCGTCGTATTGGCGGCTTACCATATGCGTTGGAAGCGACTTCAGGAAAGGTATTTCAATCATTGTCGTTTAATTCGTGGTCCAAATGCTTCGTAACAACCGATCAGATGAAATACAGCGAACGATCCCTACGACCATACAACACGTTTACAATTTTAACGATTTGCGACCCATGCGCTCCGAGCGGACAACAGCTGCAATAGTCTCAAGACTCGCAGTCAATTGTCAATGCTTAAAAAAAATCGCACAAACTTAAAGTTTATTTTTAGGCGTTAAGCTGTCTAATAATTCTTAAGTTAAACTAGAAAATATTTTATGCTTTATTAAAATAATATGATGTTATTAGCAAGTCAAAATAGGTTCGCAGCAACTCTATTCGCCTCCATTCCCATCATTGGAGTAAAAATTGCTACTTCGAGGCATCTTTCGCTTTTATTTTTCTTCAATTGGATGTGTTAATCTCCTCAAATTAGATACCGTGGCTCCCGAAAATGGGGGTTCCGAAGTTCTACAGATGGATCAGCGAACGCTATCCCTGTCTGAGCACCGTTGTCAAAGAATATCAGGTAACGTCGACATTGGACAGGCTGTATCCGCCAAGTGTCATTCCGCGCGAAAAACACTCGGGCGTTCGTTTGGGGAATGCTTCGATCAATCGCTGTTGAAACTGACCGGAACAGATGTCAGTTTGGTTGAATGGCTAAACAAACCCGGTCTTTCTACAAGGACGCAGCAAAGATGTAACGATCGCTTCGAATGCACTTCGGGCTATTTTTGCCGCACGCACAGCACATTCTTGTTTGTTTGTGAAAGCTCAAGCTGTGTTCTTTCCTCGCCCCCCTCACAGCGTGTAACCAACATAACGATGTCTTGTTGATTGTTGTGCTAGTTAATTTTTCTAGTACGTTGCCTTGTGCGTGAAAAGAACCACAACAAAACATTGTTTGTCTACCGATTGCACGATGCGACAGATATGCGCGTGCAGCGCTCATGAGTCATCACCATCCAGATGTCGAGTGTGCAGAGTTCGTTATCATCTTAGCAATGCGTGCAACGACATCAACTTAAGTTTTCGGACCGATCAATTCTGAAACTGATTCACGCTAAATATATAAAAAAAAGCGTAGAGCCGTAACGCAAGTTTTTTTTTTTTTTTTCTCAAAGTTTCGTATTTGAATTTTGAGCATAATACCAAGTTGACAAACATCCTAATCTCGAAGTTACCAGTGCATCATGTCTGACACAATATTCCCATGTTTTCTTAGGGAATTCGGGTAGCCTTTGCCAAATTTCTGCAAACGCTTCCTAAAAACAGTTTTTTTTATATAAATCTGTCAATGTGATTTGAAGAGGGACTTGGAGAACTGTTGAATGACAGCCAATGTTTCAGGGGTCTGGAGGTGCTAAGCCCAAAAATGGAAGAACTATAATTCGGAGGCTTCCTTAAAGGGATGCTGAACCGAAATTTTGATTCCACAAAACGCACGGTAAAAGCGTGCAACGGGATGCTACAAACACCCGAACATCACTCATACAGCGATATCTCGAACGGATGTCCAAATTTTTCAAGAAAAGGAGGCGCATTTGACAGAGATGATGTCGTCATGTTTCTCCGAGAAGGAGAGGGAACGGCCTCGCGTCTTCTCCGCCTCGCGGCCCTGAGGGAGCGAAGCGAAGAGAGGAGGAAACTCGGTATCTTGACGTCACGCGCCTCGTCGGCCTGGTTCAATCTCGACCTCTTTTTCCAAAAATACGGCCATCCATTCGAGATATCGCCTTACGAGTAGTGTTGTAGGATTGTAGCGTCCCGCCTACATTTCCTGCATTGTTTTTTCTGAAATCTAAATTTCGGTTCACCATCCCTTTAAGGGTTCCTTCTCGATCCATCTACAATGCCACAGCAAATTTTCTGTGTTGCCTTGGCGAGGACAGCATAGTTTCCACAGAACTGCAGTCCCTCAGTATGGCACTACTGACAGGAAAAGCGGTGAGAGGGCTCCGCTTTTCCCTCGTTCCACCGAGCAATGCTGACATGAGTCAAAGAGGATGTGGAGAGATCCAGTTTTTTCCCCTTTTTCTTTATTTTTTTTTTTACCTAACTTTTCTCGGAATCATGCTTGCCTTGCCAATGCTGCTAACCAAAGTTGACATGAAGTATAGCGAAACATATGTAGTCATACCTAGACATTTCTCCAGACCCTCAAATGAAGACTAATCTTACCCAATATAAACCTCTGAAGAAATTTGCTTTGTGGAGGTCCCGATTCAAGTGCTTTTCCAACTTCATCGACTTTTTGAGTCATCTTTGTTCATTTTTGAACAAAGTAATCTAGAACGCAGTACCACTGTTCGTCCATATTATTGGCATAGCATATGGATGGTGATCCATTAGTCAATGCAACAGATGCATCAAATGGATTATTGTCTATAGACCTTTCCAGCGGCAGTCTTGAACGAAGCGAGCGGGCAAAAAATGCTGAGTCACTGAGCTGTGGATGCTTGTGCAGCGTCCGATATACTGCACAGCAGATCAACAGCGCATGCTTGGAAGGCGTTCCACAGCTCAGCTGACAAAGGTGGCAGCACGCAGGAGGCGATTTCTGCAAAGGTCTATACAAGACCAAGATCTGCAACCGATAGATTACACGTCTGTGAGGGACCGATAACTCATTGTCCTCCATGCTGTCTTTCTCCTCACCAGATACCAGAGTTTGACAATCTGTACCTTGATATGAATGGCATCATCCATGTTTGTTCGCATCCGAACGACGACGATCCCCACTTTCGCATAAGCGAGGAGAGGATTTTTTTGGACATCTTCAACTACATTGATGTAAGCCCATTTCTTACAGGGTGTCTGAAGAAAAAAAAAATTGTTGTAAAAATGTATGGTGTTTCTTGCGTTTTTTATTTTTTTGCCTCTGTACGTAATGTTGACTGGCCATCATATGTACACTTATGTATGCACAATTCTTTGTTTTTAATTTTTTTAATTTTACCAAATGCAGTAGGTGAAAAGTCTGAATGGATTTTTTATACCGCAATTTGGGGAGCTGTTAGATTCTTCGCAAAAAAATTAAGTTTAGTGCATGAAAAGAGGGAACTTTTATGTGAATAAAAATTGGTGAAATTGATTTATTGGATTGTTATTTCTAGTCCCCATTGGCAAAAACTGGAGAACTGCGAGTTATAAAAAAAGTTTGGTTCAATTCATTGTAGATGGAGCGTTATTGCATTAAAGGGCCCCTGAAAAGAAAAAAAAGTGTTTTTCTAAACAGTCTGGTTGGGACACGTGTTTAAAAAAATAAATTTTAGGCGAAAAAATTTTTTTTAGAGGAATATTGACGGCGAGAGATTTATTTGAAAGTCTGCGCGCAAAGTCCATGACGTCACGGGTCATTTTGGAATGACCATCTCGGTCGTGAAGGCGAAGCTAATCCACCTCTCCTCCACGCACCCGAAATGCCGAGAGAGAAAACAAGTGGAAAGAAGGTGACTACCGACTAAGTTGCGTCTCGAGCCGTCAATATTGCTTTAAAAAAAACTTTTTATCGCGTAAAATAATTTTTTGACGTGTGTCCCAACTAGAGCACTAAAAATTTTTTTTTCTTTTCAAGGTTTTTTAACAATACATATCCTGCACATGTTGACATAGGATAATTAGTATGTTTGATTGAATTTAGTTTTTAAAACATTAAAGCTTGCCATTCTCATAAAAAATGTCCCTTTGCACTTGTTCAGTTTTTGTTCCGGATGATCAAGCCTCGCAAGACGTTCTTCATGGCGGTTGATGGCGTGGCTCCTAGGGCGAAGATGAATCAGCAGCGGGGCAGACGGTTCAGGTAATATTACCCAGGGCTGACTGGCTGACTGCATGATGAAAAGGCTTTGAACCAAGGCCACGGTGTAAGATAATACTCTTCAGGTGAGGACAGCACGCTCTTCGCGACGTGCCCGATAAAGTTTGCTCTTTACTCTCTCTCACTATGGTTTCAAGCGGCACCGGCAGGTGACTCGTCGACCCATGGGCATGTACAAGACGGCTCGTGCCGCCTCATGTACCACACGCACAGAGCTCCAGCGAGGTTGTCGTACGTGCAGAAAAACCACGGTGTACCGGGGTGTCATGGCAACGAGATAATTTTTTTCGCTCTCACACAGTTTCGCCGCTTGGCTGCCGGCGACACTGTCAGCCGCGGGCACATTGGCAGCGGAATGATGCAGCCTTTCGGATGCCCGTCGAACGAACGCTATCTGATTCCTCGCGCCGTGCGTTCAACCCCGCCGTGTCTTCACCTGAAGAGTGTATCTTACACCGTGACCAAGGCCTAAAGCCATGTCTTGGTTGGGGGTAAAAGGGACTTTTATGGCTCATCTTTGGCATATCCTGGTGAAAATTGTTCTTTATGAATTCAGTTTGGTTTAAGCCAATATAGAAATTTATACTTTGTATATAACAGGATCTGTTCAGAAAATTAAGTTATGCATAGGTTAATTCATGATTCAATAGACAGTCTTATTCTTGTTGCTTTTGTGTACCTTCAGAGTATTTTATTTAGACCTTTGTTGGAATATATCGCAGGTTTCCTGACTTCATTGTGTTACATAAGCAATTTTTGCAAGAAGCTGCCTAACGCTGTACAAAATCGGAACGCGATAGGTTAAGAAACTGATTTTTGTGATCGATTTAAAAAGCCTGGCCGCTATTTGGGACACCGGGTAGAAAGTGATCGTTTTATATATACTATGTGTTTTTATAATGTCTTTGCATATAAATCTTTCTTAGCTTTACTGTGAAAGCCCTCAAGATGTAATATTAACCAAAAATGAAGTGAAGTCAAGTTATAACATCAAGATTCTATAACCTCTCTTTAGAGAAAGAAGAGGGGTTGCGCACGTCAAATGAGTCGATTCTGGATGGCATATTCTGTGCAAAAGCAATCAGATTTTGACAATTGATATATTTTTGTGTGTACTATATATTTTTTTTTATTACGTCATAGTGTAACTGAAGTCTAGCATAGTTTGAAAATCATATCTGATGGATGGCCCTGAAGGAGTCTTTTGCTTTTGCAGGTCAGCTAAGGAAGCACTGGCCCTCGAGAAACAGGCACTCAGCCGGGGTGAGGTGCTGCCCACAGAGGCCAGGTTCGACTCCAACTGCATCTCTCCAGGTATGCCCTTACATTTTTTTAAAATGAATTTTTCTACATTATTTGCTTAGGTCGATGACTTTGGCATGTGTTGTGGAGACGGTGGCACTGACCATATCTCTGAAGGTGTATCTCAAGTCTTTCTTTGTACGGCGCTAAAGATTTCTGGTTCATTCTTTGTACCACAGGCTTGAGGCGGCTTCGAGGCAGCCTGACTTACAATGAGGCAGGTTGCTCGAGCTTAGGTTTCTGTCTGTTTTAGAATTTCTTTCGCAACTTTACATGAATTTTGATTCCTCCAAGGTAATCTTTTCGGCTTCACCGACCTGATCTGGGAGAAGCTGGGAATTCCCCACTGGCAACTCCGATAGATTTGGCCGTCCTTCCAAACCACTCGGAACCCTGACACTCGTTTTGTTGGAAGTTCACGTTACTAATTATAACTGCGTGTAAACAAATAGACACTCAACATAAGGGATTGATTTCAGTGGCATATTACTCGCAACATCTAATATAGAGTTTGTTTCGTGATGCTGTGTGTGTAGAGTGTCGTCTCTGGGGAGGAACGCACCTCAGGCATTATTGGTGTGCAGCTGTCTTGTATAAGACCTTGATGTGACCTCTTTGTACAGGAAGCAAAATATTGCTTCCTCTTCATCTTTACTTCGCAGATCTGAAACATATTCTTTGAAGACCATTTTGTCATGTGCTCTATTTTGTTAAACTGTTTGCTTTTGGAAACACAAAGTTTACCCCATGTTTCTATTTTTCCCGCAAAGGGAATGGAGGTCAGCAAAAATAGTGGCCGTTTGCAGAATGCCACTACATCAACCCACAGCCTTAGTCGCTAATAGAAATGTTATATTTTGCCACTGGTGTGAAATTCGCATTAGGTTCCGTGAGCTGCACAGAGGAACTGATGGCTCCTTTATGTGTCGTCATCTGCATTTCAGGCACATCTTTCATGGCCAATCTACAAGAGCAGCTGGAACAGTTTGTAGCCATGAAGATTTCAAGTGACCCCCTCTGGCAAGAAGTCAAGGTCTACTTGTCGGGACATCAGGTCGGCAGAAGTTCTCTTTCCTCCGGCAGAGGAATTTTTAAACCTTTCAATTTCGAGGAACCCTTGCTTGCCTTGACTGATGTGCCGAGGAATCCCTCCCGGTCTTGACGTCGGTACAGTAAAGTGGTTGAGGACTCCACAGAGCTTGCAGACAATAATGGACATACTATACTTGCGGTCAGCTTTCTGTGGCAATGCAGTCAATGCTAGGGGAGAGGGTGCACCAACCGCTGTACATGCACTTTCCTCCTCTCTTCGAATTACCACGGAAAGCTGACCGCGAGTATAGGTAATGTTTAGTGTATAGCAGACCTAAGCCATCGATCGGTGGCTCAGGTCTGTTATAAAAGAGCTTAAACTGGGAAAACACTTTACTTTTGGGCAGGGGCGGTCGAGAAACTTAGAGAGCTTGGAGGACCTGTAGGGGTACCCGGGAGAACCCGTAGGGGTACTCTGGGGAACCCTTGTGTTCCTAGGAACCCAGTTTGAGAAATCATGCGGGCCCTGTGAACATGATTGTTCGGAATTGTGGTTTGCTCATGTTGTCCGGTCGTCATCATCAGCATCGGAAATGGCTCTCCTTGAAAGATGGTAATGGGTTCTCTTTATGCTCGTGCATTATGCTGAAAGTTATTGGAATGGCAGTGTACCCGAGAAAAAGATCAGAAAATATCAGTAGAGAATGGATTTCAGTTTTAGGTGACTGGCATTACAGAAAGTTTTTATGACATCGACAATACATTGAGTGCATCCGGCCAGTGCACTTGATGCACCTTATATAACTAAAAAAAAACAGCTGTTAAATCGTCCCTTTTTTTGTCTGGAGATGAGTGGTTGTGTGCTTTGACTTATGCTGTATTGTCTATATGTGTGTCATATTTGTATAAATCTATAAAAATATACCTTATTTATACCTAAATCTAAAGGAATCTTTTGGAAATAGGGGACACTGTTGAAGGGGTTGTCTTCGAGGCAGGTGCGGCGGGCTCAAAGTGCAAAATCGGCTTGCACATCGAAGGAATAATGATGGAAGAAAGTTTCCACTGAAATCTACATCTTGAAATTTGCCCTCAGAAAGATGACCCAAATGCTCTAAAGCTACTGAGGCAACATAACCAAGAGTGATGTCTTGAAAGTAAAAGAGAGGTTAGGAGGAAGAGACATGGTTGCACAAGCACTGAACCAAGGAAACACACCCATCGTCATGACCAGGCTTACAAACGCCATTCATTTTCATTCTTTTTACAGCGGAGCTGTTAGGGGCTAGTTTCCCCAGTTTGTGTGCCCGTGTACAAACCAATCTCAACACAAAACTCTGGACAGCTACCACCATCAATGAGCGACGGCGGCAACCAGACAACTGGCTTGCCAGTTGTCTGGTTGCTGCCATCGCTCATAGATGGCGGAAACCTTTCCAGCCTTTCCACTCTGGTTTTCACCCGAGTGGAAATGCTGAATTTCTCTAGGCGTCCTAAAAATCGTCCTTGAGGTCGTCCTAGACAGCGTCCTTGAGGTTGTTCTTGAGGTCATCCTAGAGGTCGTCCTAGGCAGGGTCCTCGGGTCGTCCTAGAAGTCCTTGAAATCGTCCTTGAGGTCGTTGTAGATGTCCCTGCGTTGTCCGTGAGGTCGTCCTTGGCGTCAACCTTGAGGTCATCCTAGTCGTCGTCCTTGAGGTCGTCGTCCTCGAGGTCGTCCTGGAAGTCGTCCTTGAGATCGTTTTAGACGTCGTCCTTGAGGTCATCCCACCATAGTACAGCTTTGCTGGTCTTCCTTCTTCACCAGAGTGGAAAGGCTGAAAGTTCTTTTTAAGTGCTGTCTCTTGTGTCTCACTTTTGTCTGGTCTGTCAAGAGACAATTCTCCCTTGTGTTTATGGGAAAAGAGAAAATTAAATACCTTTTGGGAAGGGGGCAAGTCGAGAAACCTGTTCTTTATTTTTTTTTATTTATTGTTTCTAGGCTGGGATGTGAGGATATAGCGTGATTTTGAAACTTGAAGATGCAGTCATGTCTCAATAGTATGGACCCCGTTAATATGGACACATTGTCTACATCTACATCTCTAGTTGACAAAATATTTGGCGACCAATCTTTCGTTGTGCAATTTTGCCCCGATAATATGGAAACCTGCAGTCCAGACTATGGACAGCTATTTTGGGAACGAATTCGGTAAGTACAGGCATTTTCATCCAGTTATTATGGATGCCAGTGCCCCAGTTTAAAGAAAAAAGGCCCAGAAGCATCTCGAGATATCTGTAAAACCAAAAGGGCACAGTGTGCACCCGGACTTTTGTTGCAGGTCTTGCGATAAGGGCTGTGCGCCAAAAGACGTTTTTGTTTTTTCTTTTACGTAAGATGGGTCATTACCGTTTGCATTCTACCGTTGCTTGAAATCGTGTATGACCTACAGACGCGAACAACGAAGAATGAACCCTAAAGCAACTAGATCACCTCACTGTAGACGTCCCTGTTTTGGCAATGGGAGAGAAGCTATGGACCCACGAGGTTAATTTCTCCTACACTGCATTTCACCGTAACTTGGCAAACGGCAAAGGCTACGGTTCAAGCCAACCAATCGACATGTTGGAGGAGACATGTGACTCACTAGGTGCACACCGTGCTGTCGAAGACATGGGCGGGAAAGAGATGGATGCCGTTTTTGTACAAGTTTTGACTGAAAGGCTAAATTTCTGGCTGAACAGAGCGACGCTGCTCTGGTCACGTGAAAGGCAGATGAGACGATGTCAGGCGAGAAGCGGAGGTGGTCGGAGGCCATAGCATGTGTGCGTTTTGACCCCGATTCACTATTATGAACGACTCGCACTATAGACTGTTTTCCGGGTGAACGAAGGCGTTTATATTGGTGGGACATGACTGTATTGCTCTCTTGTATAGTAGCAGCCTTGATGTGACAAAAAACTCAACCTCGTTATATTTAGATTTGACTGTAAATAAAGAAATTATAAAAATTTCTAATACTGGTTGTTAACGCTTTGGGGGTTGTCCTAGATTCGACGGTGCCTTCGATTTTGGGCAGATATAATAATTTACGCATATGCAGCCTCGCTCTTCAAGAAGGACTCTCCTTGAGTAGCCATATGGCTACTCAAGGAGAGTCCTTGAGTCCTACCGTGCAGATATAATTTCCCAAGGGACATCTTGGGAAATTATATCCGCACGGTAGGCATGTCTACATTTTCTTTGTAGCCAACTCTTTCAAACAGACTCGTATTTGCACAACTTTTGCTCATCTTCTCTTTCTCAAGATGTCAGCATCAGAGGTCGGCATTTTAGGTCGCCCTCACTCACCCTCACCCTCACAGCCACACTCACCTTAGCCCCTCACTCACCCTCACAGCTACACTCACCTTCAGCCCCTCACTCACCCTCACCCTCACAGTCACACTCACCTTCAGCCCTTCACTCACCCTCACTGAACCTCACGGCCCTCACGCACTCACCGCCCTCACTGCCCTCACTGCCCTCACTCCCCTCACGCCCCTCACGCCCCTCACTCACTCATGGCCCTCACGCCACTCACCGCCCTCACCGCCCTCACGGCCCTCACGCACTCATAGCCCTCACGCCACTCACCGCCCTCACCGCCCTCACGGCCCTCACGCCACTCACCGCCTTCACGGCACTCACCGCCCTCACGCCACTCACCGCCCTCACACCACTCACCGCCCTCACGCGCCTCACCGCCCTCGCGGCCCTCACACCCCTCACGCACTGATGGCCCTCACGCCACTCAGGCCAGCTTCAGATGGGGCAATTTCACCCAGAAACTTTACGTCACAACACCAGCAACACGGGCCGCCCGCGATCACACGCAGCAACCAATTGCTGCAATTTGCCATCGTCATCATAAAATTTTATTTTTCTTGCACTATTTAGACACAATTACGCGTTATAAACGTGTTTTTATGCATTTAAATCTCGTTAAGAATACTAATGCACTTTTCTTAAACAGTTTATTTCCAAAAAAACGATTGATTTCAAACCAGAACCAAGTCTTTCGGTGTCATCATCACCGGCACGAGGTATCACGTGAAAATTTTGCGTCCCTGATTGGATGCAGCCGCTTCAAACGCATTAGAATTGCTCCTAGTTGCTTGCTTATTTCGAGCCGGACCCGATCTCAGCAATCGTGTCAATCTAGGGAAAGCTAGAGAATAACCCGCCATTAACACCAAAATTGCTGAGAAAGATGCTCGATCTGAAGGGGGCCTCACGCACTCATGGCCCTCATACCCCTCACCGCCCTCATGGCCCTCACCGCCCTCACCGCCCTCACCGCCCTCAGAGCCCTCACCGCCCTCACCGCCCTCACAGCCCTCACGGCCCTCACTCACCCTCACACTCATGAATTTTCCTGGTTCAGAAACTCACTCACCCTCACCTGACCTGTGAAGATAAGGGTGAGTGAGGGTGAGTGAGGGCCCTCATGAGTGAGGTTTGCCGAGGTATGGTCAGCATAGCCTCCACATTGACCGCCAATATTTTTGCTCAAAGCGCCGATCCCTATGACCTGCTTTGCTAAGGGGGTCACGTGACCTAAGGGGGTCACGTGATCTCGGGGGGTCACGTGACCTTGCGGTTACGCCGACGCCGACGCCGCTCAAGCCGGAAACGGGTCCCTAAGAGCTGCGCTCTAAAATGTTTCTGCAAAAAAATTTGATTTTGAGAAATGACATATTTATATCCACCAACATCCATACTCCGTCTCACCTTATGTTGTACCGCAGCAAAAGCTAGAAGTGCGAGCTCGTAGCATTGGCAGCTGCCGTTGGTGCACGCGAGCTTGTGCTGCCGAGATGTGCCCCAGAGCAAGTAGCTCACGCTTGTAGCCTTTCCTGCGGTACGTCATAGGGTGAAACAGAGTATAGAGAGTATTCCTGGAAAGTTTAATTAGTTTAAACTGCATAGTTAATTGTTTATAAATTATTTTCTGTCTGCCGAAGCAAAAAAAAAAAAAAAAAAGGTAGGGTATGGAGCACTTTGAACACATTTCTCTCCGATCCACTTTTTGGTATAAATTCCATTTTAGTCAATCTATCATCTGATAATGGCAATACAGGGAAGGCTCATTCTTCACTTTTCCTGACTGAAATTTAATAAGGAATGTGGCTAGGGAATGTTTTTGCCACTTTACGGATGCCTTTCATAAAAAATGTTGACATTTTGTCCGACACAGAAGACCAAAAAGTTTAACAATTTTGCAGATGAGAAAATTTATGGAAATAAATGACTCTTCATGGAAAACTTTTCATAGCATCCTGCTACATATCTAGCGAATAAAAATCTTGAATATTGTGATGGTTTTCCCGATGATAGATTTAACTAAACATTGCAGGCGTGTTGCTGATAGTAGCTGCTCTAATTTCCTTCCCATTTAATTGACAGACCTGAAATTTTGTTATGCACCATCTGGCCTGTAAATTTAATTACCATCTACCCTGTAAATTTAATTAATTTTAAGCCAAGGGATCAAAAGTTGACCCTCCCGGGGGTGTGTCCCCTTAAAAAAAGGTGTCAACGTTTACCGTCCCTCTTTCCCAGACTCCCGGGGAAGGCGAGCACAAGATCATGGACTTCATCCGTACGGAGCGGTCCAAGCCAGGCTACGACCCCAACACGAGGCACTGCCTCTACGGGCTGGATGCCGATCTGGTGAGTTCCTTCGTCCGTCCCCCAGCCTCTCGCTGCTAAGCTGTAGTTGCTGACAGCATGAGAAGCACAGGGCGTGGCCTGTTATGTTTCGTTCTTTGGCCTCCTGTCGGCTAGTGCTGCAGTTGGCTAGTGCTGCGAAGCAATGAAAAGATGCTCGGGGTTTGCCTTTCTTAAATTAAGCTGTCAGTGGCTGTGGCGGTGCTTTTTGTGCCACAAGTTTTTGTCAGCTTCGTGTGCCATTTCACAGTTGAAGGGACACTAAAGCCAATTTTCTGTTTGCAGTTAGCGATCTGCGCCGCATAGCACTCATACCGTGGGCAAGTCTGGACGGGTTTAGTTAATAAAGAGGAACCTTTAGTTTACATAAAGATTAGTTAAAGCACTCAAAGTAATTAGCCTTCCAGTTACGACACCAGATAAAAACGGGGGAATGCGAAATTTTGCGGGGTCTATGCTTCACTTCCCTGAGAGAACAGTGTCGGCCTGCGTTGTTAGCCCTAAAAGCGTTTTTTTTTTTTTTTCTCCTAATAAATCGATTTACACGAAGTCTTTTAACCTGTGACGTGTAAATTTATTTTGCTCTTTCCTTCCAGATAATGCTGGGCACATGCTCCCATGAACCCCACTTCGCTCTCCTTCGAGAGGAAATTGTTTACGGCAAGAAGCAAAACCAGAAAAGGTATTCCGGGGTGCATCTGTCCACATTGCACGATTTTCTTAGGTGCTGCTCTTGGTTACTGCCCTTTAAGTGAATGTCAAATTAGGTTGTATGTTTCCTGCTCAGTGGAGCTTGCAGTGATGGAAGTGCTGCGATATTTGTGCCATTCTGCACCACAAAACGAAATTCTGCCACATCTTATGCCAAAATGCCATTTTTGCTAAGAATTGCGCCACACCTGCGCCTAGATGGAAGTCACGGGACTCCTCTTAATTAATTTAGCCAACGAAAGAATACGTAAAGAAGGAGGACGAATGCCATCAGGTCGTGTATGACATACAGTAGGTGCGTGCCGTGCTGTAGGTTATGCCGCTGCTTGATTGGTCCCACTGGCTCGTAGTATAGGCTGCGCTTTGAATTAAAATGAAACAAACTATAGAAATGGCTCGTCAACCACGGTGACCTTGTTGTAGACTGAATTGTAGCCGATGTTGGTATCTAAAAGTTGCGATGCTACTGCGATAATATAGAGATGGGGTATTTTACTCCATATGATATCACTTGATGTTCATGTCTGTCGCATGCCTCCATGCCGTGGCTATAGTCGCAGTGCACGGTGGCACTCGCACTGTTCGCTTCAACCATCACCGCCTCGCACCAGTGTGCGCTTGCGTCGGTTGGATCTTAAATTATGCTGACTATGATCTTTGGTCTTGACTGTAAGTCATCCTCTAATTTAGAAAAAGGTTGTGCCGAGAAAGGGGGAAAATAAATGAACAAACAACCGCACGTTTGTATTTTAAGAAATACATCAGTCAAGGGCAGCGAAGTTTGACTGAACTTTTTTTCCAATGCTGTTACAACTGTAGGTTTTTGTAGTACATATTTGTGGGTGGTTGATTTTGCAGCTTATGATATTTAAATATTGAGCTTTATAGCTTCATAAAACCTGGGGAGACATACTATTAGTATTGGCAGATACACTTTAGCGGATATGCCATTTTTTGCTGGCACTTTACGGGAATTATTTTAGCAGGCTAAATAAACTGCGGAGTGTAGAAGGGGGAAATAGAGAGAGCCTTTGTCAACTGGAGTGTTGAGCCATGCATTGTTTTTAAACAATTTTTTTGATACCTATCGTAAATGGAACCTGCTCAGACCTGGCCAAATGCTGCTTTCTTTACTGAGTTTGTGACAGTTTATGTCAAGTCAGGAGTGTGAAAGTAAAAAAAAAAAGTTATTTTTGCTTTCACGAAGGCTTTTAGTTCTGGATATATCTTTTGTAGAGACACATTCATTGCTGCATTTCAGGTTAAACGTCCCTGAAGAAATCACTTTTCATCTCCTTCATCTGTCACTTCTACGAGAGTACCTGTCCTACGAATTCCAGGCAGTCAAGGTAGGGTAAAGCTCTGCATCTGTGCTTAATTTGAAAGTAAAATAGAAGAAAAAAAAAATAAAAGCACATAAATACTGAAACACTCTCAGCCAGTAAACAAGCGTTGAAAGGGTAGGATTGATTGGTTTCTGTGTGACCCATTTTGTGTTGCAATACAATTTCCCTAAAAGTCTGGAAACAAAAAAATTTTCATATTCCCTAAGAGTCAAAACACAAAAGCAGAAAAAATAATTTTAGAATGTTTTTCTTGTTTCTATGGTTCTTTACTTTGGGGTGGCTCATAACAGCTTTCCTTCTGATGGCAATTAATTGGTAATTCTAAAAGCTGTATTCAATAACGCTACTCGTGGTTTTATTGCAGAAGAGGCATTTAGTCCACCTCAATCGCATCGATCATGAGCACCCATGTCCTGTTTTGATGGTCTCTGAATGTGAGTGTTGGGTCAGCGTTCGGCTGGGAGTTGTGTTCGATCAAGGAGGGCACAAGTTGCAGCCAAATGCTGGCACAGCAGTTGTGTGTGACACTCTTCAGTAACAGAGGCGTGCTAGCCTGAACCGCTTACACGATAAATCAGTTAGTTTGTGTTGCCTGTTCCAGGACTCCCTGCCCTTTGAGTTTAGCCTGGAGAGCCTGGTGGATGACTGGGTGCTCATGTGCTTCCTGGTGGGCAACGACTTCCTGCCCCACTTGCCCAACCTTCACATCGCCCACAATGCGCTGCCCATCCTGTACCAGGCCTACATCGAGGTGCTGCCCACACTGGGTGGTGAGCGCGTGACACATGCTTCGTCTCTTTGTGAAAAAAAAAAAGAAGTTTGCTGAAGAGAGATTATATTACTCTATCGTGGTTTTGTTCTGACTGGTAGAGTTGTTGCTTACTTGTGAAGTATTGCAGCTTTTAGGCTTGCTTCTCTGGCTCTTTTATGTATTTGTAAAGGAGAAAAAAAAAAAACATAAAAGCGTCACTTATATTGTGATGTCGGACAACCTCAGGAGAAGTGTGAAATGCAAAATCTGCAAATCATTAGACCATTAAGGGGAGACCCTGGTTTTGAACATTTTTTTGTAATTTCTGATCTAATTTATATTAAATTTTCACATCTGCTATAAGTTCTTGTGCCAAGCACAAACATGAGCCCAATTTTTCCTGTCTAAATAGTTTTTAAGAAAACCTGACCTTTGTCACAAATGTTTCTGCCCAGTCTTTTTAAACTATCACCATCAGAAAATATGAGCATGTTCTACGAACAGTGGAGAGTGCAACAAACCAATTGCTATAATTTTAGCTTCATTCTATAAAAAGTTTTCACAAATTAAATTTTTTTTGCTGATAGTTAGAAATGAGTCATTGAAGTCTTTGCTAATTAGAAAATTGTCTAGTTAACACTTTCCAGAAATAGTAGTCTTGTTGCATTCCTTGATTTATGAGTTACTAAACCCTGAAAAAAGTATTCAGATCCAAGTTCTACATACAGAGATACCATAGACAAAACTGTGTTGTGACAAAAAAATTAATTCTGAGAAAATAGGAAAAGCTGATCAAAACATGCTTACAAACAGGCTGGAAATGAAACTTTAAATTGATGTAATGTAGAAATGTATGCTTCCTCAGTGTAGAACTTGCATAAATGTTGTCTGTGACTTATAACAAAAAGATGTTCTCAAAAATAACTTTATATCTTTTTTATATATTTTTGTTTCACGACAAGGGTCACCCCTTAAAACTGTTAGAGTTTTATGGTATTTGAGTCGTTACAAATAGTCTCGGTATAAAATATCAACAGTCTGATTTTTTTTTATTAATGCGAAAGCACTAACTGGTTCCTGGAGCGGAGCCGGTGGCGTCTGTAACTGCAAAAAAAAACTCATTGGCGGCCGCTTCACAAGAGTTCACACTCGGCTGCCGCTCTCGTGTCGGGCGTTACCGGAAAGTGGGGGGTGGGGGAGAGAGGAGGAGGAGGAGAAAGAGAGCTGTGGCCGCTTCTCGGCAGTTGCAAAACATAGCTGTCCACGCCAGTGCACCGCAGACGAACTAAGGGAGCGGAATAATGACATTCATGCTTTTGCATTCACAACTCATAAGAAGTGCTTAGGTGTTCTCGGAATTTTTTTAATTTGGGAGGTCTGTAAGATGGCAGACAGCAGATGTTGACCTCTTGCCGTCTCTACAGTTTGTGCAGTCACCACAATCGACATCCGTTTTAATTTTTAGATCTGGTTTAATTGATTGCATGATTGCGATGCGTAGGAAGTGGCTCCAAGTGGAACAATTTGTGCATGTAGGGTAGCCTGATGTATAATTTGTAAACCCCCTTTTGCAACTATTTCTACGTAACGACATGCATGTTGTCCACAGAAATTTGTTTCTTCTGATGGGAGTTGTTCCAGAATAATCCAAGTGGAAATACTGTTTCAGATTAAATTAAGCGGGGAAGCTGGCTAGAGATTTAACTTCATAACTACTCAAGTGATGGGAATGAAATTTGCAGGAGATATACAACATCAGAAGTATGTGTATTGTGCAAACTTTCAGCTCTCTAGGACAATAAACCTTATGCGAAATTGCTTGGTAGTCTATTAGCACTGAGAGTTTCACCATTTTAATGTTGGCAAGCGTCCTCGGTACCGAAGCACGATGGAGGCATCGGAGACAACTGTACGGGCAGTGTGTGATGGCCATGGAATGTGGACGAACAGTTTAAACAACCTACCACAACTGCCTGACGAAACTTTCAGAGGCCTGCGCATGCTGCCGCGCCATCGCACATTGCCCGTACAGTTGCACATTGCCGTGCCATTGTACACTGCCCTTACGGTTGTCTCCGATACCTCCACTGGGCTTTGGTACAGGCGACGCTCGCCAACATCAAAATGGCGACGCTCTCGGTGTTATCTGACCACCAAGCAATTTTGCATAAGGTCCGTTTTACATACCTGTATAAGAAGATGTTCATTCTTTGTTAAGAAATTTATGATATGCAAATGAAGCTATTAAGCACTATTTTAACTGCTTGAATATAAAATGGGGTATGTGAGACTTAGGGTACCTAATTTTTTTGACACAAATGTAAATATTTCAGGAAGAGTTATTACCTCAAAATATGAGATGCATATCTGTCCTATGTCAATTTTTGAAAATCAGTGAGGACTTCAACTTAAAACAAAACAAAGTAGATAGCCTGATTTTCCGGTAATTTTCAGTTGAGAAACATCTTGATTGTGGTTTCAGAATACTTATACTTTAAACCAAAGATTCCTTCGTTTGAAATTTGCAGCAAAAACTCGAACTGAGAAAAAGGCATTCAAACATGAACTCCTTTACCTTGTTACTGCCTCATAATGTGTTGAAAATATTTCATATCAACGTAACTATTTGGTGTCTGGTTGTCAAATTTAGTGTAAGGGTGTATAATTAGTCTCTAAAACCGAAATCCTCAAATCTGAGAAACTATTTTTTTTTTTAATATGAAATTTAGTCTGTTTTTTTTTAGGGAGAAAAAAACAATTTCTGCAAAAAATGTTGGTTTTGAAAAATTCCATATTTAAATCCACCAATATCTAGAGACTATTCCCAGAAAGTTTCATTAGATTACACTGGACAGTTAATTTTTTGTAAATTATTTTCGGTCTACCTATGCTAAAGAAAAGGTTGGAACACTTTGAACACATTTTTCCCTGTTCCACTTTTTGGCATAAATTTCACTTTAATAAAACTGTCGTTTCAGTAGGAAATTATCGAGAGACTTAATATTGCAGCATATATGTCAACATTTTATGGAGCTGGTTACTATGAGCTTAGATTTTGCATTTTCATGTTTCTTTATTATGAAAAATCTTAATTTGCAAAACCTGTTAAATAAAAAAAATAAAAAAAAAAAAAACTCGGAAATAATATTTTTTTTTAATAGCATATTTTCTGAAATTTTTTTTTATAGTAACCGGCAACAGGTATTTAAGTATGCATTCCACCAAAAAAATATGTGGTTATCAACACCATTTCTTAGCGATAGATTCATTGAGCAGATTCCATTCAAAGCTATGCTTTACTTCGTTCCGGGGGTATAGTACCTCATAAAATGGGTTCACAGGGATGAAACTTTGCATGCCCTCCTTCTATAGGGCTACAAACACGACCTGCAAATATCACGGCGATTCAAAAAGGCTCGAGGTACACCTAAGTACTTCTTATGAGTTGTGAATGAGAAAGCATGTACATCATTCTTCCGCTCCCTTATTTTGTCTGCAGCGTACTTCCGTCGATGGTCGAGCGCGCACGCTGTTCTCGGCGCGCTGATCTTGGGTGGGGAGCGGTGGAGCCACTGCCTCATGGGCACGCAGTGCCATTGGGTGGCGGTCGTTGAAACTGACGCACAGCGGCCAATGGGAGCCTCGTCGACGCGCGCCTGCCAATGAGATTGGGGCCAAAATCCATCAGCTTTACTCTGCTCCTTTGGGATTGGGGAAACTAGGTGCCGTTTGGCTATGCTTTTCGCGTGGTTTCATAGCTGGTAGCTGGCTTCACTTGGAGAAAGGATTTAAGGTGCCGTTTGGTGCGGCTTCAAAGCTGATGACGTCGGCTTGCTCCATGGGACTGTTAATGCTTTTGCATGAAAAGTGGACATTCCCATTTAATGTCCCCCCTCAAGGCATGCAGCAGTCAGCACAGCATGCCTCGCCATTTTCAATCAGCAATCCATTTTGTAACCCCAATCCGGCAAAAAAAAAAAAAAAATTCCAGCCTTGTTTACTAAAAAAAAAATATGTTTTTTTACTCCCTCTGAGGAGTTTGATAACAAAAATAGTTTGTGTGATAAATCCATAATAAAGGCATGTATGGTCAAAATTAATTTTTGAGCAAAACTGGATGAAGCAAAAAATAAATTTACTGATTATCAAAGCTTGATGTAATTGACAGTCAGCAGCTATAACAACTTCCAAATCATGCTTTTATTATAGTATCTATCGAGGGTTTGTTATGTGCAACCTAATAAAGGGAGGAATTCGAGATTGAACTGATGAATATATTGTCGGACAGCAGTTGAGCTCCAATTTCCATTTGCTGAAGGTGACTTCGCATCTTTTGGCTTTCAACGAGGCTTGTTGGGCTCAGGGAATTTGAAAGTGTGAATGAAGACAAACAATTATTCCCCTCGTGTTCGTCTCTGTTTGCGCTTACAAGTTTCCCGAGCTCTTGGCTCTCGATTGCAGCCTTTCATGTTTTTATCATTGGGCCGTGCTTGCAGGTTACATTAACGAGCAAGGAACCCTGAACTTGGAGAGGTTTGAGAAGTTCCTAAAGAGGTTGTCTCAGGTGAGCCTGTATCTGTGTGCAGTATAAAACGACCCTCTGCCCAAAAGCTCGTTCCCGACTGAGCGAAGCGTGTCGGTTTCAGTTTGACTACGAGAAGTTCACGGACGTCCAGGCGGACCAAAAGTTCCTCGAGTCAAAGAGAACCGCGGCCACCGCTCCAAACGGAGTTGTCAGCCAAGACAGCCAGGACAAGGCAGCTCGGGATAAAGAGAGAGATCCCGACGAGCAACGTGAGTCGTCAAGCGATATCTTGAACATGGCCGCGCTGCCCGAGTCTATTAGTGTCGCCCTCCAGCTTCCTGTTCAATGTCCACCTTCTCAACACATTAGCAGCCTCACCTGTCTTTGCAGGTTTTTTTTTGCCAACAATGTCTTGCCTCTTTTAAAGCGACAGCTTTATGTGGGAACCCTTCATAGACCTTGCTTTCTCGTGTTGGTGTTGATTGCACCGTAGCAAGATCACGGGAGAGGGTGTGGGCGACGGGCGAAGCCGTTGATTTGATGTCGCAGTGTCACGTAATGCGTGACACGTCGCTCGAGGTCGCAGCATTACACGGCGGGAAGTCGCAATATCCCCTGCTAAATTTAGCAGGGAAACATCTCCGCCAGGTTCCGACAAAAGGTGCTGCTCGTTGGAGACCGCATCAATTGTTATAGCACTTTCGTTTCATTTGACGGTACGTCTAAGCCAGGCAAAGTTCTTCTTTCGCCAGGGCTGCTGGAGAAATTCTCGCACCTGGACATTCCTGACTATGAGAGCGACGAGGAGTCCGAGGGCACCCTGGAAATGGAGTTCCGGCAGCACAAGAGGGACTACTACACCACGAAGCTCGAGTACAAAGACGTCAACAAGTGAGTCTGGCGGACGTCCGGAACGACTGTTTTGGCTGCATCTCGCACTTGCTGTGGGCAAGGGTCTCGCGGGCCTTTTGAACTCTAATGTACGTCCTGTGAGGGTTGCCAAAGGGCAGTGACTATTTTGACGTCCACCGTCAAAATACCTAAAAAAATTTTCGGCGTCTGTGACATCACTTCCATAAAACGTCAAAATAGCAGCTTTATTATCTCGACGCGCCCCGTCAATGAAGTTAATGCAGCCGTCACAGTTGTAGTCGTTTTGTGGTTTCGCTCTGTTTAGTTTCTGATGGTGTTGTCAGTGTTGTGTTGACGTGCTGGCAGAGTCATGTGTTGCGTGCCTGAGAAGTTTCGGCCCTAGTTGCCAGGGGAAATGTCTCATTCAGCGTGTGTGTGGGACTGACTGGACTGTTGGTCCTTTCGGATGTGACACGCCCGGTGGCGATGTCCTGAGCTCGCACGTCATTTCGGCCCACGTCCCACTTAAAATTTTGAATTTACAACGAAGGCTTTCTGGATATCCCTCTGTCTTGCGTGCACGTAACAAATGTAAGTGTGTAGACTAAGGTAACACTGAGAAATTTGGTGCTTTTTTTTTGGCTCTATATCGTACGAAAACGTCTTCGTATGGTTGCAGTCTCACCTTGCATCTGGCTCTCGCCCTGTTTCTAACCGTGTTTCACAAGTTCGTCGTTTATTTTAGATTTTCTTTTTGGTTTGTGCATAACGAGCGGATTAATTATGAAACAATCTGGATGTTAAATAAAAATTGCGAATGCAAACATTGCCCCCTTGATGTATCTTGACCGTTGCGAAGGAACAAATGTTCTGATTTGGTTGTACGAGGTACACACATTTTTCAATCAACTGTAAATTTTATGACACGACATTGGTCTATTTTGAACACTTGAAATATATTGTGAAAAGCAGCGGTGCCACGTTCTGTAATGCTAGGCACAACCAAGCAATTGTTACATGTGGCCTGATAGCTGATGTTATATCTTGAGAAGTTTATTTGAATTCACCATCACATAAAAGGTCATAAAAACTGCAGTCGACTGCCCATTTCTTTTCGGAAAATATGTTTTGAACTGCGCTGCCGCATGCAAGCGAGATATTTGTTTGATCGCCCTTTCAATCACTTTCCTGTCCGAACTCCGAACCTCCAAAGTTCTAAATTTGATATGTTGAAATAAGGAGAAACATATTTTGACGGGGGATGTCAAAATGATTTTGAAAATATTTTCACGTTTTCAGGAAGGGGCGTTACGGGTGTCAAGATAATATTTAAGATTATTTTGAGCGTCGAAATAGTCACTACCTTACCAAAGAGTTACATGGGGACAAGGCCAGGCCCCAAAGACCCAACACCCTTTCGTAACTCACAACAAATAGAAACCGTAACGCAATACTGAACGACGATGCCAACTCAACGCCATTCGTTGGAAAAGGGGGGGCTCTCGAACTCCGTGTGACCGAGCGGGCGTCGGGTCGTGGGCCATCAACCAGAGAGCTGCCAAAGCCCCGCGTAGTGGTCAGAGGACAATGTTAGGTGTGGCTTAGCCCATCTACAGGTTTTCCCGCTCACTTTAATCCAAGCGACGACCAATTTAATCCCGGGGTCACTCAATTTAGTCCAAGCGCCATACAATTTAATCCAAGCGCCAAACAATTAAATCCCGGGGTCAGTCAGTTTAATCCACAATATATATATGCACTTATTATGTTCAGTGGTCGTGTTTTCCTTACACATTTGGTTACTTAGAATAATTGTTTATACAATTTGAATTTTTGGGGGAGCAATTGATAATTTGTTCACTAATGTGATTACTTTGAGTTACTGGTGCCACTATTGACGAGGCTTAATTGATATGTTGGTTACTCTTTTTACAGCGCAGCTCTTAGGCACCCGTTTCCGGCTTAAGCGGCGTTGGCGTCGCCGACGCCGTCGGCGTAACCCCGCGGTGCATGATGGGCAAATTCCCCCGCTAAATTTAGGGGGAAATTTCCCCCCTAATCTAGCAGAAAATTTTCCCTGCTAAATCTAGCGGAACATTTTTACTGCTAAATCTAGAGGAACATTTTCCCGCTAAATTTAGAGGAAAATTTTCCCCGCTAAATCTAGCGGAAAATTTTCCCCGCTATAATTAATGGAAAATTTTCGCCGCAAAGTCTAGCGGAAGAGCTTCCCCGCTAAATCTAGCAGAAAATTTTTCCGCTATATCTAGCGGAATGTTTTCCCTGCTAAATCTAGCAGAACATTTGTCCCGCTGAATCTAGCGGAAAATCCTCCCAGCTAGATTTAGCGGAAAATTTGCCCCGCTAAGCTTAGCGGAAATTTTTCCCCGCTATATCTACCGTAAAATTTTCCCCGCTAAATTTAGCGGAAAAATTTCATGCTAGATTTATCGGAGAAAATTTGTAGTGCCAAAGCGCGACACTTATTGTGGTGGCTCACGCAACGTCTGGAGCTAATAGGGTATTTTCGTAGATCGTTTCTGCTGTCCCGCAATGCTCTCCGCAACCAGCTACGCTAGCCGGAACTCTACAGTCAAGGCCATCGGCGCGCCGGCGCAGTAGCGGCGTCTCCGTTGTGGAGGGCTTAGCGGAGGGGGAAACGCGGCCTACGAAAACTCCCTATTGACGTTTTAAGCGTGCGGCACGAGCAGCACCGATGGGACCGGGCTCCGGGCTCGAACAGAACAGCAGGAGACTGGCAGCGTTCGACGGTGCAGCAGGGCGGCCTCAGCGGAGCCCCCTTTTAATGATCTTTTTCAGTTTTATTGCGGTTATAAAGATCAGTTTGTTAATTTGCATCGACGGACGTCTTTCCTGAACCCCACAATTTTTCCGCTAAATTTAGCGGGGAAAATATTCCTCTAGATTTAGTGGGGAAAATTTTAAAGTATATTTAGTGGGGAAAATTTTCCGCTAAATTTAGCGGGGAGAATTTTCCGCTTGATTTAGCGGGGAAAGTTTTCCGCTAAACTTAGCGGGGAAACTTTTCCAGTAGATTTAGCGTGAAAAATTTTCTACTAGATTTAGCCGGGAAATTTTTTCCCTAAATTTAGCGAGGAAAATTTTCCGCTAAATTTAACGGGGAAACTTTCCGCTAGATTTAGCGGGAAAAACGTTTCCGCTAAATTTATCGGGGAAAATTCCTGCTAGATTTAGCGGGGAAAATGTTCCACTAGACTTAGCGGAAAAAAATTTCCGCTAGATTTAGCAGGGAAAATATTCCGCTAAATTTAGCGGGGAAAATTTTCCGCTAGATTTAGCGGGGAAAGTTTTCCACTAAATCTAGCTGAAAAGATTTTCCGCTAGATTTAGCGGGGAAAATTTTCCGCTAAATATAGGGGGAAAATTTTCCGCTAGATTTAGCGGGGAAATTTTCCGCTAAATTTAGCGGGGAAAGGTTTCCACTAGATTAAGCGGGAAAACGTTTCCGCTAAACTTTGCGGGGCAAATTTTCCGCTAAATCTAGCTGGGAAATTTTCCCGCTAGATGTAGCGGGGAAAATTTTCCGCTAGATTTAGCGGGGAAAACTTTCCGCTAGATATAGCGGGAAAAGTTTTCTGCTAAATGTAGTGGAAAAATTTTACACTAGATTTAGCGGGGAAAATTTTCCTATAGACTTAGCGGGGAAAATTGTCCGTTAAACCTAGCTTTGAAATTTTTCCGCTAGATTTGGAAAATTTTCCGCTAGGCTTAGCGGGAAAACTTTTCCACTAGGGTTAGCGTTAAACTTTTCCGCTAGACTTTGCGGGGCAAATTTCTCGCTAAATCTAGCTGGGAAAATTTTCCGCTAGATTTAGCGGGGAAATCTTTACGCTAGATTTAGCGGGAAAAAATGTTTTGCTAAATTTAGTGGAAAAACTTGTACACTAGATTTAGCGGGGAAACTTTTCCGCAAGACTTAGCGGGAAAAATTTTCCGATAGACTTAGCGGGAAAAATTTTCCACTAGATTTAGCGGGGAAACTTTTCCGCTAGGCTTTGCGGGGCAAATTTTTCGCTAAATCTAGCTGGGAAAATATTCTGCTAGATTTAGCGGGGAAAACTTTCCGCTAAGTTTAGCGGGAAAACATTTCCGCTAAATATAGCGGGAAAATTTTACACTAAGCGGGGAAAATTTCCTTCTAGACTACGGGGAAAATTTTCCACTAGACTCTGCGGAGCAAATTTTTCGCTAAATCTAGCTGGGAAAATTTTTCGCTAGGTTTAGCAGGGAAAGTTTTCCGCTAGATTTAGCTGGGAAATTTTTCCGCTAAATTTAGCGGGGGAATTCACCTATCATTCACCGCGTGGTTACGCCAACGGCGACGGCGACGCTGCTTAAGCCGGAAACGGGTGCCTAAGAGCTGCGCTCCAAAAAGAGTAACCAACATATCAATTAAGCCTCGTCAATAGTGGTACTAGTAACTCAAAGTAATCACATTAGTGATCAAATTCTCAATTGCCCCCCAAAATTTCAAATTGTATAAACAATTGTTGTAAGTTACCAAATGTGTAAGCGAAACACGACCACTGAACACAATAAGTGCATATATATATATATTGTGGATTAAATTGACTGACCCCGGGATTAAATTGTGTGGCGCTTGGATTAAATTGTATGGCACTTGGATTAAATTGAGCGACCCCGGGATTAAATTGGTCGTCGCTTGGATTAAAATGAGCGGGAAAACCTGTAGTCGTAGGGACCCTCTTCCCAAGTGCACAGACGGCTGCCTCGGTGAAAAGGGACCTGTCGTCCCCACCGGAATGCCTTGAGGGAAAGCGTCACGAGGGAAAAAGGAGAGGGACAGAATGGACCCATCCCCTTTTGCCTTCCCACACGATAGAGCAGGGAAGCGTGGGAAAAGGCCGATATTGTGATAATGAAGAGATCAGGAAACAAGGATTTTCACAAGCCAGACACATTCTAGCTTGCATATCATGTTATCTAATCATGCTCGTGGTCATTCCTATAAGTTCTTTCTTAGAAGAACAAATTCTGCAGTGAAAAACGTGGGTCATAGATTGTACGCACTCGGTAGCATGGTTGATTTTGCTAGTTTTCTCTTTGCTTGACCAAACAATGTCTAATTATATCCCAGATCCTATAATTGTTGCCAAGGTTGTTTCGGAACACCACTTTGAAAAAGCGTCGTTTGTCACAATAAAACTATTCTTAAAAACACTCTTGCTCTTAAAATAAAAAAAAAAAGAGGCCGCATCTTTACATGGTGAATGATGTTGATTGGGGCGGAGCTCTGGTGGTGCTGATGATACTGATTTTATTGTTCATAGGTAGTGCTGATGGTGCTGATTTTTTTTGTATTGCTCATAGGTAGTGCTGAGTTCCGGGTTGCGTTTCTACTTCATTATTACTGCTTTATGGTCGGTGAAATGCAGAGCCAGTGGTTCTTCCAGCGGATCAGTTTGGATCCGCTAGAAGCCGTGGGAAAGCATCTCCACCGCTTAAGTCAATGGTCCATGTCAGAAAGAGAATGTGTGGTATGGATTGTGGTTATATACGCAGTTGAGCATTGGACCGCAGCACCCCCTCGTCTATAAACGTTGAGCCAATGCATGCAAAGTTTAACGCGATTATATACGCATTTGACCGCAGCGCCCTCTCCTGTGTAGGCGTTGAGTGGCTACATGCAACGTTGGAGTGTAGCGTAGTGGTTAAGATGTCTGCCTTGTAAGCAAGCAATCCTGAGTTCGAACCCCCGTGCAGGCATACATTGTTTTTTTTTTTAAAGTGGGCCGATCCCGGAGGCAGTGCAATCGATGTGAGCACGGATGCTGGACGGATGAACAAGACCCCAAGGAGCTTTGCCCCTAAAAATTATGATTTGTGCATTTCTTTGTTGATGAACTATCGGCACCTTCTTCAAAAACACCATTGACCTTTCAATAAAATTTTTTGGGAACCACGATTAGGGCAGATATGCTGATGTGCATCTGAACCAAATACAAGGTGTTCTGTGAGCAGTTTGCAAGAAAGCACATTGACAGCTTTGCCTGCATAGGATTATGCTTTCCAATCCAGATCCCCCACACATCCTTCTCTATGATAAAGTTGCAGTTCTGGGGCCGACAAACAATTAAGTAGAAGTGGCCCTGGCACATGAGTGCTTGACCGCCGTGTGACTGTAAAACCGCCTATTTCAGGGAAGTAATGCAGGAGCAGGCCCACGGTTATGTGCGTGCCATCCAGTGGAACCTCCACTACTACTACAACGGCGTGCAATCATGGAACTGGTGAGGGGGCCAATCTCATCTGCGCCCGCTGTTTTCAATGTGTACCATTTATAGGGTCAGCTTTGGGGTTTTCGTATGTGCGGATGTAGGCTCATCGTGGTCACAGTTTCATGTGACACTGTGATGCCATGTCAAGTGGCACCATGAAATCGCGTGACACTGACAAATTTTTTGTATTCACAAGACTCTCGCAATATTTGCAAAGAGGAGTGCAAAGAGGCCCTATAAATTATATTCATTTGGAACGCCTTAGGTAAATGCCAAGGAGGCAGTCAATTTCTCTTTAGGTCAGCTTGCATTGATTTTTTATCTTCTCAATTTTTCTATTATTACCGATTTCAAACCTTAATATCTAGTAATTGCTCCTTGTATTGCTCTCTCAACTGTCCACTTGAGAAAGTAACAATATGTTGGAGGGATGACTTTGCTGATCACAGAGTCAAGCAAGGACTTCTGCTTTGTGTGTCATACAATGGAGCCTATCCTTCACAAGGAGTCAAAATTGGGAAACCAATATATGAGAAGAAAGGGGAGGATGGAGGTAAATGTAGCATTTGTTAGTCTGTCTCATCTAGCTGAACTGTTATATAGCATGGCGTACTAGCTCGATGACTGGACTGGCCCCAACTCTTACTTTGTGGCATATTTGTTTGTCATGAAGACAGGGGATCCAGCACATAGCTTTGTAGCAATATTTGGAATTAAAGTGAGAATCAGAACTACAAATGCAGCAGAGCAAAAAACTTGTTGGTTTTCAATCTTTTGAATGCCCAGCCATTATAACCGACAGATTGGCATCTTCATGTTTGTCTTACTTGCATGCAGTGTGTACAAATGCATATGGCTATTGAGAGAGCTTTGCTTTGGTTTGGCCTGTCAACAGCTTACAGATTTAGATCTATGTCAATGTCTGAGAAATGAGAGGTAGCATTAATCTTCAATTATAGGAATGTGTCAATTAATCACTCACAATATATTTTGAGTTTTAGTTTTTGGATACTTCACAAGTAACTAGTGACTGACGTGTCGCAGGTACTACCCACACCATTACTCACCCTACATCTCGGACATCAAGGACTTCCAGAGCATCGACATGAGCTTTGAGCTAGGCAAGCCATTCCTGCCTTTCCAGCAGCTCATGTCCATCCTGCCTGCAGCCAGCAAGGGCCTGGTTCCAAAGGCGTATCAGGTGATGCCGACAGCAGCGGTCAAAACGTGCGGTCACATCACGGGGGCCCCCAATCTTTTCAGGCACTCATGGAGGGCGAAGAGTCTCCCGTGCTCGACTACTACCCTCAGGACTTCACCACGGACCTCAACGGCAAGCAGCAGGAATGGGAGGCCGTTGTCTTGATCCCATTTATAGATGAGGTGACGTGGCTTGGCTTTCTTTTATTTCTTCTCCTCCTGGCTCTATCTGGAGCCACTGCGTACAACAGCTTTTTTTAACCCACTTTATCGACGTCACTTTCAAAGTTTGCCCGACCTTAAAGGGACACTGACAGGGTATTTTTGCTCGCCGAGGTTTTTAGTTGTGCATGACATATGAGAGCCCAACTACCCAGAACAAAATTTGCGGCTCGAAATTCGGTTTCTTTCCGCTCGAAAACCGCCGATCAAAAACTGGCCGGTTCGAGTCTCTCTCACTCTCATTTTCGTGGTCACGGGCGTTTTCTAAGGTTTCGATGCAACCACCAAATTTAATCAAAGTCGTTGGTCATGGAAGGCACACACTCAGAATTAAAGATAGAAAAAAAAATGAAAACAATTTTTTGTGGCTTCTAAAAAGCTGCAAATGCGTTGATTGAAAAAAAAAAAAAAAAGTTGCACAGAGAACCAGAAGCATTCTGTGTGTGCGTCGCTTTGCGTATCGTGGGACTCGCGGGGATGGCGATCGCAGCGGACAACGGTCATGGGACCTCTACTTCAGACTTGTCGTTCAAGGTACCGGCGAATTCTGTCTGCCTTTAAAAGAGAAATCTGGAATTGATGAAAAGGATTGGTATTCATCCCGTACGACAAGCCGAACCACCAAGCCTATTTGCACGAAGACGTCGCCGAGGCGTCGCTCCCTTCTCGTGGCTGAAGACATCGCTCGCGTAAACGTCAAGCACCGCTCGAAGTGTGTACTTCGAGTCGAATATGCACGCGTACGATTTCTTTACTAGGTGCGAATGTCGCCAATGCGTGGGGCTTCGACTTCGACCCGGGAGTGCTTGTGCTGGAAGGAAATCGGCAGCAAACTTTCCAACTTACAGTTTACCGGCTGTTTTATTGCTCCGAAGGGAGTTCCCCCAAGTAGCTCAAGGGAAAGACGTCCGCTTCACACGCGGATGGACCGGATTTGATCCCCAGTAAACCCACACTTTTTTTTTTTTTTAGGTGTTTTGCGATGTTTACATTACATTTTTTTTTTTTGCAATTATCACTGAAAAGCAAACAAAAAATAACAAACAAATGTTGTGAACGAACCGTCGCTGAACTAAATGGTATAAGATTTCCTTTTTGACACCTGTGAAGTTCGAACTCAGTGTAATCACTTTTCACAAAATGCAAGGAGCATATAAATCAGGTAGCGTCCGCTTTCCGAGGTGCCCGTAACTGTTCTACAGGAATTGCAGCCAGCCATTGGTCCCGATCCCAATGATCTTTCGGAAACTCTGTCGCACAACGCCACTTTTTTTCGGACGACGCATTATCTTGGGTGTGTTCTTTTCGGAGCCGATCACGGAAATTCACCACGGGCACTCACTACTCATCTCCAACTCTTCAATGTACAAAACAACTCATCTTGAAGTACAGGACAGCGAGAGGAACAAAGATAACTGCAAAAAAATCTCACGGTGAACATTTCCCGCTACTCCGCCTCGCCTGTCGTCTGCTAAGCAGGAAAAAAAAGAAGAAAAAAAAAGTGCACGGTCGAGTGTGGCCACGTGACTTCTGCCACTCACTCTCCTCTCCACTTCTCCGACCTCCGTGCGCGGGTTTCAGCTTCGAGCAGTTGCGTCTTTTGGCTTTATTTAAAATATACGCTACTCTGTCACAAAATATTAATTGGGTAGTCCTCCGACACCATAATAAAGCGCCTGGCAAAATATTAAAAATATTTTTTGGGGGGTGTTAATGTCCCTTTAAAGGCTGCCGAACAAGCAGAAAAAAGGAAACTCTCTCAGTTCCTCCTTTCCATTCGAGAAAGGGGGAGACACCCCTCCTTTCTGCTAAAAGTAGCTCAGAGACCTGCTTCTGTGATATCTGCTGTGGGGTGAGAAGCAGAAGTGCAAGAGGGAAGGGAGAGAGGGAAACTGGGAACCGGTGTTCTTGCCGGCAGAAGACGGTTCTGTAGGTCAGCCTTTGAGCGTGTGCCCTCGCTGTTTTCAGGACCGTCTGCTGCCAGTGATGCAGGAGCTGGACTCTAAGCTGACCGACGAGGAGAGGGAGCGCAACACACACGGAGGACACCTGCTTTTTACTTATTCCCACGAGCCTGTGACTAGCCTCAAGTGCAAGAACAAGGGGCTGCTTCCCAACATTGAGGTCAATCATGCCAGGTAAGCGTGATTACTTTTATTCACTGTTCTGTGGAATTAATTTGATGCATTCGAGAATTTTTAGTTTTGTTTTACTAAGCTGGGCCTCTTAACCCCTTGCCTACTCATTTTTTTTTCTTCAAGGAACCTACAGCAAAACTTCATTTTAAACAGGCAATTTGTATCAAAATAAGACAAAAGCATTTCCTTGATTTCCAGGTGTAGTATGTTGCTCTACATCGGCTTTTGTTTTTATGGTCCTCTTCAGTAGTTCTTCACAGTGTGATAGCACTGAAAACATTCATGAAGGTGGAGAGCCACCTTGATGGGAGTAATGAAAACAATTTGCATTATTTTCATCACTTCTATCACTGTCTATTGCGTTGACAAACGCACGTGCAATATGCCATTTGTTTTAGGCTTTTGCTTTAGAATAGTTACTGCTGCAGACGCCAGCGCCACATGTGCACGCCTTCCCCTTATAAAAGATTCGAAGTTAATAACCAAAATAAAGCCTTGACGAATGTGCGTGCAAGATGCCATTTGTCTTAGGCTTTTCCTTTAGAACGGTTACTGCTGCAGATGCTGGCATGTGTGGCGCGTGGAGCACTATTCCCTGCATTCTCCTTGATGCTTGGGTAATTTAGCTATAGGTCTATTCAGTAGATTAGTTATCAATAGACACCATTTTCAAGATAAGTAGACTCCATGGTAGATAATAGAGTTTTTTAAAGATTTGCCGCTGTGCGACCCGCGTCGGCCATGTCTACGCTCGCACCGCCCTCTCTTTGTCGTCGTTCCAAGGGCTTGCATGCCCAGTATTCTTTCCTTCCGCTCTCCCAGGGTGGCGGTCCCGTCGCGCGTGTCTACTTTCCACCGGGTGATGATCCCGTCGCGCGTGTCTAATTTCCTCCGGCTCCTTGGGGCGGGTCTGTGTCGTGTCCTAAACAGCTTCGCTGGTCTTCCACCTTTATGGAGTTGAATGATTCATGATTTTTTGGTTATTTACTTCAAATCTTTTATACAGGGAAGGCGTGCTGTGGTGTGAGTGTAGAGGTTTTTGTCACTGCACACGAAAAATCCACGGAACCCTAGCCATAAACTGCTTTGTTGTAAAAGCTTTACCATTTTTTGTTCGAAGGGGGGCGGTGTCACGCGTCTTAGTTTATATCGTGTCGGCTGCAGTCCTCGTGATTGGGTCGATCACGAGGACTGCAGCCCTTCGTCGAGCAGTGGCATCCCTGCCCTTCGGACGGGAAATGGTTAAGCTTTTGTTTGTTATCATACAAGTCGTAAAGAGAAGTGGCAATCTTCTTATAAAGTCGCTGACCGATTGTTCGGATTCCGGTAATTCGGACTTGTTTGATATTTCAAACTTAAAGGAGGAACCGTGACCTTCCCGATAAAAATAGTGCATATCCACGACCAATATTTCGGACAGCTTGAATTCCGAAAGTTAGATTTTTCGGACAAAATCGTCACCCGTGTTCGGTGGGAAACACCACCGAGAAGCTGCCATTTTAGATTCTTTTTGACTGCACGTGGATTGGCTTGGCTTGGCAGAACTACTTGAGTACTGTTAAGTCCTACCGCTAGGTGACGCTATGCTACGGCTTTTTTACAGCGAAGCTGTTAAAGGGGCCCTGCAAGGACTTTGTTACTGGTTTTTAATTTGCACCGAACCTGAGTGCACTGAACGTAGTAACTTAAAGGAGCTGTGCAATGATTTTAATGCTGAAAGAATTGGCATCTTCTGCTTTTGATATTGCTCACCTTGTCACAAATGACAGAAAACACACCTTCTTTCATCGAAATGTTGGAATTCCGCCGTGTAATAGCGAGGCAAAACTTAGAACATTCCCCGACCTGCAGCCGCGAGCGGCGGCCATGAGAAACACGCGGCATGACGTCAATGGGGAGTCTTGTAGAAACATAGCAAGTTGTGCGAATACCTGCTCGATAAAAGGTAACTTTTCTATAAATCTTGTTGTTCCAACATATATATAAACGCGTCAAAAACCTGGTATCATCGACAAAACTTTTATTATACGGAGTTTTAGTGGCGCCATCTATCCTAGGTCCACAAAACCGTCAGCTGTCTCTGCTACCGCGAACAGCCGCCAGAAGCCAAAGGGGGAGGAAGACAGAGCCGGACGGGTATGGGACCCGGATGAGATTTTCCTCCTTCCACCATATTGTTCGCGCGGCGCCCGTCAGCACGTGGTCACACCGTCGCGAGCGGATGAGTTCGCACTGCTCACTGACGGCTCTAAAGAGAGAACTTTTCCGGAACCCCGCGCCTACCCCATCAACGTCACTGCACATGTGACCCGGAAGATGACGTACGAGTTGAGAGGCGGCAAAAACCTGGATCTTTTTCATTTTTTAAAATAAAAACTAGGGTATTCAGGCAAAATCTGTTTTCTGTAGTTCACTTCAGAAGTGTCGGGCATCAACTTCCACAATAATTTAAGCAAAGCCCTGAAATTGTTGCACATCTCCTTTAAAGAAACTTTTCTATTCTCAAGTTGCGCTTTATTTTAAAAGTTATAGGCAAATTAGAATTACAAAAACAAGCAAAAAATAACCTCCTTCATGACGTCGTAGGTCCTGGCTTGAGGGGCCGTGAACTAGAGGAGGAGTAGTGAGCTCACTGAGCGCTCACGGTTGCCGCACGCCGTGTCGACGGTTCGAGAGGGCGCCACTAAAGCACGTATTGGATAGGCTGTATGAAGTGGGCGGCCAGGGCGGTTTGCATTGCATTTGCTGTGCGATTAAAGACTAATTCGGCATAACACTTCATTGGCCACAAACGACAGCAAACACTGGGTAAAGATCAGTTTAGAACGGGAGCCACTTCGTGCTGCCATACCTCCAAATGGCCAAATCGCCACCCAAGCCTGTGCCGAAAGCCTTCAGAACGCTCGAATCCTCGAGCCAGTATACATCCGGGACCTTTCTACGCTCGCCGTTCGTCAGAGCCTCATCCCACTAGCCCTTTCTAGTATGCGTCGTTTTTTCCTCCGCTTGGTGGCGGGTTTGTTGACGGGTCTTGTCTTGTTTCCGTACTTTATAAACTGAATTTGTTTCTTTTCTGAGCTAAAATACTGAACAAAAACTACTTTCATAGATAATTGAAACGGTTCGCAAAACTTATATTTTGTATCTCGACTAAAAAAAGCTTTTAGCGACTCTGACCAGTAGTAAGCCCAGGACCAAAGACGTCACATTTTGCGCGCTTTCGGTACCGCGGGTCGCCCTCGTCGGTGGAGGAGGTTTCCGCGTCATCCAGTTAAAATATGACTTACTGATATTTAGTTACTCTCTCCATGCCCGCTGGCTTGCCCGAACCCCAAGAGACGTGGAAACCGCAAAAAAGGTAGACGCTTAAATATGATTGCAAGGCCCCTTTAAGGGCTTGTTCCCTCACTATCGTGTCTGCGGTCAATCACATGTCGACAGAAAACTCCCCATTGGTCGTGGCACGTATGAATGAATAAGAACAAAAAGAGGGGTTAAGTATGAGTAAATAGAAAGAAAAAGAGGGGGCAACCAGTATGAGTCAGCCTTCCTTGGCATTATTAGATGATGAGGTCCTGATCCCTTGTTATCATCTCTAGGCATCGTCCTCGATGTTGTCTTAGAGGTCGTCCTCGAGGTCGTCCTAGACATTGTCCTCGAGGTCATCCTAGACATCATCCTCGAGGTTGTCCTAGAAGTCATCCTTGAGGTCGTCTGAGAGGTCATCCTCTAGGCATCGTCCTAGAGTCCTCCTTGAGGTCATCCAAGAGGTAGTCCTGGGCGTCATCCTAGAAGTCATCCTTGAGGTCATCCTAGAGGTCATCCTAGAAGTCGTCCTTGAGGTCATCCTAGAAGTCGTCCTTGAGGTCATCTGAGAGGTCGTCCTAGATGCCGTCCTCGAGGTCGCCCTAGAAGTCGTCCTCGAGGTTGTCCTAGAAGTTGTCCCTGAGGTCGTCCTAGACGTCTTCCTCTAGGTATCGTCCTAGATGTCGTAAAGATAACAGCTTCGCTGGTCTTCTATCTTCACGTGAAGTGGAAGGGCTTTACAATTTTTATTTTCTCTTGCTGCACGTCATTATCATCGTCATTGTTACCATTTTGCTTCATTCATTCGCCATTCTGCAGTCATGGATTTGTGCCTCTCATTTCGTCTCAGTCAATTGTGTTTTCAGACTACGCTGGCTTGAACATTGTGGCCCCCATCTCTTCTTCCGCCGTCGCGAAGTGTCGCTAAGAGGCGCTGAAAGTATTTGACCATAATGCTAGAAAAGAATGCAGTGATTCTTAAGCTAATAGAAAGTGATTGAACGCAAGTGGAGGCGTAACCTCAAGCAAGGCACTATTGACAGCCTCTTTTAAGCCCGCTTTGACATAATAAAGGCAAGTTTTTAATCTGGCAATTTTTTGGACTACTCTATTATTCTGATGTTTTGTCGGTCTCTGTGGAGTGCTACAAATCGGTCGGCTACCATACTTCTATTTACTGTTCTGCGAAATTAATTTGATGCATTCGAGAATTGTTTCATTTTACCAAGCTGACTTCTTGAGGCCCGCTTAAAGGCCGACGACCAGACTCGAGATTCTGCAAGGCAGAAGACCCTCCTCTCCACGCCTTCGGGCGAGGGAAACGAAGGATGGAAAGAAGGGACCAAGAGGGGCGGGCGTGGGTGGAAAGGGTAGGAGGGAGAGGAGGAAGCGGGCGAAAAGTGGAAAGCGCGAACTGGTCGTCGGTCTTTAAACACTTGCATTTGCTTACGACAGAGTTCTTGCGATCACTTACGACGAGAGGACATCCTGACGTGCTGACGCCATCTATGAAGGGACCCTGGAACTCCGTTTCACTAGAGCGGAGGTTTTGCTGTATTTGCAAGATCAATCATACATGCTATCATGAGAAATGGTCGTTCATAACGTTGTCAACTGTTTCTTGAGTCAAGCAAAAAAGAATAGTGCACAAAAAAAAAAAAAATGTGCGGAAATGCCAAGAGTTTTATGGATAGCCAACAGATGGCAGCAGTGTGCTCTCTCGTTGTAAGAGTTCCCAAGAGGCTTTAGGGCACTCTGTCATAAGCAGTGGCGAGCATGCAAACTGTTCTTCACTTAAATGGTATTATCATGTTTAGAGGCACGCTACAACCGCTCAAATTCACAACATCCAGGGTGGAGGTATTGGACAAGAACATCTTCCGGCTTCCCAAGGAGGAGATCAAGAAGGGGCTCCTGGACGGCGTAAAGACGGACATCTACTTTGCGGGATTCCCCACCTTCAGGCACCTCCCCCACACCGTAAGAGCTCTCCCAGGCTGTGTTTGCTCACGTTTGTTAGAAAACTGGACTAGCCTTTGAATCGTCACAGGCAAGACAAATGATAAGGACACAATGGAGGAGGGCTTGTGCCTTAAACCTGGTGCATGCTTGCCCATTTCAGTCTTCTTGGCTCTTGGATTTCTAGTCTTTCATCCTCTAAATCTACCGTAGATGGACTGTGCATCTTTTGGTAGAATATAGTAACGAGTGAAATGAATTCATCCGGTGGTTTACTTCTCTTTGTGTATGAAGGCCAAACTGGAAAGAGCATCTGTAAAGGTCTTCCAGAGCCTCAGCAAAAATGAAAGTGTGCTGCTCACGCTCACCGAAACACCCGACAAGGTATGTGTGTGACTAGGTGTGGGACCTAGTTTGAGAACTCGTGTTCTGATGCATGCGCGTAGCTTTTCTAATGGGAATTTTTCCTCTGCAGACTTTGAAAGAGGTTGCAGACGAGCTGCTCGGAAAATCGGTGTATGTCAACTGGCCTCACCTTCTTGAAGCCCTGGTGGTGGCTGTCACCAGTAGGGATGAGAGGTAGGCGTCTGCTTCTCTGTTCAGCTGCGCCAAGCCTAGCCAACGTTTCGTGTTCAACTTTCTGTCGCGGGATATGAACCTAACCTCGAAAGATGACATTGGGTCAGTACGGTTTACTGTGAATACGTATTTAATCACATAATAATGAACGCACTCGTATAATGGATGCACCCCCCACAACGGGTGCCAATATTTTGACTTTCTTTTTCCTCGCGTAATCAATGCAGCTCGAATTTTCGGCTCCACAAGTCTCGAACTGCGTCCAATGTAGCTAGCCACCAAGCCAATTTTTTTTTGCTGCCAAGCGGTCGGTTGTGGAACCGCAACTACGCGGTTCCACAACTACCGCATAGTTGCGGTAGTTGTGGAAGTGATCATCCGTGAAATCGAGTGGCGTGCACACTGGTTGAAGCTTGGGTCGAGGAATTACCCAGCCCTGGGCATTCTTTGCCTATCGGATGCATTGATGTCAACAAACACACTGTCGTCTGCCGTCCGCTTTCGGAAAGTGAAATCGTGAAAATGGTTTAGGCCTAATTTCACATATTCCGGGTAAATGCATTTATTTAATCTGTAACAGAACGGCGCAGCAAGGTGCCCACTGCGTCGTAGGTTGAGAGTGTCTGGTAGCCTCTGGTAACAGCCGTCTCTGTAAACGAAACTTGATCCTTGCGAGCGGGCCTCAGTGGTTGAACTTAGTACGAGGTTTTACACGCATAGTTGCGGTATATACCTGAACGCGCCACTGGATACTAGCAATATATATCACCTAAGAACGGTCGCATTGCTTTCCGTGCTGAGTGTGCTTCGTAGGGAGCTTTTTCTTCGGTAAAAGGCACGCCAAAAGCGCCCCAAAAAGGTTAGCAATTTATAAAGCATGGTTACTGTGGCGCGCCCCCGACCAGCCATGGGTGCGCCTCCATCAGTGGAGACATGCCACAGTACCTTGCCGTGTCATATTGGCAACTAATATGACATTTGCACGAAGTGTGTGAATGCAAAAATTTTACCCTGCGTAATGAACGCCCCCCCCCCCCCCCCCCCCCCCTTCCCCCCGCCCGCCCCAAATATGTGTCAAAATTTCGGGAAGGAAAAAAAGTGTGTTTATTATGCGAGTAAATACGGTCTATTCAGAATTTTGGTTTATTTGAGTCGGGGCTCTCATCCGAGTACCAATCATACATACAATGCTATGGAAAAGATTGTGCAGTGATTCCAAGGCACAAATTGAGTCGTGTGTTGTGCTGCAAAAATTAGGAGCCCTCAATTTTGCAAAAAAAATGGAAAGTTTGTCGGCCACAACTTTTTCGTCAACAAAAACGCCAGTGTGCTTACTGCGGTCTATCTGCGGTAATAAGGTAAACGTATGATTTTCTTTTCAAAGGCGAGCACTCGTGAGAAACTTTAGGTTTACATTTAGTTTTCATTAGGAGTACTCTTCGAAGTATTTTGCTGCTCCTGCGAGCTTCAAATCATTGAGAGTCGACAGTATCACCAAGCATTTGTTTCAGACTGTGCAACATTTGGGTTTCTATAATGCTGTCACTGTGTCCTTTTTTGCAGGTACACGTTTAATGAGCAGGCAAAAGGTGGTGTCGTGCATTCGCGCCAGGCGGATTCGGATGTCGAGGTGTTTGACATGCAGACCTTCTCCATCAGTGAAAGGTAGTAAATACTTCCATTGCTGTCATTGAACACTTACGGGGGGCCATTAACTACCTCATCGTTGGCCAAATTTTTGAGTAAAAAGTTTCCAAGTGAAGAGACCATTTGCTGGAATTACCGAAGGGAGTTTTTAATTTCAATCTTGGGTTTTCCTTGCCCCGTGTTGACCAAGGGGCTTTGGGGACTTTTCCTTGTGCTGCAGTTTATCCGCATACTTCGCTGAACTGAACTTGTGTTCTCACTCCTCTCCTATCCAGATATCGCTCCCGTTACGGAGTGAACCTTGGAGACGTCGACATAGTTGTTCTCTGCAAGACTATCACAGGCCGAAAGTAAGAAGGAAGTCAACTTTCTTACAGTTCATTGAGGTGAATTCAGCTGAAACGTAGGGTAATGCAAGATCAATTTGGCTTATCCATTCAGGATTTGTAGTTATTGTTTTAGGTCGTGAACTAAATACAGTGTAGACCGCATATAACGTATGTCGCGGGAGTCGCAAAAATCCGCACTATAAGCGGTACCGCACTATAACCAAAACATCAATTTTTCAAGCCAAAATGCATGCCATCAGACAACTTACCTTTGTAAAAGAATTTAATTTATGTTAGATGAAAAATAAAGCTTAGTTTGAGGAAAGTCTTTATTTCACCAGACTAGTGCACTTCTCTCTCAAGTGTGTTACACATTTTGAAAGAAATGAGCGACTTTTGCCTGGCGCAGCCTTTTGACGGCGTCGCGGGTTGCGGACGGACGTTGCGAGCGTTCAGGATTGCTAACCCTAATCACTTTTCTCCGGCGATGAAAACGCGTGAAAATTCGCATCCTTTATATGGTACGCGCCCGTAATACCTTCAACTTGAGCACAGGCATGAAATGCTCCAAATAAGAAATCCGGGCGGTGTTCGAAAACACAAATGCTTAGAAAGCACCACTGTAGTCGAAGTAAACAAACACGACGACACGGGCGTTTCTTCCGTCTTGAGAGTGCCGCCACAACATCGCCGCACGAGTAGGTGGATCTTCCCTTCTAGAGCGTGCTGGGTATTCATAGCGACACACAACGAAAATTCACAGTCAAGGATAGCGCTTTTACGCGGAACGATGAGCTTCTACGCAGTCTACGTCGATGATCACAACCGACGCCATGTTCGCGGATAAAAGCAGCCGACCCGCGACGCGCGCGAACACTTCTCCTCGACTTGCGATTGGTCTGTCGTTGCGGTTGTTGTTCAACGCAGCGGAGGGACGCACGCACGTGAACGACACGTGTGTGCGTCCCTCCGTCGCTATGGCAACTGAAGCCTCTCTCTTCGCTTCATCGAGTAACCTCCTTGCCCCGCGAGTGCCGCTCGCGCCGTTATCTAGTGTCGCACAGGGAAGCGTGCTCTCTGCGTCGGTCGGTCGGCGCGGTCGCCGGGCTGTTCCGAAAACCGCACTATAACCGGTATTTCCCTTCGCGCGCCTGCATTTTAAGCGGTATGTAATTACATGGAGTTCTATGGGAGGCACACCGGTGGTTTAAAAAAGCCGCGTTATACCCGGTCCTGCACTATAAGCGGTTACGTTGTAAGTGGTCTATGCTGTAGCTAAATAGGGAAGGAAGAGCATATCTTGATGTGGTTTACTGCATTTTATCTTGGAAGAGTAAAGCAGCATTTAAGAGCAGGCCATTGATGTAACCATATTGCTTTCATCACTGAATTGTTTGTGTCATGTAAAAAGCAAACAGAGCCATCTGGTTCTGTAGTGGTCATAGCATTCTTCATTTGGCAGGTACATTTGCGGCCCCAAGGGACGAATAACCCTGGACAAGCAGTGGTCCCTGCACTCCGTTCCATATGCCGTGCAGTCTCTCGTGAAGGTATGCTGTCACTTTCTTTAGAGTGTTTGGTTTTGGGGGACATATTTTTCTACTCTTTGGAAAATATGGGCTGTGACTGAGCATTTTTTTCTTTTTCCTAGGATGAATAAAGAGCCAGGTTGTGATGCCAGAATAATATATATCAGAAATAAGTAGAGTAGATTTCCTTCTGTATACTAGCAGAGGCCTCATAGGTGAAACTACAGCAGGGGTACACAGAAGTTCCTATTTCGAGGAACGCCTATATATTTTAAGATTTTCAATCTAGGTACGTTCCTGGCTCACAGAAGCTGAGATCGAACCCTGTCTCACCCCTGTTCTAGTGATTTTTGTTGTACAGAGTGGTCCACCGGAATGCTTTGTCGGTTCTCCGCACAGCGCTGGCTGCCGGTGGCCGCAACATTTTAGCACAGCGCAGCGAGCACCACGGGTGGAGCACAGTGCACGTCGACAGCTACTGCACCGCTTATATTCGCACTGCGTCTGCGCTGTAGCGTGCAGTAGCAGACGACTCGTGGCACGCACCACCTCTGGTGCTCTTGCGTCTGCGCTGAGCTTCTGCGAGCGTTTTCATCTGGTGCTGCGCGAAGAGCCAGCCCCGCGTTCCGGTGTTTCTTTCGAGAGTGGACCGTGCCGTACACCTTTTAGGTCCTGGGTTATAAACCCCTTTTTTTGTTTTTTCTATTGCAGGACATCACCGAGCATTGCCCTGAGTTTGAGCAGTTCAAGACAGTCGAAGAGCTGTTCCCAGTGGGCAAAACGTGCTTCATGCTCGGTCACCCGCACTACGGCTGCCAAGGGGAGGTGGGTCATTGGGAATCCATCTCTCGAGTGCAGTGTGCAAAAAAAAAAGGCACCGCGACGAGGTAGTTTGACAAAGTTGGCCTTTAGGGCGACGACAGTGAGCCTTGATTCCCGTAGTACCAGGGTTCATACATGGCACTACGCTCGCTCAAAGGAATGCTACGGAAGCGTGGAAAGAAAACGGAGCATTTTGTAGCTTTGGAACGTCGTTATTAGGCCCATCGTCATCATTTTGAAGGGCGTGTGATGGCAAGTATTTCGGTTGTGGTGATCGCTCACCATTCGTAGCTACGATCGTCGGAGGCTCGCACTGGAGGCGGGACAACTGAAACTTTACCCTTCCTTTCCCACCTATAGTCAGCGACTACAGATTTGGAAAGCTGTATGTACAATAATCTCAGCTTTGCCTTTTAATGCGCATTCTCCCGCTGCTCTCAACTGCCAGTAACTCAAAAGCCGGAAGGGGTTGCTTGAAACCAGTTTGATGGACTGTAATGAACCTAACCCTCGTGTGTTTGGTAATCGGTCTTGCGATTACTTGACCATGTGACGGCGTCCTGGTTATGTCGGCTGGCGTCCCTCTTTCTCAGGTGGTGGATCCCAAGCCAAGCACCAAGCAAGGGCGCATTGTGGTCAGACTCAACATTCCTCCAGAGCCAAACCTGGAGGGCGTTGTGCGAAATGAAAAGGCGAGTTTTGCAAATGCCACGAACCTTGTAATTTAAATGTGCCCGTGACTATTGTGCAAGTTCTTGCAAGGTACAGAGTCTGCGAAATTAAAGAGTGCGTGAAAATTCTTTTTCTCGAGTAATGAGTTTAGAGCTTGTTTAAAGTTGCAAGCTTTTGTGGCGGCATATCTGCCGATCTGTTTGATTTTATGGAAAAGAGGCGGCGCCGATATTGAGGACCTCGCATTCCTTTTGAAACCTACACTTTTGAAAGGAACCGAGCCAGCTGAAATGCATTTTTTATTGAGGGATATTTTCACTTTCACTTTATAATTTGGCAGGACCGAGCAAGGGTGATTCCTCGTGGTTTGAAATAGTTGGGAAGAAGAAATTATTGAAAGAAAACGAGGAGGAAATTGACCGGTGGTGAAACACTAATTTGCTGTCCCACCTAATCACACTCGCACTTACAACTGCCATCATTCTGACAATAATTTCATTCATCACTAGTGTCAGTTGAGCTCAGTCGAGCTCGGTCGGTTATCTTGGTCAACCATGCCAAGTGCGAACAGCAGTGAAATAGCTGTATTTCACCGTGTCACTCAAGTTTAATTACGGCTATTGGTTGCTGAACACAGGATCAGAGACTTTCGTTTTGAGTACAACTGGCTGCGTTACGATCGCTTATGCAGGGAGTCGTAACATAGTCAGACATACTCAATTGCAAATCTCTGAACCATCCCTAACTGCCGTTGGCCGAAGGATAGCATAATCCGAACGCATTAGACGTGCTAGCATCGAGATGGAGTAGACTTTATGCTGAACGAGTTGCACCTGTCTATGAGTTCCGTCTCGAGAGTGTTGGTCCAGATGCCCGTCGTTGGTTTGGCACGTAAAACCCCCAAATTTGAGAGTGTTGGTAACAGAGTGCATCGTTTTTCTATTTCCACAGAACCTGAGCCAGGTGCACTACATGTCCTCGCACCAGTTGGCACAGTGGCTCGGGGTGAACGGCTTGTTTGTGTCCCGTATCACGGGCACGGTGTACGTCCAGATGAACAGCCGGGAGGCCGACGCCCCCTCACTGGTCAACGTGGGCCTCAACCTTAAGTTCAACAAGAGCGGCGAGGAGGTCGGGCCGTGCGCTCTCCCTCTTTCTACATTGATGCAGAATGCCTTTTATCGGAAGTGAAGTGAGGATCTGGGCAGCCGTTGCGCCGCCGTAGCCACAGTATGCCATTGTCGGTTCGACTTAGCGGGCTAATGTCTCGAGCTGGATGTCTCTATAGATCATACGGTCGTGTGGCTTGCGCCACTATGGATCACGTGACTGTGTGATGTGTGTCGGGCCACGCCAGCTCACGTGATGTTACGATGTCATGTGACGTCTGGCGTAATGTCCGCCTGTGTGACATCACGGTGTTATGTGATGTCTCACGACACCATGACTTGGCCCCACGATCGATGCCTTGTGACAATGTGATGTACTGCTGCCCAGATTTGTGTCTGTGTTTCTAATGCATTCCGGATACGGGACGTTTGAGCCATAGGTTAAGGAGTGCTTTGATTTCTTTTTTTTAAATACAACACAGGCTTGGGGGCATGCAAGCTCCATTCGCTTTGCATTGTGTACGGTTGAATTGCAACTGCATTGAGGTTGAATTTAGGACTCCTTCAGTGCAATCGATGGGGCTGGCACGACCAGTTTATTTTTATGTTTTCCTGAGTTTTGACATAGCTGCTCAGTGCCTATAGTAGTCATTTCTCTTTAAGTGCAAGCATAACGGAAACTGCTAGAGTGTGACCTCCAGGCTTTCAGCATCTGTGCCAAGCACGCTCGTGAAGTGCAAGTGTCACTCGGGGCAACATGCCTGTGCTTGTTGCTTTGGCTTCGCTCGCACATAAAGTGAAACTAAATGTGGCGAAAAATTTTAGAATGTTCTCATTGACTTGCTGACAATGACAAAGAGGATTAAGGACCTCCAACAAGATATTAACAAACATTTTTTTTTTTTTTTTTATTATTGCTGTTAAAGTGGGATATTATTATCTGAATTTTAATTGTCCATGTCTGCAAACTGCAGCAGGGAACCTTTAGAGGCACACAGCATGATCACATTGACATATCAGAGGTGTGTACTTCTCTTGTGTCAGTGGGAGAAAGCTAAGCATACCATTGCAAATTTTTCAGGTGCCCGGCTATTCGAAGAGAGCCAATGAGACATGGTTCTACTCTAACAAATGTCACAACGTTTTGCAGGAGTATCTGACCAAGTGAGTGGCTACACTGTATGCTTTTCTATTTCAGGGTGTTTTTTTTTTGTTCATTTCTAAGCTCTGAATTTACTTGTCCTAGGTAACATGTGAGAATAGCTTGCATAACAAGGGCAGCCATAAAATTTATCAATGGCATCAACCTCAGTTTTTTATGGTGCATCTGTCTTTCTGAGCTCTATATTAGGTTTGATGCATTCACTGGTGGCAATGCTTCTAAGAAAGCAACATCCTAATTGGTTTGCTCGTTTAAATTATTCTATCATTCTATTTTATGGCACAAGAGTAATCAAGATAGATTTTCTGAACTGGAAGGAAAAAGAACTGCGGATGTGATCATAACTGAGTTTTGAATAGTGCAGAAACTAAAGAAATCAGATTAAATATAAAATATGCACAAAAACCATGAGCCATTCCACTCTGTGAAGGTGAATGACCAGCAAAGCTGTTTAGCATACGACATAAACCCGCTCCGAGGAGCCGGAGGAAACTAGACACGCGCGACGGGACCGCCACCCCGGGAGAACGGTAGGAAAGGAAACTAGGCACGCAAGCGCTTGGAACGACGACAAAGAGGGCGGTGCGGCGTAGACATGGCCGACGCGGTTTCGCACAGTGGCAAATCTTTGAGAAACCTTTATTATCTACCTGAGAGTCTACTGACCTTAAAAATGATGCCTGTTGATAACTAATCTACTGAATAGACCTATTGCCAAATTACCTAAGCATCAAGGAGAATGCAGGGATTGGTGTTCCACGTGCCGCATGAGCCGGCGTCTGCAGCAGTAACTGTTTTAAAGAAAAAGCCTAAAACAAATGACATCTTGCACGTGTGTTAGTCAATGCCTTATTTTGATTATTTACTTCAAATAGTTTGTACGGGAAAAGCGTGCAGCGGTGCGAGCATAGAGTTTTTGGTTACGCACACGAAAAATCCACGGAACCCTAGCCATAATCAGCTTCGCTGTAAAAAAAAGTGGCTATATGTAACTACGGATGCTACAGACAAGCGCTTGACAACGCGCGCTGCCTCCGCGCCCGACCACGTGCTATGTTCTCCGCGCTACACCACGCGAGATTGGTAGCACTCGCTCGTATCATTCGCTACTGTCCATTTCAGCGGCTTAGAGGAGCAGGCGCATATTAGCGCACATTCGGCTCTGCAGCGAAGGGCCCGTGTTTCGCCGTATGTTGGTGGTTTTTCTGCCGTGATGCCGTGCAATGCGGGCCTGCGCGCATTCGCTCGGGACGAATTATCCGATGCGGAGTTTTTCCGAGTTCGAACTATAGACCTTTTCCTCCCATAGAAATGTATGGGCGCTCGCCGGGACTTTTCAACACGATTGAATGAAACGAAAAGTCGAATTAACCGAGTTTGAACTATTGAAAGTTTACTGTATAATGCTTTCACATTCCCACACATAAGCAGTCTTAAGTGTCTCTGCCAAATTTTTTTCCCAACCAAAGGTGAATTGTTTTGCTTGTGTTTTATTTTAGATGCTGCAGTGGATTATAGTAGTACCGTAAACTCTCTTTGTGATGCAGGTTTGCCAGCTTTGTGGAGAAGATACAGCCCTTTATGGATCGTGACAGGATCAGTGTCGAGGACCTCTATTACAAGGGAGAAGGGTATGTGTGATGTAATTTATAACTTGCCACTCCTTTATTCTTCACCTTGTTTCTTTTAGAACTTGTTGGAAAGAAACTGTTCTCCCTTGCCGGAAACATGTCCGGTTCTGTGCAGATCTTGCACAATTTTGATTTTATGTGAAAAATTGGTTGGTTTTCTTTTTTATAAATAAGATGCAATGTCCTGTACTAGTAGAACAGGATGTGGAGGATAAGATCATATAAATAAGCTGCTTACACACATCACCTTTCCAAGACTAAACAACTTCCAAGTGTTAGGAAAGTACCAGCCACTTTCCTGAAACATCTCTGGAACACCTTTTTCATTACAACCTTTTCATTTTCCGTATGGCACGGAGCGGACAAATGCATTTTCCAGGAATTCGCAGGGACAATGCCTCATTCTACTCAAGTTTTTATGTATTTGAAACATCTTGTTTCTATGCTAGTTTTTTATTAAATATCCTGCAACATTAAATTTTATTCAAACATTGTTATACCCATTGTTGATTTTTTTTTTTTTTTTTTTTTTTCATGACGTTACACTTTGTTTTATACCTTGCAAAACATCCGCAGTTGATGCCGTGAGCCATCCCAGCCAATCCAGGGCTACGAACGTGCCACGTGACTATGTCTGCATTCATTACTACGGTCACGTGACACTTATACGGCATTGGAGTGGTTCTGAGGACTCGTAGCGTCCACCGCGGTTTGTCGCAAGGTGAAACGGGGGATAGGCGTGGTTTCCAACCCACGTTGTGGCTTGGGGATTTCTCGACGAGTTATCAGAGTGGGCACAAGGGAAGGATTGCGTAGAATGTGGTGTGCTGCAGGAAAGAAGAGGTGAGAGAGGTTGCCAAGTGGATCAAGGAGCAGGAGTGTGCCCAGCTGCCCAGGGTCAAGAGTGGCTCCGAATCTCTGGACGAGGGCGTCGTCAAGGCCATCGAGGACACCGTCGACAAGCTCAGGGTGCGTGTGACGGGCCCACGTTGCGGGTGTACCTATTGCGGACAGTATGAGCCGAAACAGTCCTTTGTGCTTCTTTGGCATACCTGCCTGTTTTCGAGAGAGGCGCGGTTCGAACTGTGTGTGTAATGCAAGGTTGAGGTCTCCATACCTCAAACCATTCATTAAATTGAGCAATGCTAACGCTTGTGGGTACTGCGGAAGCCGAAAGAGACCGGACTGAGTATTTTGGCTTGTGTTGTCCTTGGGCGTATGTAGCTCGACGCTTCTAACGCAAAAAATTTATTGGCAATTTTTTTTATACGTCTAGAATTGAAAGGCTATTATGAAAGCTACAGTGCTCATTTGGGCCACAAACCTAAGCAGTAAAATTTTTTACTTGCAAATACCCGCTTGAAATGAAGTGTGAGAGAGCTCCAATGTTGCATTCACGCTAACAGTGTTGCGGAGTGAATTTGTTTTGTTTTACTAATTTAAAAATAATGCAGCCTTCGACGAGGTTTTAACAGGTGTGGTACACATACCGTATTTGCACGAATATAGACCGACACACGGTGCGGCTCTGTTTATCAACACGGCCGGAAGGTCGGAAGGTTGCGCATGCGCAGAAACTATGTGGGCAAAAGCGGCCCGGCTCTCAGTGTTTTCGCCATTGCGTTGTGTGGCGTGCGCTCATTGTTGACGTTGTAAGGACGCTTCTAGCTTTATTTGTGCGTCGTATTTCCTGACAACGTACCGTATTTACTCGCATATAGGTCGACCTGTTTTTCAAAAATCGCCTCATCAAAACTGGGGGGTCGACCAATACGCGAATCCCGGTATTATATTTTTCAACTTTTTATTTTTTCGGGGGTCCCGAAGTTAGGGGGTCGACCTATACGACGTATCGACCAATATGCGAGTAAATACGGTATGTTGTATGCTATGCCCGACTATTTGAGCTCGCTACCCGAGCCTGAACGGCAGCGATATCGAAACTGTGCATGGACGGCGTTGCCTTCGAGGATCCGTACACCGCAAAGAAGGCCTGCTGGACTTCCGACGTAAAGTTTCTGCCACCGAAATCGACGGTTCACGTCGTCGTTTATTTAGTTTTTCCGCCAAGCCAGTTCACGGCTGACACGGTGCATACGTACAAGTCTCTCGAGGCCTACAATTACTTCGGGTCGGTTTCCGCACTGCCGGCGGGATCAGCAGACTGTGGGTCTGCGGAAGGGTGTTTATTAATTGATTAAATATACACAGAGTCTTCAAGTCAAGGTATGATATTGTTCCTACCCTCATGACCACAAGGCATGACAAGCAGTAACGCTTTTTCCGTTCCGCAGTCTTGGCGGTAATTCGTTACGGTAACGGCATTACCAGGAACACGTTGCTTTTTCAGAAACGTAGTAACCTACTCGTTACTTTTTCGACATAATAACGGGTAACATACCTATGTTACTATTTCAAGTAACGTAGTTGCATTACTCGTTACTACTTCCCAAGTCTTAAAGAAATTACACTTCAGTTTTTTCCGTGTTTTTAGGCATCAAGCCACGTAAATTTTTGTGTTTTCTGCGTTGTTTCTCGTGAGTATTTAGGTGAAATCGTAAAGAGATAAAGTAAATATGTTCCGTTTCTGCATGAACATAATGTTTCTTGATATATGAGCTTATGCATAGCTGTACCGTCAAAACAGTAAAACGTGTTAAATCATAATTTAAAAAGTAACGCAGAAGTAACGTGCGTTACTTTTTATCGGTAGCGGCAACGCGTTCCTTTTATTTTTAGGTAACGTAGCTCGGTAACGCATACCTTTTATTTGCAAGTAACGAGTTACGTATTTCGTTACTTTTTTTTCGGTAGCGCCTACAACACTGCCGTTTTGTCGCCGATCCCCTTCTGCTTAGTAGCACGGGCGTAGCGAGCCTCCGACGAGCGCTTGGCTGGTGCTTTGTGCATGAACACCGTGGGAACAAAATCCGGGTGGTCACGACCAGACGACAGTTTCCCTGAACATCAGCAAGCCTCGGGACGGGGATGAAATGGAAGCCACACTTGCCTTCAAGAAAGTGCTTGCCGCGCAAACGGTCGTTCGCGCGAGGCGACCATTCTTTTCGATCCACGAATATTATCCACCTTCTGTACCTTTCAGAGTTCGCCGGGAACTTGTGGAAACTCATTTTTTCTGTACCTTTCGGTGCAATTAATGGCTACACAGCTTTGCGGCTAGCTGAAATGCTATGACGGCCATGCAAAACGCGCGCCCTTTTGCCCACATCATCCGGCTTCGGCGCGATCGCAGCGCCGCCACAGCTCCGTGACGTCAAGCCCGCGTGTCGCTCTATAACGCGACCACGAATATAATGCGAGGGCAGGCTTGGAAAAAGAAAAATAATATATAGGTATTAGTATTATAACGCGAGCCCGAGTCCGCGTACATTTCCTACACTCAGGGGCATAGTCGAAGTGAAAAGGCAATGCAAATAGGAGAAATATCAGTTTATGTGTTGACTGCACTCATCCTCACTGCTCGGGTCCTTTTGCTTGCAATCCACTTGGCAACTACGACTACGCAGATAAGCAGCAGCAGGGGCGGCTTGTCTGGTAGTTCCTTCTTCTTCCGCGTGAGCTCCTCAGTGAGCTCCTCAGCAGCTCACAAGCAAAGCGAGGCACAAGCAGAAACACCAACACACAAACACCAGACCACTCTGGAGCAGAAACTAAAAACTGCACAGGCAGAAAAAAACTGCTGAATCCGATACAGGATCACACTTGTTCTTGTTCTGGACCCTCCGCATAAACAAACACCTCGTGTTGCACGATTGCGTAAACATGGTCAGTCTTGGCTTGGCTTTACTTGGCTTGGTTCAAATTGGCCAGTGCCCGCATTCCCGCATGGCACGCTGCGTTTCTGTGGTGTGTGCGCGTTGTAGAAACAAAAAAGCGATAAAAATGGTTTTTAGGTTTTTTATTGGGCCCTTCACATGGCCCAGTAGCTAATAAATTTCCTCCCACATCCCCACTTCTTTTCTCATCCGATATCTTGCATTGAGCAGAAGGGACGGCTTTCTTCTCTTGCTTTCTCCAGACTCGCGCGCCTCGTGGCTGAACTCGATTCCGAATATAATATGAGGTGCGTTTTGGAGCACGTAATTCCGAGAAAAACGCGCGTTATATTCGTGCAAATACGGTATATACATGTTTGCAAGTACAGCCTCAAAACACTGGTCATCTTGCCCGCTTGGGGTGTGTTTCGGCACGTTGTAATCGGATTATGACGCGTCCAAGTACACCCCAAGCGAACAGAGGGCGGTGCCCTGGCCATACTTGCAAACATTTATAGAGTCGCCGTCCGATTATTTGGATTCGATCAGAATAGTGGACAAGTCCGAATAATCAAGCAGTCCAAGAAAATGAATTCAGCCAAAAAATCTTCTGTATTGGCACTTTATATACTCATTGGCTGGAGAAACAGGTCGGTAGTTTGCTGGGCGGTGGTTTGCCTCTTCATGATCAGATCGTTTCACATTTCAGTGGTCTGCCTAGGACGGCCCCGCGATGGCCTGTGCAGAGTGCACTGTCCATGTCCTTGAACTTTTCGAATGTCACGACAGCGTCAATCAAGTTGTCCGCGAACGAAACTATAAACAAAGAGCAGCGGCGGACATCGAAGCAGTTCCCGGACATTTATAGGACCATGATTCCTCCGTGGATTTGACAGGCTTCCCAGGGGCACAGCGCAAAACAAAAGTTAGAGTCGAATCTAGCCGTCAGTGCAGACAACAAAGTTAAAGATGCATTCGGCGCCATTTGACACCACTTCGAGATGATGGCAGAGGTCGTGCACAGAAAGGCAGTGGACCGTGGTCGGACTTTTAGACGTCCACAATCCCTCCATGAACAACGCAGAACAAAAGCGCCGATCAAATCAACCTCAAATTTGAGAAAAAGAGGCGATGATTCCGATTATAGCCATAATCCGGATTCTGCATTGCACGGACAGGGCCTCCTGGCATAAGACAGGCATAGAAAGCGGTGTCGAGGCTTGAGCTCTGTGCGGGCTCGTGCGAGCCCAAAAGCCCGACCTGACAGTCTGGCCGGGCTTGGGCCAATAAATGAGCACTGTTCGGATTTAGGTTGAGTTTTGGCCGGGTCCGAGCCGATTTATCCCGAACTGCGTCAAGCTCGGGTCGGGCCTAATTGGAGGCATCTTGACCTGGCGGCTCAACCTTGCCAAATATTTCGGAATTGGGGTAAATATTTGTTTTATCTTCAAAAACCAATAAAAGGGGGCCGAAAGTTTTTTTTTAACACGAAACGTGCTAATATGGATATTGTGCCGCTGGTCATTAGGTTCTATACAAAGCCCACTAAATTATGACAACCGTCTGGGTCAGTGGTTCTCAAATGGGAGGCTGCAGCCCCTGCAAAGGCATTCTAGGATCCAGGGCCCGTTTGCTCAAAGCTGGTTAACTCTAACCGCAGTTAGAAGTTAACCGCATTTCCCTATGAGGGGGAATTTTAGGTCACGTGACCGGCAGAGTAAGGACGGCGGGGAAACATGGCGGTGCCTCGGTGAGTGTGCGCCGCTCGCTTTGGAACTAATATGTCGTAGTAGCTGCAATATTGGGCGCGTTAGTCAGCAATGAATGGTGCAGGAGGCTTTCGCTCTGCCTTACCTCACTTAGATCGCAAAGGATGGGAATAATCTCGCCACATTTTTAAATAGTCTTTCGATTCTGGCCATTCCTAAGCCTAAATGAACGCAATAGTTGTCGGCATGGCAACGTCTTTGGAAAGTGGATTGCCTTGGCTCAATCGGCTGGGTATTGAGAGCACACAAAAGCAGACAGCGTCCCCGTAGACCTTTTGTTCACTTTCTCATGCACCCAGGTGCATGCTGCGATTGTAGTTACACGCTCTGCATGTGCTAACGTCTGCAGTAATAACTGTTCTAAAGCAAAAAGCCTAAAACAAATTTTGCCTTGCACGTGCGTTCGTCAAAGCCTTATTGTGATTATTTACTTAGAATCTTTTAAAAGGGGAAAGCCAGCGCGCGTGGATCGTAGAATTACACTTCGAGCGTTCTCCTCGATGCTCGGGTAATTTACTAATAGGTCAATTTTCACTGGGGTGGAATTACAGGTTTTTCAATTTATGATGGTGTTATATACAGTTCTTACATGCTGGCCAACCGTCCTGCCGGTGTACCACCCGCTTTTCACTGCTCACTTCTTCCTTATCGTTTCTAGGACTGAACTTCATCACCCTCTTTCAAACTTGGAAGGAAATTTCAACAAGGCTTGTCTTCCCTTCAGACAGCCAAATATAAATTTTCCAAACAAGGGTTAATTTCGTTTTACCTTACCGATTATCTGTACCATGAGCAATAAAAAATGTTTCTTAATCTCAAATGTATGCTGCGCTGCGTCGCGAAAACCCGGTAGCGCGCATTTTCGGGTCCCCCCTTTTCAGGAATTTTTCCACGGAAGCCACTTATATTTGCTACAACCAGCAGGTTACACCAGCTACCACCCAATAATAAAACGCAGATCTATCGCTCATCCAGCCCTCGTCAAACTCGGCTAGGTACTTGCTGGTACGTAGTAGTGAAGGACGGTTAACTTTTAACCGTGGTTAAAGTTAACTGGCTTCGAGCAAATGGGCCCAGGAGGCCTTGCTCAACTATGAACCTGGCCATAAACTTGATTTCTTTTATTTTTGTATAGAGAACAGGCACTTCTACCTTTGGGTAATTTTTTTTTCGTATTCGTCAGTGAGAGAAGTTTAGTTTGCACGAGCACTTAGCTATATAATATTCCTTTATCGTTTCGTAAACATAATTACCCCAGATCTTTCAATATTTCCACACCACAGATCCATTACTTCTGCCTATCCACAAGCGGTTCCTGAAACATCTAAGGTTGAGAATCACTGGTCCAAGACAAAGTTATCAACGTAAATGACTCCGCTCCACCAGACATTGCATATGTGCGTTGAAAAAGCCGGTCACACACTCTCTTGCAGAACACGCAAGAGTCAAGCTTTGCGAACTGCGGAAGGGTTCATAGCGAATGATGAAGCTCAGGTGGGGTCAGGCCTGAAAACGCAGTGTGCACACTGAGCTGATGAAAAATGACCGCAACGTTTATTGCTATTTTCTTTTATGAGCACGTCGCTCGCATATTTCAAATACAGTCCTATTCTGCACTTCATCCTACTTTATCTCTCGTCCACGGGGGGGCTAAGTATGACATAGGCGAGTTGGTCCAGGCGCCTTTGTTTAATCGCAGCGGGCTTGCCGCCCACTGCGATTGGTTGGCACCACTCCTGGCGTGATTGTGAACGCTTGGGAAAGTCGCAAATACGTTGTTCTTGACGTTGTCCTTGAGGTCATCCTATAGCCGGTGACAAGTCAAGAACAAAGTGGAAGCTCCTCCCACCCCTTTCCACTTCAGCGAAGCAACGGTGGAGAGGAGGTCGCCTCCTCTCCAGCATTTGCTCTGCTAAAGTTGAAAGAGGTTTGAGGGGCTTCCACTTCGTTCTTGACCTGTCACCGACTATAGACATCATTTTCAAGGTTGTCCCTGAAGTTGCCCTCGAAAAAAAGGTCATTTCTTGACATCGTCTTCGATGTGTGCATGGCATATTACAACCATGTCATCACCATACCCTTTCCTTTCCTAATTGCTTTTCACTAACGACGTTTGCTGTAAAGCTACCGAATTTTATCGTGTTTAGTAGAATGAACGTGCCTGTAACTTTTTGTTTCCACTTGGGGACGACCTTTGACGCACGGTTGGGACAGGACGGCAAACACACCAGTCGAGGATGCATTCCAGGCACCTTACCTTCGCCTCAGAGGTGAAGCAACGCACGTGTCCGTTGTTTGCAGGCCGGAGAGCAGCAGCGCAGCACGTTCCTGGATGTGCAGCCCAAGTCACTTTTTCGGGCGGCGCTGCACTGTGGCTGGATGCAGCCAGACCCCTCAGCCACCTTCCGGCTTTTTGACCGGGTCGTCAACGTGCGCGAGAACATTGCCGTGCCCTTGGGACTCAGGGGCACCGTCACGGGCATCTGCAAAGGTGAGCCGGCACCTGTGGTCTCGTTTACTTCTCATGACCAAGCGAACTGGCTTAGACGTGAAACCAGATTGCCTTTCTGCTCAAAACTCTTAGACGTATGAAAGTGTTATGAATGTCTAAATGTGGTTTTAGTATGTATAATGCCTTTATTAGGACGAGGTGAAGAGGGGATGGCGGGTGGGTGTAGAAACTTCCCAGTTCAGTGAATTCAGTGAATTGAGTATACACGATAGCAAATCTCATTTAACAAAAGTGTGCTGCGTGAAAATAATATTTCAGCCAAGGAGGTTAGAAGTACTAGGAGAGGGCATGTTGCAATATTGGTGAAGCCTAGTCATAAAAAGTTTAAACGATGTTGTGGCCAACGTGACTGTAGATCTCTCTGGCAATTGGTGCGCATGACATGTCACGTGTGAGATGGCTGGTTGATTGTAGAAGGATTCCTTGCAGGCTTGCGCACGCTCCATCCGGTAGGTTTTATCAGATCGAAAGCTAGACTGTGGTGTATTCTAGTACCCCATGGCTAGACGAAGGCTAGCTACGGTCACGTGATCTGGTCACGTTACCCTGGTAAGTGAGTAGATTAAGGAGGAAAATGAGAAAGAGGCGAGGCGTCAAGGGAGCATGGCTTGTGGAGACTACGCGGCTGGCGTCATGCCCTCTCCTACCCTTCTATCCTCCTTGATTTCAGCTGTCTGGCAGATGCAGGCTTTTGCAGAGAACTGTCGTATCTGAGGATGCTTCTAGGCTCTATTTTGATCGATGCTGGATACTTTTGTGGAATAGAATAGTACTTGGAAATATTTGACTATCATGGTTCGCTGTGATGGTTGGTTTGAGCGGCCCCATTCCATTCCAATTCCATGCCGGAGAATTGGATTTTCCGATAATTCTATTCCTCCAAACTCCTAGGAATGTAAACACTGGGCCCATTCCCACTCGTGGAATGGCTGAACCATTCCATTCCATTCCTCTAATTCCCAACTGTGAAAACTGGCGCTTGACAGCTATGTTAAGTTGCTGGCAAATAATGTGAGCATAAAGCCGTTACCAAACGCACAGACAACTGCAAACATATGCAAAACGTGTCCAAAAGCATAGATTCTACTAAGCCGAGCGTTGGTCGCACATACCACGGTAGAAGTTGGAACGGTGTCACTGCCGATATTGATAGCGCGACCAAGCATAAAAGGCCCGTAACAGACGGCGAAACTTCAAACCACCCCTTTTCTTCATAAAAGGACCATACATATCCTCCACTTCTATGAGATACATGACAAGTGAGAAGTCACACATCCAAGAAACGCGGGCGATGTGGCATTGTCCCTCTCTGCCTTGTGGCCTATGACTGGTGCTGTAATTGTACATGGTCATAACAGCCACATTGTCGTGGCACTAGGAACGAGACCTTGTCTGCCTACAACTCTACACTTTTGGTTGCTTTACTGGGGTGCCCCTTTCATCATCGAAAGAAAGCTGGTCAGATAACCAAGCCGTCAGTTATGTAAAGTGCATCAATGCTGTTTCAAAAGCCCCTTTGACCAGATCGACACAGCTTGCATAAGAACCGAGCCCATTCCATTTCCACTCCATTTGAGAAAAATGCACCTAATTCCATTCCCATTGCCATTCCCCCCAGTGCTGCCGCCATTTCATTCCCATTCCATTCCCATCCCATTCCATTCCCATTCCATTCCCATTCCATTCCCATTCCATTCCCATTCCATTCCCATTCCAATTCCATTCCCATTCCATTCTGGGGTCACGGAATGATAGTGATAGTGATATTTATTTTGGAAATATTCCAGAGTTGGAATCATTCCAACTCCGGAGAGTTAACTCCGCAACACCAGTTGGTTCTGGATGCAGATACTGCCTGGCGGACTGTCACAAGACAAGCCTCATCTCGGTTGAGTTTCCTAGCTTGAACATTTTGCACCGTTTCAAGTATGTGCAAGGACTCGTATCACAACTCTTCAGGTTTTATATATGTACGGGCACTTGGCACTAGAACGCATTTTGATTGGATACGAGTTACAGACTACCACTGCAACTCGCCACTCGACAATCACTCATTTATCGATATGCCCCTTAGGAGCCCCATCCCACTAGAGCGACGCACAATCTGTGATGCTCACGGTCGCAATAAATATGCCTAATTGGCAACCTTTTTCACGCTTGAGCACTGCCTTTGGGCCACAGAAAAACATGTTTGTGAGGAAGCGGCACTGCGGAAGATTGCTCGAGCCACCCAAAAACTTGCCTTTATTTTGTCATGCTATACTTTTGGTGAATTTGCTCGGTGCTTCCAGCGTGCTCTAGAGTGGCCTTTCAAGACCGCTCCAGGTCAGTTGGTGGAAAATAAGCGCGGCAACATGATTGTGTGGTTCATTCCAAAGACTTCCCTCCTTCCAAAAACACTCCCTGAACAGCCAGGGAGCACTCTCGGAGGGAGGGAAGCCCTCGGAATGAACCATGCGACCAGATTTCCACAGTCTTTGTCCACCACCCGATCTGGCGCGCTCTTGAAAGAGTGCACTAAAAGCACCACGTGAATTCACCATTTGTTTCATCATGTCAGAGTGCAGCTGAAGGCTCAGATGCATACAAACACAGACAGACACACATACCAAAAACACAAGTCATGGGGCATTCGCAGCACTTGAGTGGCTCAGCCAATGATAGGACACATACGAAGAGATGACAAAAGCCACGACATTGTGCTTTTTATGCTGCTTGATTAAGGCAAAAGGAACTATAGTGGGACCCAGTGCTTTTCATGCTGCTTAGCTTTAAGGTGAAATGAACTATAGTGGGACCACGCCCTAAACCATTTGAGAGTGGCTGATTATATAAATACCTTCATCTACTGTGAATGATGGGAGAAGGCCCGGTGTGCAAGTGCATGTGTTTTCCACCCTGCAGTAGAGGAAGGAGAGCCCAAGCTGTGCGAGGTCGTCTTCGACCAGAGCTTTGTCGGGGGCCTGACCCTGCGCTGCTCCCCCAACCGGGGCTACAAGCTGTCCACCCTCTCCCTGGTGAACTTGTCCCACGGGGTGCGCACCCAGCGCGGACAGCAGCTCTACCAGGTGCCCGCCCGCAGGCAGGAGCAGCATGCCCAGGTGAACACCTGGTCTCCGTCCCGTACACCGAACTTCGTTCTAATTTTTAAAGCAATAGCTGTATGGCTGACTTCCATTAATTCGACCTTGACGGGACATGCGGAATTGGGTCGAATTATCTGAAAGATGAATTAAAAGATGTGTGCAAAATTTTGAATATCTAGCGCTTTAGATGAGGTGGGCTAATGTTTTTATAATGAGCCGCCGCATACTGCCGCACGGTAATGGCAGTGGCCGTGTAAGTTCTTTGCGTGTTCAGTGCAGCAGCGGTGACCGGCGGCGGGAGCCGCTGCCGGCGCCATTGCAACACCGCTGCTCCGCAGCAGTGTTGCAGTGGTTGTTTTGGTGGTGTGCTCCAGCGGCGGCGCTGAAGGCAAGCAACCATTGCAACACTGCTGCGGAGCAGCACTCGCTGCACAACAGCGGTGTTTCAATGGCTGTGTGCGCTGCAGAGCAGCGCTCACCTCAGGGCAGCGGTGTTGCAATGGTTGTTTTGTGTTGAGACCCCGCCGTGTCTCGTTTCTCAACATCTCGTTTCTCAACATTTCTCTTACCAATTCGCCACGCACTTCAAAATTTAAAAATGGGCTTTTTCGCCGACGGGTGCGGCGGAGCGGCCGATCGCAGTTGACTGATCAGACGACGGGGGCAGCTGGTTTAATTAACCAATATTTTTTATTTCAAGATCGAAATAACGAGTTTATTTTTCTGTAGAAATGTATGGGGTTTTGCCGGGACATTTGAACAGGGTCGAATTAAATGATAAGTCGAATTTATGCAAGTCGACAATATATGAGAACCCTGCGCAGATCCTGCTTGCACACGTTCGTCTGACCACATGGCATAACATTGACGTTGTGGTATCGTGTGATATCATTTACCCGCTAAATATAGGAGGAGTCGGCGTCACAGTTTCATGTCATGGCGTCATGTGACGTCAAGTGAGGTGGCGTAATTTCCCCGCTAAATTTAATGGGGAAGTTGACGTCACAGTTTTAAGTCGTGCTCAGTGACCTGAGGTGACATGACATTGTCAGGCGGTGATGTCACGGAGTCACGTGACTCAAGTTCCTCGCCAGATTTTGCAAGGAAATTGTTGTGTCACATGATGCTATAGCAGGGGTGGCTAGGGTGACATGGGGTTAGAGCCACAGACAAAACTATGAAAGTTCAGAGAGCTGAAAGGGGAAAAAAGGCAGAGGGTGGGGGGGGGGGGGGGGGGGGCAATTTTTAGAATAAACAATATGAAGGGAACAGTCCTTTCCAAAGGGGAGAAATATAATTGTCGACTACGACAAATAACACCAAGCAGCAGAACGTTTCTTCAACCGCTAAGCAAATATGAATGCATGGTTCGCTAGCCAGCCACTGCCCCTCACGCCCGTTACGTGTATACGGTTTGAAATTCTTTCTAGAACAGTAAAGTAAGCAGGGTCACTGGACACACCTATGTGTTAAAAAACAGTCCAGATGCATGTGCGTAGTGTAGTACTAGGCTGCCAAGTGTGAGTTTTTGTTTAATTTAAGAACTCTTTTCGTCTTGGGGCACAGGAGTGGAAGAGGAAACGCTTACCAGTGAGCCGCAATCTGCACTTGAACCCGCGAAAAGCAGCATGCGGCTTGCAAGCCGCAGTTGGGCCACTCCTGTGCTATAATGTTGTGATGTGACGTCGTGGTTCGTGTGACATCGCAGTGTCGCCTTACGTCACAATTTACCCACTACATTTAGTAGGAAAATATATCCGCGAGGTTTTGGTAGAGGGTGAAACTCCATGAAAACCCAATCATCTGCTGCTGCACCTTTGTTGCATTTTATGGAATCTCTAAGCCAGGCGATTTTTAGAGCAGCAGCCATAATTGGTGAGGTTTTGCAGCGGATTGCAGAGTATAGTGTGGCCCGCTAAATCTAGCAGGGAAGCAAGTGTCACATGTCCCTAATTTTTTGTGGATATAGCACACTTATTTCAGATTTTTGCCAACTTTATTATACCAGGTTCAACTGTATACTTATTGAGCTATCACGGCATCTTTCATCATCATATGTGGCCTTCAAAAAGGAAATAATCGAAAATATGCGGATAAATGAACCATACTTCGTGAACCATACCTCGTAAACTTCTATTAATTCAATTAAGTATGGTTCATTCATCCGCTTATGAGCTATCTTTGTGCAGAAGACAACTTTCCGAAAAAAAGCAGCAGTGATAGGTCTGATGTGCACGCATTAACTTTCATTGACAAAAAATATCTTTATAGATTATTTTTAAGGGGAACCTGAAGCGGTTCAGCACTTTTAAAATATCTCTGAAGACCCTCCTTCCCGTGGCATTTGGTGGGAGGAGAGAATTGTGACGTATCGTACAAAAAACTAAGCTGAGCACGTTCCCTCACAAGCAGCAAGTGCAAGGCAGTTGAAACCTCCGAATATGACATCACTCCCAGCAATTCGTTTCTCGGTTTTTCTCACACCTATTGATACATTCGTATCGCATGCTCATGGTACTCAAATTCACGGGGGAAAAAAAAAAATGCTAAAATTCACCTCTAGCTTTTTTCAAGAACCTCTTTAGTTTCTTTTTTTTTTTTAACATCATTTTATCCACTCTTTTTTTTTATGCATACTACAATATACCGAGCAAGTGCCCTCCCAAGATTGGGATATAGCCTTGACAACTGGGGGAAATGGGCACTTATTACCTAGGTTCAAGAGCAAAAGTGGAGTAGGGGTGCCAAGGGGGTAGGCTTCGCCGCTTTGCACCGCAGTGCTTGAAAAGCGACTGATGAGCACTTTGGTTAGCTAGGTTGGCTCAGAAGTCTGGTATGGGCCCTTGATATGCCTTTTGCTTAGTTGTTAAACATTTCGAAAGTAGCGGGTGGGCTCTCGGTGTGGCACTACACATGTGTTTCAAACTTTCTGCCACTGCAGGCCACCAGTCCCAAGAAGGCATCGAACTATGGGCAAGCGGCTCACACCAGTCAGGCTGGCAAAGACCAGCAATGGAACAGCATGTCACCGCAGCAGCACCGTCAGAGCAGAAACAGATTCCACCACTCGCCAAATTCTCCCTTCGAACCTCAGAAGGTGAGAGATCGAGCATCCTCGTTCAGAGAGAGTTAATAGCATTTTGAAACGTGGTAGCATCTTGAAACCGCTTAACACACCTGCGTCGTGGTTTTGCATTGTGCAGCCTTGTGCGCCCTTGCGATTGGCTACGACGAAAGAATACGCTGGTGCCATCCACGAGGTAGCCTTGGAACGATGTTTGACTAGAGTGAATGTTTTGCAGAATTTGCAAGATCAGATCTGCATACTATCTCTATAAGAAATGGTTGCTAATAACATCGTCAAAAGTTCTTTAGTCCCATTGTGAAACAATGACGTGCAAAAAAATGGGGAAATATATGCAAATCACGAGCTTCACCTACCTATCTGGTAGGTGGCACCCTCTCGTGTAAGCGATCACAAGAGCGCACAATGCACTCCTTTACAACAAAACACAAATGTGCCAACCAGCCGTCTATGTGTAATGGGTGCTGAACTCGGGTTGTTCACACCAACACACGTGATAAGTCCGTTTTACGGGCACACCTTCTCTTAGCAGATCAGGTGCATCCAACCGCTCCCGGTGGCCTTTATGGTAAACTGTTTCCAGGGGTAAATGCAAACTTTCCCGAATTGGTCAGGTGCAGCCGGAAATCGTACCCAGCCTACAAATTTGCCAGAGCTACGAATCATTCTTATGTGCCGCTGTTTTGGCCACAAAGCATGCAATGATGTGCTTGCTAGGCATTTCCTTTCATAGTTCATAATGCAGATTCAGTGTAGTTTATTTTGTTTATTAATGGATTTAGAAAAATTGCAAAATAAAAACACTTGCTCCATTATGACATTATACAGTAGAACCTCGTTGATACGTTTTTCAGGGGACCGCGGAAAAAAAAACGTATCATCCGGGAAAATGTAACAATCGATAACGTTCTTAGGAGGGCTGTACATGAGATAGAAAGCAGGTCTTATACAATGGTGTATTTTATGTGTGCTTACAGAACTATTGAGTACTCAGACACTCCAACTTTGCGTGTTTTGCTCCCTGAGCGTGTTTAAAGCCTGGTTGATAAAAGAGAGCTTTCGCCTCGATCTCCTTTCGTTTGGCGACGATTCTGTTCAAAGCTGACGGCGCAAGCCCGAGGTCTCTTTCGATGTCAGATCTCTTCCGGCTGGGATTGCGATCTACCGTCTGAAGTATATCAAACTTCTCTTTGAAAGAGAATGTCTCCTTTTTTGCGATGCCACGATCGTCGTCGATGGGTGCAAAGCGCACATACTCTGAAACGCCACGGTTCTTGCAATCGAGCGGAACAGAAACTAGAAGCGCAGCGTGCATGCGGGTGCATCTTGTGCCAGAGAAAGAGAAGGACAGACAAAAGAGAGAGCAAGCGTTTGCCCCCTCGCCATCCTCGCTCCCCGTCCAAGCAGTGCTCCAAAGTCACACTTGAGCAAAATGGGAAGCTGTGACAGTGCTCAGCAGAGCCCAGCGAGGAGACAGAGAGACGTAAAAAAGGGGCAAAGGAGTAAAGGGATGACGGGTGTCTGTGTGCCCACGCGTGCCATGCGACCCACGTTGCAAGCCAGCATGGCAGCTTGGCGTCCGGTGTGCCGAGACGCGCTGGGGCAAATGACGGCCAACGAAGCCCATGGATGTGTGAAGATGAATGACTTTGGATACAAAGAATGGGCCCTATTTTGTCATTAAAAATTTCTAAAAATTGTTATAACTTCTGGAACAGATAACGGCAAGCTCTGAAACTTTGGCATCTGATCCGGACAGCTAGCACTACCTACATTTGGGAAGAGACTGAGCATTTAGTGATGCTTAGTTTATTTTACGGTGAAAAGAACACTACCGTAAAATACCGCAAAAGTGCCCACTTTGCTCAAGCGCCGACTATTAACGCGTTCCAAACTTGGGACTTCTGCAAATTATACATTAACGCTTTCCTGACCGCGCCTTTAGGCCATCGATCACCAATGATCGATGGTTTCCAGGCGCCGTCGAAAAGGTAAATTTAGTGTGGATAATTACGTTCCACAATCTGATGGATAGCCGAAAAACTAGTTTTGGTTTCAATGTAGGTTTGAGCTTGATCACAAGCTGGTGTGCTGTCAAAATAATCCTGGGAACGGTGGTTGCACTTGTCTAACATGGCTAACTGCTTGCATCAGTCTTTGTAACAAAGATGGCATTTTTTACATAATTAAACTATTATGGCATATTTTTTAGACGTCAAGAGCTCTGGGGACACTTAAAATAGCGTTATAAGCATCACTTAACAGATGGTTGTTGCTAAGCATCACTATAATTTCTATTGCTGTCCTAAGCCACAGTGCACATTTGATGTTACCAACAAGGTGGACAGAAATGCTAAAAATGAAGGAACTACAATCAAAGCTATGGCAAAACGAAGGTAAAACACAAAGAAAGCATTCTCCTGGGGATGTGAGTTGTACTACTATTTGTGTTTCACCAATATGATCAATCCTTCGTTGAGAGCACACGTGTTACGGAGGTTGTCACTCCGACGAATCAAAAATAGACAACATCAGTTAGAGTGCACTAACTGAGAGAAGCAATAGCCGTCGGTGTGGAGAACATTTTGTATATTTGGAGTTTATTTTTATTTGTCATTTAATTTGACATAGCTGTAGAAGTTTTGACGTTTATATGTCTTCCGCACATACATTGTACCTTTAAAAAATTACATTTTAAAATAATTTTTTCATAATAGTATACCAAGATCTGTTTCTCTTGAAAGAACATCTAATTGGCCATATTTTGATGTGTCATATTTCTGCGTACGCAAATTATAGTTAAAAAAATAAAAGCGTTTGCACGTATCCTTTGAAAATTGCTGCTTTTCCTGTGGTCAGGAAAGAGTTAAGCGCCCGATTTGACTGGACAAGCGCCCATGTCTATATTAATCCAGTTTTCAATGAAAGTGGGGTGGGTGCTCCTCTAATATTTTACATTAGGTTTGTTTCGCGGACACAGTCTATTTTATCTGGTAGCATGGTGGCTGGAATGTGTCCCGTTAGACATCACACCAATTTTATGGGGTGGGCAATGTTTAGAGAGTTTTCCGCCAGGGATATTTTGCCAGAAAAACAGGGTGGGCACTCTGTTGGGGACGGACATTCATTTGAAATGTTTTATGGTATGACATATTTTTACTTATTAAGATATGTGCTAAAACCAAAACATTCTTTGTTCTGTTCTGATTGTAGGGTCTTCATCGAACCAATAAGTCTGCCCAGGTAAAAGCATTTGCTTGCACTTTGTTGGGATTAGTTTATGCTTCACACGCTTATTGAATCTGCAGACGCTCCTTGCTAATTCAAGGCAAAGGGTGCCTACTTAATTGACAGGAAGGAATAGTGCATTTGTTTTTATAACTTTACCACATATTGCAATGGACAATGATTAATTGAGGTCAGCAGAGGGACTGACATTTTGCTGGATGCTCCAGCATGCTGCTATAGAATTATATTTGACTATTCTTGCATAGATACTTTTAGCAACATACAGATTTATCATGCATTAAATTATAGACCAGTTACTTCTCCACAAAATGTTTTCAAAATTTTTTGTTTTTGTTTTAAAATTATATTTTTAAATAAGAAAAAAAAATTTTTTTTCTTCTGTGTTGTTAACTTTGGTTTTATTATACTCAGAACATTACTTTGAAGAATGGTTTGTGAAATTGGATTCCTAGAAACCGGGGGGTCCCCTGAAGTACCCTCTGTGGTTTCCCAGAGCCACCAAACTTCCTCGACCGTTCCTGCCCCCAAGTAAAGCAGTCTTCATTTTAAACATCATACTAGAAGCTACGAGCCAACCATTGATACGTAACTATGTACTAAACAATCTTAGCGTGTGCATTATTCTTTACAAGGTTTCTAGTCTTCCGATCTGCTTTAGTGCATCAGTGCAGAAACTGAGAGGTGTTCCGTCGTTATCAATGGAGAAAGATAAGCGTTCTTCGAGATCAGAAAGATCCCCTGCTTTAATGAATGTGGAGCTGTCTAAACCTTTTGTTTTGGCACCTTATTGTTTTCACAAAAATTAAAGATACAGTTCTATACTCTGTTTCAGTGCAGTTTGGCAAACGAGGAAAGCTACGGCTTTGGTGAGCCAATTGAGACATCGGAAGCAAGCGAGCCACATTACAGTGCACTTTTGGGAGGGACTCCTTTGGTGCAACTTTTCACTTTGCCACTCTAATTTTGCTTGAGGGGCTCATAGCTTTCGCCCTTGGCCATGATACGTTGAAACAGAGCATATAGCACTTTCTCTTCCAATTATTCCAAGAGAAAGATGATGTGTACTATGTTACAAAGCCGTTGTTGTGGCATAAGACCTTAAACTGTTCGTTTCTATCGTACTGCAACGAGAAAGGGCGTCTACCGTAAAATCTCATGAGGGCGCTCACCCAGAAATTAATAATAAACACCAGGGGCATCCGCTACAAACCACGTGACACAGGAACTTATACCGCAGGTTGCGGACACGGCAAATTAGCATTTCACAACGCGATGAACACTCGGGAATTATCTACGAACTCCCGCGTCACGGGAAAGGATACTGAGACTGCGGACGTGGCAGATTCGTGTTTCACAGTGTAATAAACATGTAGAAACTGGCTAAACTTGCGTGCCATGGAAACCGATATCGCACGCCCCAGATTGCGGACAAAAAACGTGGGAACTTGCTACAAACTCTCATGTCACGGGAACCGATATTGCACGCGCAGATCGTTGACCCGCTTCTCACTCGTACCGCAGATCGCGCGGTTGATGGGATTCCCGTCGGGCACCACGTAATGTCCGACGGGAATCAGGGGTTGGCGATGTTTTGGAATTTTCATGTTACGGGTATTTAGCCAGAAAAAGGGGATGGGTCATCTCTTGGTGGAGGGTGCCCTTACAGGATCTTACGGTAATATTTTTCATATGTCCGTTTTGCTAATCATATTTTTTAATGTCAAAATGTTTGCATGATCCTAATGCACCCCCCATTTCTAATGCACCGGCAGATTTAGCTCCCAGATATCCAAAAAGTACTAAATTGCCGCCAATTCTACTATGCAGGTAAAATAATCAAGATTAACAGATAGCTCATAGAACAGATTTCGTGAAATGCACTGCAACACAAAAATGAATATTGTGCTCAAGTTGCCATCTTCGCTGTCCACAAAGGTAATCCTTGCTTTCATCTAAAGCGTTTTAGGTGCCGCACATCTTGCGCTTGTACGAGTGCATAACCGTCGCCTCTGAGAGGGTAGGTAGTCTTCCAAACAACACTTTGCAAGCTCGTCGGGTTGCTAGGATTGCGAGGCCACGCAGTTCTGATCCATTGTTATCTTGTCCCACCAGTGCGATGGCCTTTTGTTTAAATAAACCCTCCTAGTGAAATTTATTTTGTTTTCTCATCTTAAAATGGCAGACATGAGTCTATAAACGCGAGAAAATGCACATGTGATACGGATACCAAAATGACGAATGTAAACAAACAGTCACAATGGCAATTGGGCTTGCCACCTTATACCGAGTATTGCATTTTTATTTTGAGTTAAATTTTTGGTTTTGATTGTACGCGCATGTATTTTTGGGCACCGATTTCGGCAAAAAAAAGTGCGTTAGGATCGTGAAAGCACGGTACTTTTTTTTTTCTGGTTCTCACGGTGGTTGTTACATCAAATGATCACGTACTTATGTAATATATTTGGGTTATACTATGGAGGCTTATCTGACAGTTGCAGGCATATTTTTCCATATGATTTGGCTGATATGAAGATGTGCATACTGTGGAGGCTACGAGTATGAGCTCGTAACTTTAGGAACACACTTCCTTTACCTTGCCATTGATCTCGTTGCTGGCGCCTTTAGCATAAATAAAGCTTATCCTTCGTTTACCAGGTTTTCTTATTGATGTGAACCATGTTCTTTAGTGGCATATATGCAAACAAAAATCTCATATAGAAAAAAAGATTATTTTTCTTTTGTTTTGTGGGCAGAGCCTTTTTGCACGCACTGACATTAGTTTGGACTTGGGGAATTAACATACTAATTGAGAGAATGGGTGATGGAGGTGATTTGAGTTTCCCGTTTGATTCCCTACCCCACAGTCGTCCCCTGCCCCAGAGCCACCGATCGACAGCAGCAGCGGTAGCACCGACTTTGCCTCCCTCTGGCTGGGGCTGCAGAAGGCCAGCAGTCTGCCGCAAACCGCAAACACCCAGCCCGCTCCCCTCCTTCCAACCTACGAGTCGTCGCTTCATCAGGGGACGCCAGTCTCAATCGAGGAGCTCTTCAAAGGTGGCTAAACTTGCTATTCCACACAGACCTGATTTGTGTTTATCTTTATTATTAAGGAACAACGATCGGGGCAGGGGAGCATGACGCCTAAAAAGCGTGACGCGATCTGTATAAACGGAGAAAATCCAAGTCATGACTATACTCAGCGTCAACCACCTTGTGCTACATTGTCAAGGCTAGCGTAGCTTCAGCAGTGTTCCTACAGAGCTGTCAAAGCAACCTGCGCAAGTGCGGGCGAATGCAAAAGGAAGTCACGTGCACATGCTCTTGCAACAGTGTGACGCTGCAGCACTGGAAGCCACGCTAGCCCTGACAACGTTGCACAAAATAGTTGTCGCCGAGCGTAGGGGTGTCACAAACTTTTGTCGACCCTTGAGGTTCAGCTGGTTTAGCAAACCACACTTTTGGCAAAATTCGACGGGAAGTTCAACTTCTGAACAGTGTTGTCCGTCCCCTACACAGAAACTTGAAATAGCAGTTGGAAAAAACTATTTGATACTGTAATTTGTTTTACATTTAAAAAAAAGCAATCACATGACCTGTTAATGATTTAGTTTGTTTATATGAAATCTGTCTTATAAATATTGCACCCCTGTTGCACTAAGTAGTGTCAGTTTGTTTTCGATTTCTGCACATGCGCAGCTAATAGGGAGTTTTAGAATGGCGTCGTTGCTATTGCGCATGCATCAAACGCTAACAGCGTTTTGCGCTTTACGTGTGCTATTTTAGTGTACGCTATTTTTCAGAAATGCGTGCGTACGCAAGCAGTTTTTGCACTCCTCCAAGGAGGATTCGTGATGCGTGAGAAGTCAAGACGAGCACAGTTAGAAATTGACGGCTCCCAGGATTGTAACTGCAACCGCTTTGGCGGTCGTCGTGAGCGCGACGTTGGCGGCTTCCTCGCTACTGTGATTTTCAATACAGGACAACATTTCACTTCTACGGGAGGTGCACGTCACAAACGGTTTGAAAGACACAGCAAAGTGGGCAACGATTGCTGGCAACCTGCTGCATGCAACGTGCACACATTTCTTGGCGAACGTGCATCTGGTACGTGTGCAGAGATACACGAGACCTCTCTTGCCGACGTGGCACAAGTGGACACGACCGGTCGACCGCTTGCGTCACATCCTCATATTTAAGCAAATCTAAAATGTTGCTCTGGGCCAAAAAAAACATTTTTTTTCTCAAGTTCCAGCGTCTCGTGTGTGAAATAAAAATTTTTATTGTATCTTCGTGGCGTTGCAAGCACGAGATGCTTGGGTTGTTGCATCGCAGCGGAGGAATGCTGTTCTAAAACTCTCTTTCGTAGTGTGTGCTAACGCAAGCACTAAATTTAGTGCTAGCCTGCGCTAAAACTGTGTACGTCATTCTAAAACTCCCTAACGGTCGAACTTCATTTGAACTCAAACTTCTTGTTAAAAGATTAAAACTGGTCGATCTTGAACCTTGGCAGGTTCGCAACTTCTCCAGTCATGACGGGAAAGGCAACATTTTCACTAAAAATTAAGAAAAGAAAACAAAAACCTAGCTTTCGCAATAACACAAATCTTGCAAGATTTGTGTTATTGCGACAATCTTATTCTCACGGAATAAGAAGAGCTACAACAATAAGAAGAGCTACAACAATCTTATTCTCACGGAAATGCAGAACGAGATGAAAACAATTTTGTAATGTGTTGTCAATTGTATGAAACATTGCCAAAGAAGGTTGATGAAATACACCAAAAACAGTCTTCTCGGTTCGAAAATTCTAGCCATTAATCTCAAAGGGGGATCAAAACAACTCTTAAGTAGCAAGATATTTTTACTCTGAAGCCTGTCAGATCAAATAGTAGTAGTCTTAATATATAGCAAGTCAATTTCTGTCCTATTTGACTCTGTTTGGCAAAACTCCTTTTCGTTTTATTTTCACGCAGGGGCAGAAAAAATGCAGCAGAAGATTATCGAGTCGCCGCCAGTGTCGTCTATAGGGTAGGTTTGTGCCTTTCGTTGCTGGCACTCATATTCGTCTGCTTTCTGCCAGGCAGGCATGCTTAGTTTTGGGTGGGGGGGGGACGGTAGTTAAAGTGGGAACTGGAGTCATAATCATATACGAGTGATTGCAAAATAAAGAAAACAAAATAGCTTTGTGCGTTCCGTGCTAAACACGCTAATTCACACCAATAGCATACCGTAAAATATCCAGCATGCACCCACGTCACAATAAGCACCCACCCGCTGTTTTTAAAACGTTAAAAAAATAAGCTAAGGATTACGTGCCCGACCCAGACTTCTGAGCACACCTGGCTAACAGAGGTGCTCCTACAGATCAGCTGCTTTGAGCACGCCAGAGGAGTGCAATCAAGCTTGACGCAAGTGCGCCGTTGATTGGTGGCAAAGCCCACCCTGCCTTCTGCACCTTCTGCAGTCTTTGCTCTCGAACCTGATAAGTGTCCGTCCCCCAGTTTTTCAAGATTATCGCCAACTTTTTGGTGAGCATTTGCTCGGTATTTTACAGTATATGGTAGCATGACGATTGGTATATGTGTGCGAGACCACAACTTCATTGTCATGCTTTCTTTTGTAACTCAAGCATGTGTAAACCAGATAAACCAGTTGGTGGTGGTGGTGGCTGGCAAAGCACTCAAATGCTTTGGGAGGCCTGTAAGGTATTCCAGCAATATGCTTGACTATGTAATTGTGTTGTGCAACTTGGCAGAATGTACAAATTGCTCTTTACATAGTATTTCATTTCAAAAAAGCTTGCAGAAATGACAAATGCCTAGGTAGTGTTGTCATTTGTTTCAAACTAATTATTCAGTAGCATTGCATTTTAATGAAGTTTTAGTTCAGACATGAAAATATTAGCACAGCTCTGCGTTTTTTTTTTTTTTTTTTTGCAGCATGAAGTTAATTGTTGCAAAAGAAAAAAAAAAATGTTTTCCTTTGTTTTGCAGTGCCCTTGCAGAGTTGATACAGCGTACAAAGGAATCGATGGGTTCGGAACCGGTTCATTATGTCGTCTGCATGGGTGACACTGAGGTACGTGTGAACTCTTGTTTTTCAGCTCGTAGTTCATTTGTACCTTCCGAAGGAACTGTTCCACGTGATGTCTACCTTTCTTCTTTTTGTTTCTTTGTGTTGCCGCATGCTTATTTTCTGTTTGGTTGTGCAGCCGTTCCAGAAGTACAAGGCATTCGTTATTTTGCCAGACGGCAAAAAGTATAGCAGTGCATGCACCATGGACAAGGAGTCTGCGTTGCAGGACGCAGCTAAGCGAGCTCTTCCCTATGTAGTGAGTTTCATTTGTTTGTATTTTGGTTGCCTCCATAGTTTCTTTTGCTGCTGTTTGCACATAGAGTCGTCGACTGATTTTTCGGACATGTCCTATTATTCGGCTGTTTTCGCTGAGCTGTCACTCGGCCCATAGAGTTAATGTATAACATTGACTGAAATTTCAGACACCATAAAGCATATTGCTCGATATTTTGGACATAATTTGCGTGATTTCCTCAGTTTACAGCCACAAAACAGCCGCCGTGATAGCGCCACGAACTTAGTCGTTGCCATTTTAGTTGTTTTGGTTTTGCCCTGTAGCCTCTATACCACGTTGTACGCAATAAACAAGCTGGGTTGAGGCTATAGTGGGGTTTTCCGGTTCCGCTATAGCCAACATGGCCACTGTCTGTCCATACTTAAGGTTCTTCCAGTTCTTCTCGTGGTCCGTGTTTTTCAAGTGCGACTACAAGAAGAGCACCCATCTGCCATTCTTGTGGTCTCTCAGTGCGAAGGTTTTTTGCCGATAGCCTTAGTATTGAAGCGAGCTTGGTGGACTAAATGTTGTCTACAAATAGTGCCAAATGGCGCCAACCTCAACTTTGCTGTTTGTGCCAATGAAGGCGCCGACAAAGCGCAGCACCATGACCAAACAGATCAACAAACAAGTGAAAAGTGAACAATATAAAGAGGAAGTTGCACGAGAACTTAAAATTGACATCAAGCAAGTGAAAAGTGACCAATACGCAGCGGATTATGCGCGGAAATTTAATATTTTGGGGGATGAAATTGATTTTTCAGATCGCTTGATTATTTGGACAATTTTGGGGCCCCCTCCGAGTCCAAAAAATCGGTCGGCGACTGTATTCGTGTGACTTCAGACTACTTCAGATCTTGCGTGTTTAGCAAAATAACTGTCGCGGCTTGTGACATTACTGTCAAGCCCACTTATATCGAACGGCACGAAGATAGTAAAATAGTTTGATCTAATGAAAATTAGATGTACAAAGTGAAGCAGAAAAGCTTCACCTTTAAGAGTGGAATGCAATAGCTAAACATACAAACTCCCGCCCGTTCCCAAGCCATGCAAGCGTCTCTGTGTGGCCTAGTCATCCCAGCCAGCGTGTCTGGCTGGCTGGAATGAGAGAGAGCCTTGTCACAGTTGTTGTGTATCTGTGAGGACCGATGGAGAGAGGGAGAGCAGTGCCTCTGCTTTGGAGTGGGGTTTTGCATTCATACATGGGCATTTTTTGTCGGGAAGGGGCACTAACAGCTACCGCTCTGAAATCTTTGAACGTTTTTCTTAAAAGTCTTCCCTGCTGAGTCGTTGATCTATACTCTTGGGTCATTAATTGTGCAGGTAAGCTGATGGGTAATTAACACGAAGCTGGGGAGAGATCGGATGCAAAAGATAAAATCTATAAACAATGCTTGCTTCATTGTTGCCTCGGTCTTATGTTGAACATTTTAAAGCCCCTTTGTTTTTGTTTCATTTTACTGCTGTTCAACTGGTTAAGGTTGTTTAACAAGATGGGTATTAAAGTTGCAATGACGGGGTCATCATGCCTCGGCTTCCATGTGTGACAGCCTCGCTGACGGAAGCTTTTTTATGTGCACTTACCATCTGCTCATAACTCAAATAGCTGGACTAGTATTAATTTATGAGCCAAATTCAGGAAGGGAATGGAAGAATGACTGAAGCAAACAGTCCTCTCTTTATTGCTCTCATTGGCTCACTCACTCTGCCTGTTGCCTACCTTTCTTCCTTATTAATGTTTGCCCCTGAAGGTGTCTGAAGCCTCGTTCACATGAAAGCGACTTCAGCGCATCGACTCCACTCGTTTTTCGAACGAAGCCGACGCGGCAATGTTTACATGAATGCGCACTAAGCCCTGCACGAAGGTGGCGCCACGCCGTGTCAAAGCTGGAAGTTATACAGTTCCGGCACCAGCCGCACCACGTTTTCCGGTGCATCGCTTGTGGAGGCCTGGAGGCCATTGGCCTTTCGACGCATTCAGGAAACATAAAGATCGTGCCTGCTGTCTTGGTCCTGTGAAAGAAGTTACGAGACGGAAGAAACATCAAAACCCAAGCGTTTAAGGCTCCAGGCCGGGCCGCCGGGTCACTCTGGACCAGAGGCAACGTGTGTGCGCACGCTTTGAGGAAGCCTCCGCGCTTCGCCGCGCCAGACCTCGCCGATCGCGACCGGACCAACCGGACCCCGAGTCCGAAAGGCTCCTGCGCAGCCAGGAACGGCACCGAGGTAGGAGCTGCTCGTTCTGCGCTACCATGCTACCATGCAGTGCTCTACAGTGCTCGAAGCTCTCGGTGTCGTTCGTGCTTGCGCCGAAGCCTTTGGGACCCCTTCGGACGTGCAAGTCATACTTCGGAAGGCTTGGATGGGGGCCGCTCTCACCGAGCAGCTCTGCTATATTCCGCTTATTTATGATGGCAATAAAAGCAAAAATTGTGGGCGACCATACGGGACCGCTCTCTGCGCCGCCATGTTCTCGGCTGTTCACTCACTCCCGCAGCGAGCGCCTTCCCATAATCCTCCCCATTCCGAAATGCGATGCAACCTCCGTTTACATGGGCTGAATGAATGCGCACTCGCCATCTCAATCCACCTCTGTCTAGCGACTTACATGTGATGTGCTTTCTTTGCGCATTATGCAGTTTACATGTCCGCATTGAATGCGACAAGTGGATTCGATGCGACTAAGTCGCATTCATGTAAACACGGCTTGAGAGAGAACATTATGGGCCATACACAATAAATTGGGAAGCCATGGAAAACTGGACAGGTTCATCGTGTTTTAGTACATTGCTCTGTTTCAATAAATTTTATTTTTAAAGGCCGACCAACAGGCAGAAAGAAAAAAACTTCCTCCTCCCTCCTTTTCATTCGAAAAAGAGTGAGACCCTCCTTCTTTCTATGGAGATTAGCTCAGAGACTCTCTCCTGTTGGGAGAAGAGAGGAGTGCAAGAGTGAATGGAGAGAAGGAATCTGGGAATTGATTTTCATCCCAGCAGAAAACGATTATGTAGGTTGACTGACCTTTAAAGGAAATTAGATCTTGTTTTTTTCTTTTTCTGTAAACCACCTCTTTTTTAGGGAGCGATGCATGGGAAAACTGCTGGTGCACATCACACCTAGCAATCTGCGGTTATGCAGATCATTCCAGAGGAATGTTGCATTGAATTCTTAACTAACCTTATATTTCTTCCTTTTTTTTTTTCTTTTTCTGTAGCCTACTGCAGGGTCTCTTCAAATGCGTTCCATGGCTCCGACGGCAGGTGAGTATTTATCCAGTCTCGTGGCTTGACTTTGAGCAATGATCTGCACCATTTGTGCCAAAGGGCTTACCCTGCTACATCCTGCTACATTCAACCCAAATGTGAGGAACTTGCGCCAAAACTTGATTTCACTTATAGCCCAAGCCCAGGCCCTGCTACACTTCCGGATCGTTATGGTAGGCTTGAGCAAATTTTCAGAACTTTCAATTTTAGCTGCAAATAACATACTATCCTATTTGATCTCTCTGTCAGTGTCAAACACTGACATTACTCTTAATTTTCGCAATATCTCTTATGTTCCTAGTCTGCTCTGGCATGTAAGTTAGCTTCGTTGAGTGCACTTCTCACCACGCTCTTGTGTACTGATTGACCGATTCAGAAGCTCCTTTGTTGTGGTGATGTTTCGAGGATAAAAGGGGACTATTTTTTCAGTCTTGCCTTCGCAAAGTTTGATGATGTAATTGTGGGATTGAAACCACCCGCCTGACGACAGTCGAGCGCGGCTCATGGATTGGACATGGGAACTGCGTGAGCACTCGACTTGGGCTCGTAACAATCAATGCCTCGGCGAACACTCGGGTAGTGGCTCGTGTCCAACCACTGCGGTGATGAGAGTGGGTGGTTCCCGTTTCGACCCATTCCCAATACAACCTCCCCGTTTGTACCTTCCCGTTTTGACCCGGCACAAAACGACCTTCTCGTTTCATCCTTTCCCGTTTCGCCCTTTCCCGAAACAACCTTCCCGCTTCGGCCATCGTTCGGTTCGTTCGTACTGTTCGTCAACAGTTGATTAGGTTCAAGTGTCAAGTGTCTGTTCTCCTTGCTCACATCACTTCTCCCTCTCCCGAAACAACCACGGAGACATGACACCGTAAGATAAACGCTGTGTCAGGGAGGGCGCACCCGAACATTTACAACTTCATCGACCTGCAAATGGGATGAGGCCTTGACAAGGATGTCGCTGCAGCAGCTTGCAAATGGTGGTGCCGTGCTGGCCAGACACCGCCGCGAACTATCACAATTGGAGTGTCGCCTTTCTGATGGCGCGATTTTCCTGCTCGACTTCCTCAACCAAGGCGATAGCTTTTTGTGGTTTATGATTTTTGCCTGTGTACGCGACGGTTCTGTGTTTGAACTTGTAAGAAAATTAAGTCGCAATCATATGCCCGTCAGCCTGTCTGATTTATCACTTTTAAAAATATCCCGTTCACTGTAAGGAAGTTTTAAAATAATGTACACAAGTGCTCTGGGTAACCTAAAAATAGCGTCGCGATATAAAAATTCAGGCAACGCTAATTTTTGCTTACTCAAAGTGCTTGCCTGCATTACTTTAAGACTTTATTAGGGAGTTTTCGTAGACCACATTTCCCCTTTCGCTAAGTTCTCCGCAACGAAGAAGCCGCTACTGTTCCTGCGCGCCGATGGTCTTGACTGTAGAGTTCTGGGTATCGTAGCTGGTTGCGGAGGAGCGTCGCGTGACGTCGAAAATGGTCTACGAAAGCTCCCTGTTATCGTATACAGAGCGCGAAACCGTTAGCGCGAACAAGCAATTGTTGATTTTAGCTGTTTCTGTAAAAAAAAAAAAAAAAAAATCAGAAGACTGCATCAATATTATTAGTGTGTTCGAAGGTGCTCATCTGGGACACTAACCTAAGCGGTAAAATGTGGTACCTTCTAATACCATTTCGAAGTAAAATTAAAAAAATTGCCAATGTCGTGTTCGTGGTAACGTTGTCGCGCAGTGTACATAGTCCATTTCGTAGTTACACATTACAATACACATTTCGTAGTTACACACACATAGAGGTTACAACCAAATGCCAAAGTTTCGGCCCGATCCAATACCTTATTCAAAAGTTATGTCATTTGCTGAAAATTTTAATGGGAAAATGGCGGCCGACGGAGTTTTTGAATACATGGGGCTCTATGGGCACCAGAAACCGAAAACGGGCAAAAGTGGGCTCCATTTTCCCATTGAAATTTTCAGAAAATCACTCATAATTTTTTAATAAGGTATCGGATCAGGCTGAAACTTTGGCATCTGGTTGTGACCTTTAGTGCTACCTTTGGGCAGAGAATGAGCGTTCAGCGATGCCTACTAGTTTATTTTTGCATTAAAAAAATACCCTGTAATTTTTTTTTTTTTTGTGACACCCTGTCTTTGTTATTTTTAAAGGAATGAGGGGTTGTGTTTTCGTAACAGTGAAAGCTGTGAATTATGGTTTCATAGAAGGGGAAAGAGGGGGCAGGCAATTAAAGCTTCTATATCACATCCTTTACCATGCCACACAGTCACGGGGTAGGTTTGTGGATAAGATGGGAGAATTACGAGCTTCCCAGCTCCCAGCGACTACCTTTGAGAGTTAATTGATTTTAAGGTATCGACGTTTCTCGAAGCAGCACTTGTTTGCAACGTTTGTCGTGGGACAAATTAGTGTTGCCAATAGCAATGGTGCCAATGCAAGATCCAGCTGAAATATTAATCGATACAAGCACATTCTTTTTAATCTAGCACATCTTTACACCCGGATATTTTTCTAACATAAACACTGCAAAATTGAGCTCAGAATTAGAATTGGGAATTAATAAAAAATAAACTCTGATAAGCTCCAAATTTTCGGCAAAAAATAAACTTCGAAAGCATAGATCAAGGTCATATAAGTGATATGGCCCCACAGGGCTATATTGCTTATGTGACCTTGACATCACAGTCATGTGACCTCATGATGTTGCACGACATCACAGCCATGTGACCTGATGATGTTGCACGACATCACAGTCACGTGATGTCGCACACAAACACACAGCACGTGCTCAGCTCATTTGCAACACGTCGCATGCATCTCTGAAGTTATCAGATACGATTGAGATGAGCTTAAATTTCTGGGCTTTTTGCCGCCAAATGTTTTTGTGCGTGAACCACGTCCACCGAACATTCGGCATTTTTGGCATGCCTAGGAATCTCGGCAGGACAGTCCAAAGCAGGAGCGAACGACCTCCACCCCCGGCCGTCCGTTGCAGTGCCGGCCAAGCGCCCCAGCGTGCCCATGCCCTTCGGGAATGCCCCTCCCGCGTCTGCACTGCCTGGGCTGCCCGGGCTGCGAATGCGGCTGCCCCCGCCCTGCGATGCGGCGCTCATCCCGGACTCGTTTGTGGAGACAAACCGGCTCCTGCTCGAGTCCCTGGGCAAACTGGGGCCCCCTCCCGTGGAGGAGCTCGAGCCCCAGGTGTCCTGGCAGACGCCCCGCATGGCGCCCCCTTTCCCCGTTCCCACGGGCGTGCCGGGACAGGCCCCATCCCTGGCGACGACGGAGCAGCAGCGGCACCACCAGCGGATGCCATTCTACCACGTGCCTGCCCCACAGCCGCTCTACCCGCAGCAGCGGCCCACATTCTTCACGGTGAGTGCCTTCTTTCCTCTTATCCATCTGCAATTCTCGATGAATACCGCACATTCCAGCCTAGGAGTCGCAGTGCCCTAGGAACGGCCGTTTTTATGCGAGAGTCGGTATACAAGTTGCGCTTATCGGCGAAGTAGCAACAGACGTACGACGGCATTCTTCTAACCATCTTTGGACCGCCGGAACAGCGGGCCGTCGGCGGGTTTCCTGCTGTTCCTCCTCTGTCAAAAATGTCGGTACGGCCTACATCTTATGCAGTTCTTTTTTAAAATAAAAACATGCTCTCGTATAAAGTGCACCGATAGAAATTTTGGGGAAAATCTGTGAATTATACGCCAGAAAATATGGTGGCTCTTTTTGTGTAACCCCTGTTTTGTCTTTTAAACTCTGCTTTAATGTGTTCCGATTTTATTGGCCCCTTGGGATAACTTTGTGCTGCCTTTTTTTTATATTTTTAGTAACGGAGTTTCAAATCTTAGGCCGAGTTCCTGATTTCAATGTACCTTTTCTCAGCAACAAAAAATAGGATGGTCATTTAATTTGGCACGTATCTTCCACATGTTACTGGCTTTAAACTGAACCTAAGAAAAATAAACTTAACATGCAGTGTGCAAGAAAAAAAAAATTGTTCTTCTCATAAGCCAAAAGAGGAGAACCTGTTTAGCAAAATATTAGGTTGGGCTAGTTGGTTCTCCATCTAAACTAAACGCCTAAAAAACAGGGACAAGAGGAAGAAGAGAGAACATGTTGGTGTACTTGCAACTGAAAGTTTAATTTGAAAACACGCACACTTATACATGGTTCGTGATGCAGCACGTCAATTACCCTTGCCCTCACTCTGAATGATGGCTTGCTGACGCACCTCTTGTTTTTATTTGAAAGGCTTCCTGTATCTCTCTTGTTGTTTTATTCCTGTGCCTTCCGAGGATCTTAATCTCCAAAAAAAAAGTGGAGTGCACTTGCATCTATTGCAATGCACAGCCAAGTGACCCGAGGGCGACTGTTTAGTGGCAACGGCATGCTCCCTTGCACAATCATTAATTAACGCATCGCCCAGTTTGGCCCACGTAAGGGTGACCGCATGAAAGTGGAATGTCATACACCACACTCGTGGAGCATTCCACAAATTTGTTTTTGTGCTTTTTTTTGCAGCCATCACTCCCAAATGAGGGGCATGTATAGTTTGGCACAAACCAGATAACTTATTTGGAGCAGAAAAAAAAACTACCAAGGCATCATAGTGTTCAGCAACTCTTTTACAACGGAGCTGTTAAGGGCTAGGTTCCCCAGGATCGTGTCCGGTATGTCGATACAAACCTACCTGGACAGCTACTGCCATCTATAAGCGATGGCGGCAAGCACACAACCAGTCTGGTCACTGTCGTCACTCATAGATGGCGGCAACCTTTCCACCTATCATGGAAGAATGGATAGTTGGGCGCGTTGGTGAAAATTCAAGAAGCACACGTAACGAGTGCAGCGCTTGTCACGTGTGTTTCTTCGTCTTCGTCTGTTTTGCGCGCTGTTTCCTACGCTCTTATCAGTTTCGGTTTGGACTCAGGATGGGTCGGCCGCGCGCCCTTTCGGAGAAAGGAGACTGGCTGCGGAAGGAGTGGCGACGTACGCAGCAGCGCGCGTACGTCGCCACTCCTTCCGCTCGCACTCGGAGTCCTCGTCAATATTTTGCAGCAGCTCAGCGATTCCTTCATCGGTCAAGGGGACGCTGGCGTTTGCCGGATGCCATTTTCCAAGCAAACGGTTAAAGGTGTCATACACAAGTCTTCAGCCTTTTTTTTTTGTGCTGCTATCTATGCATCATTTCTAAAACTAAAGATGTTTCCGATGCATGAGGATAGATGGCACATCCTCCCCACACGCTAAAACAAGCGAGCGTTTGAAGACACGCCTCCCAACAGCAAAGAAAGTTTAGTGTGTCTATAGACGCATCCCTCAAGCTGCAGTCAAAATTGATGCGCGTCTAAAGACGCACTCTCCAGTTAAGGGGTCAAGTCAAATATGCCTTTTTCGCTTTTATTTAGCTCGGTGCGTTGGCGAAAGCTTGGAGCACAAGGCAGCAGCTCCAGGGATGTTCTTTTTTCGATAGTTGGAAAGAGGAACCCGAACGCAATGCAAAGAGGAGCCCACCGAGCGATTGTTTAAAGCAACATCCTTCCAATAGCACACATCCCACTTAAGGGGGGACACTTCCTTGAATTGCACTTTTTTTTCAAAAATATTCATATTCAGAACTGCAGAGTTTTGGCATGTATGGATAACAAGGAACACTCTCACAAAGTCTTGTCAATGTGCACTGACAAATAATGTCAAAAATAATTATCCTTTAAATGTTGGTGAGGTGTGCTGCACTGCGTAGCACTCGTCATCCACAAGTGAAAATAACTGAAATCAATATCAGTATATCAGAAGAAGTTTGAGGAAGACATCACATACGCTGCTGGAAAGAATTTCTGACATTTAACACGCAAAAATAAATTTTTAAAATGTTATCTTGAAACTTTAAGGGCATTTATCTCAGCTTCACGTTTTAGTGTCAAATATCAGTTCAGGGAAGCTATCATTTCATAATCAAATTATGCGTGCAGATATATTTTGGTTTTTCTATATCGAAATTTTCTGGAGAACACGACTGTGAACTTACTTTCTGCATTTTTCTGCTCTTTTGTTATGAAAAGTTTATATTTCTTTCAATCAAATGTACACCAAAAAAAAAAAATTTTTTTTCCATATTTTTTTTTTGTGAATAAATTTTATAATTTTTGAAATTTCTTTTCATAGTTGTCTGAAGCAAGTATTCTGCTCTATGTTCCAGCAAAAAAACTGGCCATTTTCATTACCCTTTCTAAACTATAGCTTTCCTCAGCAGATACACTTTTTTATTATGAACTTTTATGTAACTCATTGTGGGATAAATTTATAGGGTTGAAAATTTCCACGGCATCCTTGTCCAGTGCTGAGTACACCCTGCAAATTTCATGCAAATAAGACAAACGGTTCAAAAGTTAGCCTTCCGGAGTAGTGTTCCCCCTTAATTGCACACCTGCCTTATCATTATTTGCAGTACCAGCAACAGCAGCATCATCCGAGCCAGCCTCAATTCGACCCCAAGCTGCGCTTCCACACGAGGCCACCCTTGCTGAACAACGAGGGGCCCGGGCAGACAATGGTACGACACCATCAGCAACAGCAACTGCACCAGCAACTTCAGCAGCAGAAGCAACTTCAGCAGCAGCAGCAACTTCAGCAACAACAGCACCCACAGCCCTACCACCAGGCCTTGACACAAAGGGTCGGCCGCAACGGGGAAGCGGCGGAAGGCAACCCTTCACATGGGAAACAGTCCTCGCCTGCCGGCTACGCCTTTGTGCCGACGCAGGTGATGCGCTTGTTCCATTCTAGCTCTCTCTCTCCTGATGCTGAACCGAAATTCAGATTTCACAAAATTAGCTTGCAGAAATAAGAACCCGGCTGATGCTCTGCCTCGAGTGTGAGCCTTTCATGCAACTCGATCGCGCGCACAGCCGAAGTCCGACGGGAGGCAATGAGCGTATTCTGGAGGCAGAGAGCCTCTACCGCCGTTTGTAGGTTTGTATGAGATGCTAGAAAAAAAGTATTCATGTTTTAATAAGGGGGTGCTAAAGTGGTTTACGAGATCCCCCCCACTTCTGAGCCACTTTATAGCACCAATGGATTCTGCTCAGGCTGTTCTCAATCTATGCAGAGCACAAGTTCGTCTGCTTCTTTTGCAGGGGTTGTGGTGACGTCGGAATGCCAAGCTCCGATTGCCTCTGATTGAAGGATAGTGGGTATCCCCCAAAGCAAGCTGCCTCGAGGTCTACCCACTATCCTTCAATCAGAACCAATCGGAGCTTGGCATTCCGACGGCACCACAACCCCTGGAAAAGAAGCAGACGAACTTGCGCTTTGCATAGCAAACCCTTAAAGGGACACTGACACCCCCAAAATGTTTTTTTATTATTTTTTACCGGGCGCTTTATTATGGTGTCGGAGGACTATCCAATTAATATTTTGCAACAGAGTAGCGTATTTTTTTAATAAAGCCAAAAGACGCAACTGCTCGAAACCGAAACCCGACGGAGGTCGGAGAAGTGGAGAGGAGAGAGTGAGTGGCGGAAGTCACGTGGCTACACCCGACCGTGCGGTTTTTTTTTTTTTCTCCTCTCCGTAGCAGACGACACGACATGCGGCGTGCGGGAACTGCTCGCCGTGCGATTCTTTTGCAGTTATGTTTGTTCCGCTCGTTGTTCTGTACTCCAAGATGAGTTATTTTGTACATTGAGGAGTTGGAGATGAGTAGTGAGTGCCTCGGCTCCGAAAAGAATACACCCAAGATGTTGCGTGAAGAGCTGGCTCACATGTCCCGCATCCGAAAAAAAGTGGCATTGTGCGACAGAGTTTCCGAAAGATCAACGGGATCGGGACCAATGGCTGGCTGCAATTCCTGTAGAACATATACGGGCACCTCGGAAAGCGGACGCTACCTGATTTATATGCTCCTTGCATTTTGTGGAAAGTGATTACATTGAGTTCGCAGGTATCAAAACGGAAATCCCATACCATTTAATTCAGCGAAGTATCGTCCACAACATTTGTTTGTTATTTTTTTGTTTGTTTCTTCAGCGATGATTGTAAAAAAAAAAAAAATATGTAAACATCAGAAATTGTTTGGAAAAAAAAAAAAAAAAAAAAGATTCACGGGGGATCGAACCCGGTCCTACCGCGTGTGATCCGGACGTTTTTCCCACTGAGCTACTGGACATCTCTTTTGTGGTGGATCTCTTTCGTTAGTAATAATTCAGCCGGTAAACTGTAAGTTGGAAAGTTTGCTTTCGATTTTTCTCTAGCAAAAGCTCTCCCAGGTCGAAGTCGGGAAGCACCACACTTCGGGGAAATTCGCACCTAGTAAAGAAACCGTACGCGTGCATATTCAACTCGAAGTAGACACGTCGTGCTTGACGTTTGCGCGAGCGATGTCTTCAGCCACGAGAAGGGAGCGACGGCTCGGCGACGTCTTCGTGCAAATCGGCTTGGTGGCCGGGCGTGTCGTGCAGGATGAATACCGATTCTTTTGATCAGTCCCAAATTTCTCTTTTAAATTCGCCGGTACCGCAAACGACAGTTCTGAAATAGAGGTCCCACGCCCATCGTCCGCTGCTATCGCCGTCCCCGCGAGTCCCACGATATGTATTTACAGCTTTTTAGAAGCCACAAAAAATGGGTTTCATATTTTTTTCTATTTTTAATATTGAGTGTGTGCCTTCAGTGACCCACGACTTTGTTTAAATTTGGTGGTCGCATCGATACCTTAGAAAATGGCCCGCGACCGCGAAAAAGAGAGTGAGCGAGACTCGAACCGGCCAGTTTTTGATCGGCGGTTTTCAGGCGGAAAGAAACCGAATTTCGAGCCGCAAATTCTGTTCTGGGCAGTTGAGCTCTCATATGTCACGTACAACTAAAAACCTCGACGAGCATAAATACCCTGTCAGTGTCCCTTTAACATCTGTGCCAAATTTTCCCAAATGCCTTGAAGCCACCATGGCATGGAGTAACCAGTTGGTCAATTGCCTTGAGCTCTAGTGGGCCTGCTGGGGCTCCAGCATGTTGATCGGGTCAAATATCAATTTCGTAGAAACACCCAGTCAAAAATACTTACCGTGTAATCCTGGGCAAGCGGTCACTCAAAATTTAGACGTTATCATGTAAACTTGGGGGATCGGTGCTCCTTAGGGCAGCAATATGTAAAGACACCTTCTTTATGCATTTTTCACACGTTACAAAATTGAGGGGCAGCCATTTATTGTGGGTGGGTGAACGATTGGTAGTATTTTACGGTAGCAATATTTGTTTAGTTCTACCGTGAAAGTGCTGCTTTGTAATGTTAGCACTTTCACAGTAATGTTATTTTTTCATTACAGTTTATACTACCGCAATATCCAGTTTCATCTAGTTCATTGTCTTGTTCAAATCTGTTAGGAGTTTCTTTGAATTATGTAAGCTACTTTTTTGTCATGTCCATGTTCAATATTCAATTCAGTGTTTACTTTCTTAACAATATTTGGCTTCTCAAGAGTAGAAAAGTGGAAAAACAGCATTTATGCTACCAGATGAAGTGCATCCAGCCAAATAACCCAAAATAAATATAAGATGTTCCTCCTTTTTTGGTTGTTTTGTTTCACTATGCATCCTTTCACTGCCCTTGCCTCCTCAGGTCTTGCGGAACAAGGCTCCTCCTCCTCAGAAACCGTCAACTGCCGGAAAGGTGTTGAAGAAGGACAAGAAGTCCGGAGGCGCAGCGGCAGCCGTACCTTCTGAAACGTCTGCCACAGACAAGAACCGAAAGCCACCCAACAAGCAGAATCTCCAGACGCTGAAGCCAAAGCCAAAACTGGAAACCGCAAGTCGGGTCAAAGAAGAAAGGAGCGAGGAGAAAGTCGACTCAACTTCATTTTCGAAGGATGTCCCACCTTCGGACAGCAAACCAAAGCAGCGGAGGTCGCGGCTAGCCGTCAAGTTTGACAACGACCCCAATGCCACTTGAACAATTTGTTGCAGGAGAGAGAGGCTGTTGACGATAGCTGGGCCTTGGCCCGTGTATTTTTTACACATCTTTTTAGCTTAATGAGAAGTGGGTTTATGGTCCTGCGACCAATTTTTAACCATGCCGGTTTCCAGCCAGATCGAGAAGCTTAAATTTGAAATGAGGAGGATGTGTTTGAAATTTGTTTTTGATGAACCTTTAAAGGAGATTTTCCTCTTTATTGATGTGGTGCATGTAGACACAAATATTTAGTAACTTTGTTGGCTGAAAATAGCTAAAGTTTAGCGCAGACAAATTGGGTTTTTGAAGCAATTGATGCTCAAGAGTGATTTCTTTTGTACTACTTTTCAGCATGTCACTGCACTGAGGAATTGGCACAATTAATGCAACGACAACCAGTATTTCAATCATGGCAAGTGTTTCTATGCTCAGTTACTGCAGCATCATCTTTTATGACATCTTTACCAATTTGACTGAACAGTGAAGCGCCAATGAAAATGTCAGTCTTTAGGAGTAAGCCTCAGCGCGGCTCGTGGACTACTGACTGTAAATAGGCAGTGTCTTTTATTTGTACATATGGTGACTGTTGGCACATATCTTGGGGCTGGGCAGGAGGTGTGCATCACATTCGCTGCATCTGGTACTAAGTGCAGCCCCAAGTAGCCAACACAGTGTTGCATTTGGCTGAAGTTTAAAAAGATGTGTAAATAAATCCTCTAACACACTGTGCACGTGGCTTGAATTGACATCGCTGCTGAGAGCGTCTCTGCAGCCTGAAGAAAAATGTGAAAGACCGTGATAATGGGAATAAACTTCTTTGTGATAAGTACAATTGTAGAAGTGCGGCGCAAAAGAAAGCCTAAGGGCCCACGCCAGGGGTCCTGTCATCCTGCATCTCTCTCGATCTGTAAAACAGAAGGGCGTCTACTTTCATTGTAAAACATTCTTTGGTTAGTCACTCAATATTTCGTTAAAGCCTAATGAGCGTGGCCGCAAAGCTCGATGCCGATTGGTTAATGGGGAGGTAACGTGACCAGAGGGGTAGGCGAGGAGAAGCTCGACCACCTGTGCGCACCGAGGGCAAGGAGCTAGAGAGTATGGAAGGCTCTGGAAGATTGCCAGTGTAAGGTATGGGTTTGGCCGACGAAACTCGGCAACCGTTGCCATGCACAGCCGTCAAGTTGAGAAAGAGGAAGTAGCTCGAGGAGTGGTTGGTTCTGGCAATTGGAATGAGTGGCCATGCTTTAAGGGCGTCCTAGATCAAGTGTTTAAACGACGCTGGAACCTGACACCAGGTTTCTTTGCCCGATTAGCGGTAGTATCGCTTCATCCTAGGAACAACTATCAAGTGTACACAGGGAACACATTAAACTATCTGATGAAGAGCGCACTAAACGTAGGCACTTAACTGAACAGCCTAGACGAGCTGCTAAACTATCTCCTGAGAAGATGTATGGCAAATTTCTAAGCACTTCTGTTGCATGTGTGAAACTCGAGTATTGCTAAAAGTTTGTGACGCTAGAACGCTTCACATATGCAACACAATTACCTCGCCATAAATTTTATTTAGAAAGTGAAAAACATGTTCAAATCTCAAGCCACTCTTCCTTCTAGGACAAGTCTTTCCTAGACATTCACTGTGTTCATTGGCCCTCCCCTAGCCTCCTCCTGTTGGAGGTTGACCTGATATGCACATTCCCTTGCCCCATCTGCATTGATGGCAGGGATCCAGACTTGGACGGGAACCGAACGCTTCCTCCCGATTAAAGGGGCGGTGCAACGATTTTATGATTAAAAGAATTTGCATCTCGTCATTTTTACGTTGTTTATTGTGTCCTGGAGGATAGAGAAAACACCTTCTCCATTAAAAATGTCGCGATTCCGCTGCATAATCACAAAGCAAAAGTCCAGCTTTTTCTCCACCTGCAGCCCCAAGTGGCAGCCGAAGGAACTACGGCGAAAAGATTACGTGACCTTGCTCGGCTCTATGCTGCCGCATAACACCCGCTAATGTCAGCAGAGAGAGGGAGAGGAAGCGCCCTCCGAGATAGCACACGGGAACCTACACGGCACTCCGAATGATGTCACTAGGAGGGGGACCAGGTGCGACCCTGAAGGCTGGGAGCGAGTTGAGGGGTGTCCGAAATGCCAATCTTTATCTTTTTTTATGCAACAACTAGGACACGCAGGCGAAATCGGTTTTCTGTTCATTACTTCAGAAGTGTCGGAGGGCAACTTCCAGAAATCTTTGACCGAAGTCCGGAAATCGTTGCACCCCCCCTTTAAGCTGGGGACCCAAGACATATTCCGTGCGACTGCCTTACACATGCAACCTAGCCCTACTAATTATGGAAAAGATGGCCTCTGCATTGCAGAACCAGAATTCCGTTTGGTACATCCAGGTGAAGAGACCTTGTCTTCAGTGAGATGACCGTATTCAGTTGCGAAGGCTACGTTTGTGGGAATGTCAAGTGTGGAAAAGAAATGGCTCCATTCGTGCTCCACGACTTTTGGAGTGAACGTCGTCCTTTGGCTACGTCCACGCAGGAATCTACTGCCAGTTCGTGTGCTCGACGGTTCGCTGTTGCACTTGCTCAAAGCATTTTCTGAACATTTTTTAATACAAAAGCATTAACTGTCCTATGCAACGAATAGCAGCGTCGGCTTTGAAGCTTGCACCATACGGCACCTAAATTCTCCCGATGTGAAGCCGATTTCTGATAAATATGCTCCCATTGGCTGGCGTGTGTCGCCAAGGAACGAGGCTTCCATTGGCTCTCGTGCGGCATAGTTCCAAAAACTGTCACCACCTCTCGATGGCGGCTCAGCGCACGCAGCTGCCTGGCCGCCGGTAAGTTTGTCCGAGCGGGCTCCGGAGAGATTGTACAGCCAAGCTCGGCGCGGTGCGGCCACTTCACGAGAGCGCGTGCTCGACTATCGGTTGCTACCTTGGCAGTACCAAAACATGGCCATTTACACAACTACACCGCAGACGAACTAAGGGAGCGGAAGAACGACATTCATACTGGCACATTCACAACTTGTAAGTGCTTATGTGTCCTTACTTTTTTTTTTTTTCTGTCAGAATAAGGAAATTTTATTACAGCATCAAGAAGTCAGGACTTGAAAAACTAGCCTTTCACCTTTAAAACAGCTTACACCCCTGCTCAATTGGCAAGCCTTGGATATGATTCCAAGCTGTGTTCACAGTACATCATATACACATTCAACAAGCTGTCCACAAACTAGTAAATAATGCAGGACTCTACAGACAATGAAGGATTACCTAAAAAATATTTAATATAAAACATAAATGCAATAAAAGTCCAAAGTACACAATGTTCTTGAAAAATGGCACCCACACAAGACAAACTCCAACAAACAATACAAATATGTGAGAAACTGCATATCGCTGGTGTGAGCCAAGTAACGCCGTGCACTGCCACACGAGGAAACATGCAAGTGTCCAGGTCGCCCCCTGTCCAGAGTCCCTTGGGGACAGGCTTCCGTTCTTGTGCTTCAGACAAACCTGATTATGTCTGTACAAGAGATGATGCCAGGTACAATGTCTGTCCTCTGATGAAACAAAAATGTACTTGGTGCACATGTCAACACAAAATGCAAGAATACTGCAACTCAAATAACATTCTTTAGTGAACCAAACAAAACACTCGCAAACATTGAACTTCACTGTACAAGAAAGCAGTATATTTATATAAGCTATTTTCGAGACAATACATTTTAAATGCAGGCTATGCTTACGCTAGAAAGCAAAACCAACTGTCTACCGTAACTAAGGAGGGCATTTTGAACAGTACCCAACACTGCAAATATACAATCCCTCCTCTGCCTGCAAAAGAGGGGTCAGTTCTAAGCACAGTTCAATTGTGAAAATACTTCTTATAGGCACAGCATAGGCAGCTCTAAACCATCTAAAGCACCTCCTTCAACCTTCAAGCAACCTTCAAGGGCATCTACCGCCTGTTACGTTTGGCCTTGTGCCGCGAACCTCCTTCGCTCGAGGTGTCGCCACCGTCCCTCTTTGACGTCGCCCTTCTGGAGGGTGCTTCGCAGTTCAAGAGGGACGTGAGCTCGGATATCCTAAACTTTCCGGGCGAGGGCACCGGGTCGTCTACGAGAAACGTAGCCATGTACTCGGCTTTGAGACAGAGCACGCCGGCATCCGTCAACAGCTTCAGGTCGACTGAGCGTGCAGTCCCCGCGTCGAACAGCGCGTGAGTGACGTCTCCGGTCTGGAAATCGGGCGGCGACGAAGGCAGGATGGTGGCCCCTCCGGCTTCCAGCACGCGGCGATACACGGCCTCCTTGGCCGCTCCCGACGCAAACAGGATCACGCGCCATTCCGAAAAGGCTCCCCGGGAGTCCGGGTTCCGTGAAATGAGCTGCCGCCAGCGCCGTGGTGCGTAGGCCGGCTGTTTGTGGTGAAACAAAACGTGGTGATACTTTAACGGCCGTGTTCTGGCATCATTTGTATATCATCCGTCTAGGAGTGACGGGACATTGACCTGTACTTTGTTTCACATTATGTCCGACTGCAGCAAATCGTGCAGTGCCACAAGTGTGTTGTCTTCGTACGATTGCTATGGCCGGCTGAACCAATCGCAAGCAGTAAATGTGCCATGACCCTGCACTTTTTTCTACGCGCAACTGGTTTAACCGGCAATGGCAAATGCACAAAGACGACGAGCGCCGTGAGATACACTTGTGGTGCTGCATGATTGGTTCCACCGGATCGTAGCCTTGGCTGCAGTCAGTCGGACTTAAAAAGCAACTCCGCTTCATTTTTGTTTTTCAGAAAACAATGCAGTCCTCTTCAGTATCACTTAGGAAGACCACACGTCAAATATTACGACCTAGTTCTGTCTAAATGTTTCTTAAATGGTTCGGCAAACCTTGCAACTTGCCAAATCGGCCGACTCAAGCGCGCGAATTGAGGCGTAACCAACAGCGCAGTCAAGGCTACGGTGTGGGCGAAGCCAACATGGAGCTACACGTTGTCACCGTTGCCCCTTTTGCTTGTTTTTTCATCTCCGGTCAAGCACAACGGGTGACATAGGCAACATTTCCTCTCAGCGCTCAGCAATGTCAACGTGATTGGCATAATGCGCCTGCGCAGCGCGCTTCTTGGGAGCCTTTACTGCCGTCTCCTGCATCACAACTGCTGTCGTCGTCTCACCGTTTGTGATTATTGTCTCTCGCAGTTTCATCCACACTACGGACACTTGCACCTGGCACACATCTGCCTCAATCCTGCCCAGCATTGCTTAGAGAATCACGTGACATCTCGTACCACGTGATAGCCATGTTCTTGGCGGCCCGAGGCCAATGCTGCCAAACGGAGTCGAAGTTTCAGTTTCTGCTTGTGTTTAAAATTAATTTCAAAATATATATCCCATTTTCGGTTAAGCAAATGACACAGTGTCTTCTACTAGGGCGTTTTATTGCAAAATCAACCATTGTCCCGAAATCTTCGTAATTGAGCGGAGTTGCCCTTTAATGTGAAACGGAGTGTATAGTGGCATTGAATAAAATACAACATTTAAATGCAATTAATGAGAAGAGCAATCATCAGACTTCTAAATGCATAAAACTACTACTAGTTAAATGGATAGTAAAGTTATAATTCGGGCTGGGTCTATTAGCAGCATGGTGCACACGTCTATGGTCAGCAGCGATACGAGTCGACGCAGTGGAATGCCAGCTGAAGGGGGTAAAACATTGAGTGGGGTGCTTTCGGCACACAAAGTCACACTGCCACAACGAGACGACGGGGAATGTGGCAATCCATTTCAGCCTCCATTTTAACAGTCAACGCACTCTGAGAACCCCATACAAGATTTTTTGCCATGCTGGCCCGAATGACACTGTGCCAGCTCGTACTGCTGCTCTGTGTCCGTATTGAAGGGGCCGGGAGACGAAAATTAAATGGGAAACTCTCTATATAAAAAGGCCCATAGTTACTTAGCATACACAACAACCATGCCTTGCGATTTTTAGAGCTATGGTAATCGCAAGCATACATATTCCGAATTCAATCATTTGCATCTGGAATTCTGGTGAAACCTGCCCAGAGCAGTCGCATCATGATGTTCATGAACCATGCGATGCAATCATATTGCTGAACGTCATCTCATTTTGGGTTCATCCATGCTCGTCGCGCTCGCACGCTAGATGTTTGTGCGGGCTGATATTTAAAAGCCTGGCCCAGACTCTCTGGCCCGGACCCGCCCGCGGCCCACGATTCATTCCCGACAGCCGGTCCGATCCAGCCTGGCCTGACACTAATTTTCAGGCCCGTTTTATTTTTGCGTAGTATGAAGTTGAGTTTGCAAGTTGTGCGGTATTGCAAGCTCGCTTGCCACCGCCACACATAGCTATAACACACTAAAGCATGTTATTGGTATTAGAAATAAATTATTTGCCAAAAATAAAGCGCAGGATGAACGCAAAAAACAGCCCGTTCTGTGTTTGTCAGTCGTTCTCTAAGGGTTACAAGCTCTGGATGCAGTAAACATTTATTTTATCTTTTAATATTAGTCAGACTCAGGCCCAGGCTGCTTGCTAGAAAAAAAAAAAGACACCCTTCTTTTTTGTTACCAAGTCCTCAGTGGCAAGCCGCCAGGCTCGACACTATTGATTGACAAGTGGTAGAGGAGGAGTGTGGTGCTAGACGCTGGTCGGTTAACAGGGAGGTCACACGACCAGAAGGGTAGGCGAGGAGGAGCGCGACCACCTGTGCACACTGAGGGAGAGGAGTTTGAGAGTATGGAAGACTCTGGAAGATCACCAGGTTTATCGGCCCGATTAGCGGTAGTATAGCTTCATCCTAGGAACAACTATGAAGCGTACACATGGTACAGTTTAAACTATCTGATGAAAAGTGCCATGAACGTCTGGAAACTCGGAGTACAGCTGAATGTTTGTGATGCTAGAATGCTCCACGCAAGCAACGCCATTGGCTAGCAATTTGCCGTAAATGTTTACTTTTGTCGAGATTCTCATTGCTCAGACGTGCTTGACTAGTGAGCGACACCTATTAGTGCCCAGTGAACAGGCACTCAGTTTCGAAGGAGAGAGAGCACGGTGTATCAGAAGGGGCCTCACCTTGTGGCTCTGGCCCTTGACCGACGACGTAGACAGGTTGGCCAGCACGCCGTCCGTGAGCGGGCCCCCCCACTCGTAGCCCTCCTCGTCGAGGAACTGGCCCGCCTTGGCACTGTCGTCCAGGTAGGCTGTGTGCAGCACGAACTTGCCCGCCGCCACGGCCGCCAGGTACCGCTCGTTCTTGAGGGCACTGGCGAGCACCAGGTGCGTCATCTCCGGGTCATAGTTCTTCGACGTGAGCAGCACTCCACCCAGTTCCTCGACGACGCCGGCGTAGTGCACCTTCTGCTCCTCTGCCAGGCCCGACAGCATGAACTTCTTCGGGGGCTCCGGCACAGGATCCGGCGGCAGTTTCGGCGCATTAAAGACGTCGTCCGCCCCGTCCCACTGCGAGAACTGAGACAGTGGCTCCACCTCAGACAGTTTCCCGGCCAGCCTTGCCATCTCCTGCCTCCGCGTCGGGTCGTCCCACGTCACGCCCACAAACTGCGATTCCGAATCCGGCAGCGGAAGGTGAGCGGATCGTCCGGTAGGCGAGCTGGGTGCGGGGAGGGGCATTTCCGGGACGGAAGGCGAGTTGAACAGGGACACTCGAGGTGGGGGGTGGTGGCTCAGGCGTCGACCGGCTTCCTTTGCCACCGACATGAGCTCGTCCAGCTGGTCGTTAATGATCCGGTGGTTCTCCGTCAGTCGCCGAGAGGGCGGTTCCGTCGGCTTCGGCGTCACTTGCTGCGCGTTTGCAAAACTGTCCACTTGAGGCCAGCCTTTGGACAAACCGGGCTCAGACGAGGCGCTCTGTTCTTTGGTCGGAGACTTCTGCTTAGGGATTCGGACCGCCGTGAAATGCCCCGAAAGGGACAGCCTCTCGTCCCGGACGCTTGGAAAGTCCGCCTCGTCGAGCCGCGCTCCGGACCCCTTGCAGGCGTACACCCACTCTGGACCAACCAGCTTCTTCCCCCGCTCCCTGGCCCGTCCCGCTTCTCGAGGCAACGGCTCCCCAGGTCTGCCCTGACAGACAAAGTGCGTGCACTGCTCGGTACACTCCTGCGCAAACTGTCCCCCGAGCGAGACCACAATGTCTCTGAGCTCTTTCTCATGTTGGGCGAGCTTCTTGGAGATGCAGACCACGATGCCTTCGAGCGGACGGCTGTCTGGCACGGGAAGGGGGAAGGCTGGCGCTCGTGCCTCTTTCGGCGTCGGCGTGCTCGAAAGACCGTCGAGCAAGTCCCGGTCGCCGATCCGCTCGGCGGCCAATCTCATGTTTTGAGCCAGCTGCTTTCCGAGAGAGAGCGTGTGGGGCCCCTTACGGGCTGCTTTCTGCTTGGCCTCCAACTGCTCCGGAAGTCCCGGCAAGTGTAGCTTCGGTTTGTGCGTCCCATCGAGCATCTGCTGGAAAGTGTCTTCGCTGATGCTCCCGTCGATGCTGGCAATGCTGGTGCTGGAGCTATTTCGGCTCTGATGCATCAGCTCCCGGATCCGCTGACTCTTGAGGTAGCTCCCAGGAGTTGGAACTCCATCGATGGAGGCTCTTTGAACGTGCTCTGGCGTCTGGAACTGATCTGGGAGGTCTGAGAGTTCGACCCTGCTGGACATGCCTTCTGCACTATCAGAATGATATTCGCCCCCATTTAACGTCGGAGCACATGGTGGAGTACTCCCATGGCCTTTTTCTGGAGAAAGGCTGGTGGCTGGTGCCTCACAGCAAACGGAGGCATCACTGATTGCCGTTGTTTCATGCCTTCCTTCCTCTCCGTTGACAACCTTGGGGGCTTCAGAATCTTTGGCACGTAATGTTTTATTGTAGACACTATCCACAAAAAACTGGTCCTCGTTTACTTTTGTGCAAAACTTTGCAGATGCCACGAGCCACTCTTTGGTGACCACAGGCAACCCCCACTTCTTTGCAGCCTCGTACTTGCTGCCTTGAGGTTCGCAGGCAACCAGATGCGTGTTACGAAGAAGTTTGCGCTGCTTACTAACTTTCCGGACCAAAAATTCTTGGCACACGGCTCCCATTGACTCGGCCAAGTGAATCAAAAATTCTCGCTCTGGAGCATTGTACTGGCTGAACGAAATTACGCAGCCATGAAGTGGCGCTTCCGATGTCGGCTTCTGGAATGGTGAGAATAATGGGTCCGAATCAAACCCCAGCAACGTTTCAGCGTGGATACAAGCTTGCAGCCAGCAGTATGTCACAACTACGCCTCCAAACTGGTCATAGTCCTTCTCAAGGTCCACCACTAATGGGACAACCTCGACAAGCTTTCGGGGGCCGTCGGCCTTTCTTGTTATGTCTGCGATGACTTTACCTCCGTTGTGGTCAATCATCTCTCGGAGAAGTGCCTCATCTTCGCTCTTAAAGTCGTGAATCCGAAAGGTCATGAAGTCAAAGAGCGCATTTGGGGTTAAATTTGACGGACCAGATGACAACTTGTCTCCTTTCCCAGTTGCCTCTGCTGGTATCAGATCAATTCCCTGGCACTCTTCACTGTAGGACGTTACAGGCTCCTGCAGTGCAGAGCCGTTGGCAGGGGTGTTGTCCGAGGTTCGGTATTGGTTGACAATGTCGCTGAGGTCCGGCAGAGTTGTTCTATCCAGCTCTCGTGGCGGTGCCTTCTGCGACGTTTCCACGGTGTGTCTTGAAACGCTGCCCGGCGACTCCACAATCGACGGCTTTGATGCCGCCTTCACAAGCAGGTAAGTGTCAATGTTCTGAACGGCCCCTAGGGCAGAGCTTTCTGCAAACCACTGAGGAGATACCAGGTACGGAAAGCCCCCTTGCTTAGCGATGGCCTTGTTGAGTTGGGAAACGCTCGCACCTTCCGCCACGACCACGTGGGTTACTTCCTCGGCGTACTCGTTAAAGCGCACGCCGCCACATGCGTTGATGACCCTCCGCATCTTGTCCAATTTCTCGGGCGCGAACCCCCAAAGTACTACGCAGCACCCGTCCAGGAACTGGCCGCAGTGGGAGGAAAGCTTCTCGACGTCGATCTCGTCCACTGGATCCCTCTGGGTCATCCGTGACGCGTCGCTCACGTTGGAGGAGCGTGTCTCTTCGAGACACGACACAAGGTCGACTTTTCCTATGGCACTCACGTCCACAGGAAGCTCGAAAGAAGGAGCTTCGGTGAGAGAGCTCGGCGTCGATTTCGTGGCACCCTGCGGCTTGACTGCGTAGAGAGACTCGTCGAGGGCGTAGCCGGCTCGAGCGCTGTCGTGGAGCCAACTCACGTGCACGCAGTGGAGTTGCCATGCTTGGCCGTATTGGTACTTGCTGCCACCGGCATGCAGCAGCACCACGTGTGTCGTGTCCCTGCCCTTCAACTGGCCAGAATATTTGCCGCCGTTAGACTCCACCAGCACCTGTAGCTCCTTCCGCTCCAAGGGAGACACCTGTCGGACGGGCAGGCCGAAGAAACTCGATCAGTGGGTGATAACCGAGGAAGGGCGTAATGCGTACGGAAATTATAGACCAACGTGCAACTCTGATGTCAAGTCACTGCAGTGGCACTGCTGTCGGCACAGAGAATGCACAGACGCTTCACTTTACACGAATGTAGTTTCTGCGCTCGCGTAGTGCCCACGCCTGATGGGGGCAAACATGGTGTCGTTTGTAAACAGGATGTCGGGTTTTAAGGTCAGCATGCTGTAACATACATAGCAAACCACTGGCTGCAATCCTGGACTTCCTCGCGGTCTCGCTCAGTGTTTGGACATCCGTCCCCGAAAATCGTGCAAGATTGGAATCTCTCTCTCATAAATAGAATTCCGTGTTTTCGGAGTTAATTTTTCGTGAAGTTCAAAGGGTGTTTTTCTGAGTTTATTTTTCACTTGAAATTCGGGGTTTATTGGAATTTATTTTTGTTAGATTCCCAAATCTCCGAAATTCAGTTTAATTTTACTCTGGTCTTATTTTTTATTCAAAATAAATAATGTCCAGACAAAAGCATACACTGAATTTCTAAAAAGAATCACCGGTATGAAAATTTATTTCTGCAGTTACATTTGATATTGGAACTCTTGCGAGTGGAACTACCGATGCGGAGCGCAAGTTCGTCTGCGTCTTGCCCCGGGATGTCGAGGATGTCAGAAGGGCGAGCTCTTATAGGCTGAGTGGGTAAACCTCAAGGCATCTCGCATTTAGTTCTACCCACTATCCTTCCAATCAAAGTCAATCAGAACTCGGCGTCATTCTGATGTCACTGCAACCCTTGTGCAAGAAGCAGACGACTTGATCTCCGCATTGTCCCACAACCAATGTTGAAGACAAGTAGAGTACCTAACTTTCGTTAGTTCGACCTCGGTTAATTCGACTTTTCGTTTATTTCGATCCCCTTCAAAAGTTCCGGCAAATGCCCATATATTTCTATGGGAGGAAAAGTTTGATAGTTCGAACTTAGGAAGACTCCGCATCGGATAATTTTTCCCCAGCGAATGCGCGCGGGCTCACATTGCACGGCACCACGGCAGAAAAATTACCAACATACAACAAAACACGGGCCCTTTGCTGCAAAGCCGAACGTGCACAAATATGTGCCTGCTCTTTTACGCCGTTGAGATGGACCGTAGCGAATGACACAAGCCAGCGCAACCAATCTGGCGTGGAGTAGCGCGAAGGACATAGTACGTGGTCGGCATAGAGATCATACATACTAGGGTGATTTCATTTGAATTCGACCAAACTTGTCGGGGGGGGGTCTTTAGATTTAATCGTAAAAAATATATATGATACCCGAATCCTTGTGATGAAAGAAACTGCCTTTGAAAAAAATTAGAATTGTATAGTTTGAGAGAAAAAAATCTTGAGGCGCTGCAGGGTAGAAAACGTCAAATTCCCAATTTGATTTTATCTCGACTTTAGCCGCCATTTACAAAATATTGAATTCTTGCAGAATTATTATATTTATTACGCAATATTTACGCAGACTTGGCTATTTTTAGAGGTAAATTTCTGTCTTCTGTTATTTTAAATTAATTTTCTAAAAAATCTCAAACATGCAACCTAGAGCAAGTGTGACGCAACTTCGGACAGCTATATAAAACGAACGGTAGGGCGCAATGACGTGAGACAGATATCTGTGCGTAGCTATCATTGTAAGCTATCGATTGACATGTATTTTCTGGTTACTGTGTTTACCGTGTTGTTTTTATTCTGCCACAAATATAGACAAAAATGAAAAATATGCAAATTTTGAAATCAATTTTCTCAAAAAGGACATTTTTTATTTCGTTCATACTTTTTTAATTTATTGCCCAGATTCTGCTTAATAACCGGGTATAAATATTGCTTAACCTTTTTTTGTTGTAGTTTTAGGACAACCAGTTGAATAAGTCATTTTTATCGCGTAATACCAACCTCCGGCTCCGGTATGCGGGCTTCACCGCAACATTGATAATTGGCTCAGCAATATCAGATTTCACTGAAAACTACTTTACCCCGTTGAATTTTTACTAATATATTTTTTAAAAAATCAGTAACGTCATAAAGAAATGAGAGATGGCTGAATTGACGAAGTGATGTCTGCGAAGTCACAGCTTCCATTTTCGAACGTCGCCACGACAACGTTTTACTACTGAGGTTGCACGAAACTTATATATTTAAATTATTTGTTTGAACATTGTGCCGTGATAAACAACAACAAAAGTAAATTTAGTTAACATCAATGTTAACTAGCCTAAGCGAGTGGAGAGATCCAAGACGTTTCATCCGTTTCGATCATGTCGGGTTGCATTCTACGGCAATATCCAGTCCAGAAAAACAATATCCCCGTTTATGCGTTTCGGACAATCTTTATTTTATACAAACATTATCGGAAAATCGGCTCGAATTTTTTAAATTTACCGCATGGCATTCTTTCGCCTATCCTTCATTGGCCCTTAGTATTCCGAGGTACGTGAAAAAAAATTGACTACATTTTGTCCATCCTTCGGCGTTTGGACTACTTGTTGCATACGTTTAAATTTTTTGGGCTACGCACAGCATATCGGAAGTTGCTTTTCAGCTTACAGTAATCATACTCTTTTGTTGGCAGTATGCAATAAAACATTCATAGGTAACAGTTTAACAAAATCACTCTATTTATTGAGTAATTTATTTGGGTCAACAAGGCACACCTATAGAAACACATAATTTTTCACAGAAGCGCAAATGTACAAGAAGAGGCTTTAACAACAAAACAAAACAAAGCCGTAGATCATCTGAGAGTTCCGCACGTGCACCACAGAGGTTCATGCATTAAGACGAAGATAGAACAGTTCGCTCAAGCTGCACTTCGCCCCTTTCGCGTCACCACACGTGCGAAGCGCGGATGCCTTTCCGAGTCGGTACGCAACTCCACTCTGTTTTCTTGATTCTGCGGAAGTCACTCACCTCCTTCTCGGTTAAGTTCATGAGAGTTACGTTTTTGACACGCCTTCCAACCTTGTCCACAAAATCTACTGATGTTCGGACGAGCTGCTCCTCCGGTGAACGGAGGTTGTGCACCGTTGCGTGGTGTTTGAGAAGCCCTCCAACCCCGTCACAAGAGTTTTTACCATGCCCAGAGGCAGAAAATATCCACTTCAATTGGGTATGGCCCACTCGTTTGAACTCATGCAGCTGAAATCTATTTTTAAAATGAGCAGGTGCCCCGTCGGATATGTACGTTAGTGAAGCATAAACTGGGATGTGCTCCTCCAGCCAGTCTTCTATAAGTCTCAGAGCCAGCAGCGCATGGGAAGTGTCATGACATAAGTCCTCACAGACAACGCCGAAGCATTTTGAGCCTTGCGACGTGGGTGCCACACACGTGAACACAGAGAGCTGACGCTTGTGCCAGTGGTACTCCTGTATCTCGTGTGGCAAAATTACCGTCCAGTTCTCCGCAAAATCGAAGTGCATGACGATGTGTCTTGAGGTCACACTAGACTTCTCAATCCGTATGGCTTCCCGTTGTGTCCTACGAATAAAATCGTGCGTGGAAAACCTTGTGGCCCATTTCTGTAGCTCTTTCAAAAAGGCGCTGGAGTCGGCAGTCTTGCTTATCAAATTACCATTCTCCCATGTGAAAAATGTAATTTCCTCTTCAGGCACCATTTCCAATGATTCTAAGGAGAGTCTGTCAGTCGAGGGGCAGTCTTTGCATTCGCCTCTGAAACATTCGGACGAGGGTTCAGGGCAGAGGCACAAAGCGAGAATCTCCTCTTTTGTTATTTTTTCTTCTCGCATGCTGTTCAGGGTGGAAAAGCACAAATCGAAATTCGTACAGCACACACATGCACACAGTCTGTTCAGGGTTTAGCTTGACCCACTTTGGCCGCAGCGAGTAAAATTTAGTCAGACCTAATTTTGAGTCCGGGTTTGCTTCCTTAAACAGCCTGTACGTCTCTCGGACAGACCTTGTCATATACCGCTTCATGACCACATGTTCTTCGCCATCCTTCAGAAGCTTAACAGCATCTTTTTTGTTTGGGCTCTGCCGAGAACAGTCGAGATCGTCGTCGGTGTAATATTGCGTGGCTGCCCGTATGGTGTCCTCGCTTATGCTTCCACGGTGATAAGGCTCCGGACGCTCCCATACGCCGAACCGTTCACGAAGCTGCTTTGATTTCTTCAGAAGGTACTTCGATGCCTCAGGAATTAGCCGTTCTACCTCCCTAGTGGCTACGCCCTTGGGCACAAGCGTGAGGAGCTGACATCTCTCCTGGTAAGATGCCGCCTTCACAAAGGCCTCTCTGATGTTTGCCCACCACCCGTCGCAGCCGAGGCATGGTTGATCACTGCGAGAACTTGACCCACTTGGCTCCAAGGTATATGCAGTCGCCAACTTTTTTCGTACCTGTCGGCTGTGTGATCCTTCAATCTCCCGCTGTTTTCTTTCAGCATATGCCTGACGGCTTTTCGGGTTTACTGTAGAAGGCATGCGCAAAGGAGTTGTTTCAAGCCCAGCAGCAGAAATCTCTTCGTTAAGACCTTCCACTACTTCGTGCTCTTCGATGCAGCTTGCTGGAGAGCTCGAGCATGGATCACTGACAGATGATGAAAGCTTCTCACCGGTGTACTGGAAGCAGTTCTGGCAGAGCACGTCATCCAACGCAAGAGCCGCGGCTTTCGATGGAGGCAGGATCATCTTCAAGGCGTCTACGTTGAGATCGGTGACATAACGAAAACGTCGGTTGCGGTATACCCTTCGCTTATGTCTCTCGAAGTAGTCCGCGCAACTCTTTCTTTTAAAGCTGAAAACTGCAGCCATGACTGAGTTCAAAATAACGCGTTCATTCCTCAGGAGGTTCCGGCTTTCTGCTTTCGACGCAGTTCCGCAGTTCTCTTATACAAATTCATTGCTGCAAGCCCTCTTCTTATATTTTTTTTATTCTCTTATACTAGATGAGTTTGTCAAATATAGACACTGATT